ACAGCTAGGTTGATGAAATTTCATATAGAAGTATTTTATCAAAATCGTAGATCCGTATCAACTTTTGAGTGATTTCCGATAACCGGAAGTGGTACTTTTTCTACTTTTAATTTTTCAAAAGCCTATAACTTGAGTACTATTTCAGATAGATAAATGAAATTTCACATGTAAGTATAAGATCTAATTCTCTACCTTCTGTTAAATTTTGAGTAATTTCCGTTGACCGGAAGTAGTAATTTACGCTACTTCCGATTTCTCAAAAAACTAATGTAAATTTTTAAAGTACTAATAATATTGCGCACTATTATGCACTTTTTTTATTTGGCGTTCACTTGGTGTGCAATTCTTTTGTCTACGAGATTTTATTCTATTTTTAAAACTTTAAGTAATTAAAAAGTTAAAGTTAAGCGTGGGTCACTATATTATCTGTGACCTCGGCATATGAAGAGATAGTGTGGTCAGCACTATGCCCAGCCGCCTTTACTTTCCCTAACATGAGTTAGGTACCCATCAGAGTTGGGTGGACTCAGGGACGTTCTACTGACTTGAACCCGGATTTGAACTCGAGACTTACGGGTTAGAAGTCCAGCTCTCTATTGCTAGACCACTCCGTCCTTAGAAACAAGTGAACTCTACATCACTTGCCCTATAGATTGTCAGTTTTGAAAGGGAACTTTTACTATATTATCTACTGTTACGTTTACTAATATTTAGGAGAGACCCACGCTTTTTAAAAATACATTGTTTTTTTTCTCTTTTTTATCAGTACTTTTAAATACAAAGAGTTGAAAGACTAAAAAACAAATGAACATAGAATGCACGTATAATAATGCAGTAAATAGTAGAACCCCTACTTTATTTAGTAAAATTTAAGTCAAATTTGATGCCAGATTGCATTATTATCTGGTCTTAACCCTCATGGCAAGTTTGAAACGAATCGGTCAGTTAGAAGTGCTCGAAATTTCGCTCGGCAGTTTCAATATGTGACGTCAGACAGAATGAGAGGCAGACCGACCGACCGACCGACCGACCGACCGACCGACCGACCGACCGACCGACCGACCGACCGACCGACCGACCGACCGACCGACCGACCGACCGACCGACCGACCGACCGACCGACCGACCGACCGACCGACCGACCGACCGACCGACCGACCGACCGACCGACCGACCGACCGACCGACCGACCGACCGACCGACCGACCGACCGACCGACCGACCGACCGACCGACCGACCGACCGACCGACCGACCGACCGACCGACCGACCGACCGACCGACCGACCGACCGACCGACCGACCGACCGACCGACCGACCGACCGACCGACCGACCGACCGACCGACCGACCGACCGACCGACCGACCGACCGACCGACCGACCGACCGACCGACCGACCGACCGACCGACCGACCGACCGACCGACCGACCGACCGACCGACCGACCGACCGACCGACCGACCGACCGACCGACCGACCGACCGACCGACCGACCGACCGACCGACCGACCGACCGACCGACCGACCGACCGACCGACCGACCGACCGACCGACCGACCGACCGACCGACCGACCGACCGACCGACCGACCGACCGACCGACCGACCGACCGACCGACCGACCGACCGACCGACCGACCGACCGACCGACCGACCGACCGACCGACCGACCGACCGACCGACCGACCGACCGACCGACCGACCGACCGACCGACCGACCGACCGACCGACCGACCGACCGACCGACCGACCGACCGACCGACCGACCGACCGACCGACCGACCGACCGACCGACCGACCGACCGACCGACCGACCGACCGACCGACCGACCGACCGACCGACCGACAGACAGACAGACAGACAGACAGACAGACAGACAGACAGACAGACAGACAGACAGACAGACAGACAGACAGACAGACAGAAAGACAGACAGACAGACAGACAGACAGACAGACAGACAGACAGACAGACAGACAGACAGACAGACAGACAGACAGACAGACAGACATAAATTTGTTAGAATCAGGTCATACAAGTGACATACAAGATCAACTTATCTGAAACATTTATTGTACGCATTGGAATACGACATGGGTATTTCGTTGACTGGTTGATGGTATAATGAAACAAACTGGAATCCAACGGATATCACAGATCGAAGTCTTTGATTTCGCAGATTAGTACTGCCTTCTCGTATACAGTCAACACAAATGCAGAACTAATTGTACTTGAAGAAGCAGTAATAACCATGACGTTCAGATTAGAATCAGCAGCAATAAAACGCGTTTTAACATTCTAAGCCAATGTGGAATTCTAATGCATTGTCAAAAAAATTCAATCAGGATCTATAGCTAAATGTGAAGTCTCTTTTACTGTATGGCTCGGAGCTAGATTACAGACAGTGGAGAATGAAATAAGAGCATGGAAAAGTGGTGGTTAACGCACAATATCAGAAGGACAGTAAATAACATCACTAAGTAGGTGCTGGTGTAAAGTCCACGGGGAAAGAGGAAGAGGAGAAGGAGGAGAGAAGACAAAAGTCCTGAAGGAAAACGTTTGAAATAGAGATGGTGGATTATAAGGGTTTTATCTTCATGAAAATAAAGCGAGTTGACGAAGTGTTGCCTACGCCTATGCTCCTTAGAAAACCGAAACGAATAAAAAGAAGAAATCAAAAGAGCAGTGGTTCTTAATACGTGTTCGATCGAACCCAAGAGGTTCGGTAAGTCAGTCTCAGAGCTTTGGAGGCGGTCATAGCGCACACCCGACTCATAGGATTCACGATCAGATTTTTTCAGTGTGGACGATACAACTATTAGGATGCGTTCGGTGAAGTCGCATATGAAACTGGTAGAGTTCGGTACCATCAAAAAGGTTCTTCTTCTTCTTCTTCGTTCTTAATTATTAGTGTTGAAGGGGATCGAGATTTATCTGCCAGTGGGTTTGAACTCGAGACTTTGTTCAAATTTATCAACCATGAGCTTTTAGCCGACTCGACCACGCCTCCAACACAATTAAGCGGTACGTGTCAACTGGTTATGCGCCATTGAGGCCATTGACTCCGATTTCAGCCTGCTTTTCTTTTAGGATTTGCTTCCATAGCCTTTGTCCAACCAAGAACAAACTACAAGGTAGCAGTTGTTTAATTTTGGAGTTGTCTCTCCTAGAAGAGTGGCTGTCCCCAGCTAACGAGCCTCATCTGCCCGAGGGTTCGAACTCGAGACTTTTCGGTTTAGCAACCATGAGCTTTGCCGACTCGACCACGCCGACCCCTATCAAAAAGGTTAAAAACCACTGCTTTATTACAGTGTAGTTTATAAAATATGCAAGCTTATTTAGTCTTCTTTTGGTCTTGTCTTTAGAACAATTGCGATAATAATGTATTACAGCTTGAAATAATCAGCTGCGTTGAACAAAGTAACAAGTGTTGTACCATGTTTACACCGTTTAGTCGGTATAGTGGCATTAACTATATGAAAATGGCAGTATTAGGACTTGTTATGAAACAAGCAATCAAAAACATAATCTATTCTGTACAATATAATAATTTTTTTAGCTCTTAAAACTTCAGCAAGAGTATGGTCTACCGCCCACCCACTTCGTCCGTATGCTATTTTACTGATGGGGTAGCGATTCAAGATTTCTCTTTTATACAGTGATCCAGGCAAGATGTAATGCAATTAAGTAAAATTATCTGACCCCCCTCCCACCGGCCCTTTTATCATCTTGATAAAAGACACTAGGTTTTTTTAACAGTTAAACAAGCGTACTATACGCTTTAATACAATTGGTTTCTTTTATAAGTGGTAACGTTTATCGACTCACCAATCTAGTTTAAATTCTTTCGATTTTGTTTGCGAAAAAGCGCCCCCCCCCCCCACATCTGGGAAAAGCTGGAAAGCGGTTTTTACCGGTCACTGTTTCTAAAGAGTATATGTTACAGTTACATTATCAAGGTAGAAAAGAGTTAAATAAGTATGTAAAAGTTTGTGAACATTTCTTAAATTAGACTATTTATAATTAAAAATTACAACATAACATCAGCTTTAAAAAAAATTAACCCCCTTTTGGCGCCCCCGCTAGGGTCGGCGCCCAGGGCGTTCCCCCCCCCCCCCAGCTACGCCTCTGCAGACAGAAAGACATACTGCTACTGAAACTAATGACTTGTATTGGCCTACATATGCCGCTACTGAAACTAATGACTTGTATTGGCCTACATATGCTGCTACTGAAACTAATGACTTGTATTGGCCTACATATGCTGCTACTGAAACTAATGACTTGTATTGGCCTACATATGCCGCTACTGAAACTAATGACTTGTATTGGCCTACATATGCTGCTACTGAAACTAATGACTTGTATTGGCCTACATATGCTGCTACTGAAACTAATGACTTGTATTGGCCTACATATGCTGCTACTGAAACTAATGACTTGTATTGGCCTACATATGCTGCTACTGAAACTAATGACTTGTATTGGCCTACATATACTGCTACTGAAACTAATGACTTGTATTGGCCTACATATGCTGCTACTGAAACTAATGACTTGTATTGGCCTACATATGCCGCTACTGAAACTAATGACTTGTATTGGCCTACATATGCTGCTACTGAAACTAATGACTTGTATTGGCCTACATATGCTGCTACTGAAACTAATGACTTGTATTGGCCTACATATGCTGCTACTGAAACTAATGACTTGTATTGGCCTACATATGCTGCTACTGAAACTAATGACTTGTATTGGCCTACATATGCTGCTACTGAAACTAATGACTTGTATTGGCCTACATATGCTGCTACTGAAACGAATGACTTGTATTGGCCTACATATGCTGCTACTGAAACTAATGACTTGTATTGGCCTACATATACTGCTACTGAAACTAATGACTTGTATTGGCCTACATATGCTGCTACTGAAACTAATGACTTGTATTGGCCTACATATGCTGCTACCAAACCTGATCTGTCAAATGTTGCAGGTGTACAACATGAACGTGCGCCACGCACTAACAGGACATCACATGACTCGCCTACACTGAGTGAAAAAAGATACACTTACCTTGACATTGGCCCAAGTTCTTGCTCAAACTTATTATCTTCAAGGTTAAACATAAACATTTTATCCTCAAGGTGTAACATACACATTTTATCCTCAAGGTGTAACATACACATTTTATCCTCAAGGTGTAACATACACATTTTATCCTCAAGGTGTAACATACACATTTTATCCTCAAGGTGTAACATGCACATTTTATCCTCAAGGTGTAACATACACATTTTATCCTGAAGGTGTAACATACACATTTTATCCTACAGGTCAAACATGCACATTCTACCCTCAAGGTATAATAAAGTTCCCTTTCAAACCTGACGGTCTACGGGGCAAGTGAAGTAGAGTTCACCTGTTTCTGTAAACTAAAGTTCCCTTTCAAACCTGACGGTCTACGGGGCAAGTGAAGTAGAGTTCACCTGTTTCTGTAAATTAAAGTTTCCTTTCAAACCTGACGGTCTACGGGGCAAGTGAAGTAGAGTTCACCTGTTTCTGTAAATTAAAGTTCCCTTTCAAACCTGACGGTCTACGGGGCAAGTGAAGTAGAGTTCACCTGTTTCTGTAAACTAAAGTTCCCTTTCAAACCTGACGGTCTACGGGGCAAGTGAAGTAGAGTTCACCTGTTTCTGTAAAATAAAGTTCCCTTTCAAACCTGACGGTCTATGGGCAAGTGAAGTAGAGTTCACCTGTTTCTGTAAACTAAAGTTCCCTTTCAAACCTGACGGTCTACGGGGCAAGTGAAGTAGAGTTCACCTGTTTCTGTAAACTAAAGTTCCCTTTCAAACCTGACGGTCTACGGGGCAAGTGAAGTAGAGTTCACCTGTTTCTGTAAACTAAAGTTCCCTTTCAAACCTGACGGTCTACGGGGCAAGTGAAGTAGAGTTCACCTGTTTCTGTAAATTAAAGTTCCCTTTCAAACCTGACGGTCTACGGGGCAAGTGAAGTAGAGTTCACCTGTTTCTGTAAATTAAAGTTCCCTTTCAAACCTGACGGTCTACGGGGCAAGTGAAGTAGAGTTCACCTGTTTCTGTAAACTAAAGTTCCCTTTCAAACCTGACGGTCTACGGGGCAAGTGAAGTAGAGTTCACCTGTTTCTGTAAAATAAAGTTCCCTTTCAAACCTGACGGTCTATGGGCAAGTGAAGTAGAGTTCACCTGTTTCTGTAAACTAAAGTTCCCTTTCAAACCTGACGGTCTACGGGGCAAGTGAAGTAGAGTTCACCTGTTTCTGTAAACTAAAGTTCCCTTTCAAACCTGACGGTCTACGGGGCAAGTGAAGTAGAGTTCACCTGTTTCTGTAAATTAAAGTTCCCTTTCAAACCTGACGGTCTACGGGGCAAGTGAAGTAGAGTTCACCTGTTTCTGTAAACTAAAGTTCCCTTTCAAACCTGACGGTCTACGGGGCAAGTGAAGTAGAGTTCACCTGTTTCTGTAAACTAAAGTTCCCTTTCAAACATGACGGTCTATGGGCAAGTGAAGTAGAGTTCACCTGTTTCTGTAAACTAAAGTTCCCTTTCAAACATGACGGTCTACGGGGCAAGTGAAGTAGAGTTCACCTGTTTCTGTGACCTCTTCATCTGAAGGGATAGTGTAGTCAGCACTATGCCCAGCCACCTCTACTTATCCTAACGTGAGTTAGGTACCCATTAGACCTGTGTGGGTCCAGTGACGGTCTACTCATTTGAACCCGGATTCGAACTCGAGACTTACGGGTTAGCTATTCTCAAGGTGTAACATATACATTTTATCCTACAGGTTAAACAAATACATTCTATCCTCAAAGTTAAATATACACATTCTATCCTACGGGTTAAACAAAAACATTTTATCTTCAAGGTGTAACAAACACATTATATCCTATACGATAAATTTATACGTTTTATCTTCAATAATTAACCTGAACATTTTATCTACAAAATCAAATTTAGAATTTTATCATTATTGTCAAATTCGCTCTTATTTTTAGTGTAACGTAACCCTACCATTAAGTCTGTCATGAATATATTAAATATAAAACTTGAATTCGCTCTTATTTTTAGTGTAACGTAACCCTACCATTAAGTCTGTCATGAATATATTAAATATAAAACTTGAATTTTTCTCTAAGCCTTGATCTCAGCTGTCCAGGGGTTTATCCACATCTAATGCACCCACAAGCTCATGGCTTAAGACAGAGGTTTTTAGCGGGCCCACCTTTTAAATCTAACACCTCCCAACTACAAGGTAAGACATCAATGGCTTTTCTTTTAATGATAGTCTTTAAATAAAACGGTAGTGATCTCACCTAAAAATTTTCGTATATTCTTATATACCACTACGGGTAATGGCAAATCGGGATAGAGACATGATTTTTAATCAATTTTAAATTATTACTTAAACTGTTTTAAATAGAATAGAATCTCGTAGAAAAAAAGCAATGCGAATCAAGTAAACAGCAAACAATGTGTGCATACTAGTGCATAGTATTAGTGTAAATTCATAAGAGTTTTTTCTGAGAAATTGGAAATAGCGTAAATTACTACTTCCGATCAACGGAAATTGCTCAAAATTTGACTAGAGAGAGAATTAGATCTTTTACTTATATATGAAATTTCCTTTATCTATGTGAAACAATAATCAAGTTATAAACTTTTGAAAAGCCAAAAGTAAATTAAGTTCCACTTCCGGTTACCGGAAATCGCTAAAAACCCTAACCCTTAAGCACTCGAATAAGAAAAATACACTAGCGTGTATATATATATATATATATATATATATATATATATATATATATATATATATATGTTACGGTCAAAGCCCGAAGTGCGACCAAAGCCCGCATTGGCCGGCCAATGTGCGCATTGGCCGGCTTTCTTAGCCAAAGCCCGAAGAACTTAGCACTAAGAGCGTATTTTGTACATTGGCTGGCGAATGCGCGCACTGGCCGGGATGTCCTGGCCAATGTTCTATCTAGACTAAGTTGTGATCGCGTTTTCATTATTTTGGGCGTGGTTTCATTGTGTGTAACGTATTGCTTGGCTTTTGTTTGTATAGCATTCTATATGCAATGCGACATGGACCAAAAGGACCGTCAGATCAAGAGCAAGACATACCAGATGGCTGCCAAAATAAATAATCCAAATCCTAATGGAAAATGATTTTTGAATCAAGTTATTTCTGAACTAAAGAACATGTGTCGTGAACTTAAACTAGTTCACAGAAAACAAAGGCATAGTGAAAGCCAATGTTCAGTAGAACGTGCCAACTAACGTTCAAAACATGATGGTGACAAGGATGACAAATGAATGAGCTTGTTGGTCTTAAATTCATTCAATTTATGAAAAACCGTAATTTTTATCAAGGAATCCAACAATCGCCATACGAAACCTTGTTTGGATGCAAAGCAAAAGTGGGACTTAGCACTTCAAATCTACCAAGAGAGGCTCTCGATAATTTAGCTACTGAGGAAAATTTTGCGGTATAGCCAATGAACCAGACGAAGGGTACGGAGGGAACATTACTTGCAGATTATGTCACAATAAACAAGAAATCATGGACAACAGGTCAGCAGCTCATACTAGCTTGCAAACTCAAGGTGTTAAGATGCTAACACAATTTAAACAAACTGAAGTTGGGGATACTGGTCGCATCCGTATTACAGAAGTGGGCAGAGATCGCGGTGGTCCCCGAAGCGTCACTGCAGTTGTCATGAGCGTCGAGTGCGCTTTCTACAAGCTAGGAACGGAACATTGTGTATTAAAACAACTATACGCTAGAAGTGAGTTTTCAATTCTTCACGAAAAACGGCTCTCATTGTCGTCCGTTGGCACTGAAGAAAATCACTACAAACAATCGCATCTGCACAATCACTGACCGGCGGCCAAGGCTACATTTACTGCAATTGCACAACCTAGTGCTCAACAAATCGCTGCAAGTGTAAAAATAATAATGTAATTCTAAATAAAAATCAACAAAGACTTAATTTTTATAATCCTTACGGTATAAAAAAAACACACCAAAATCTGCTAATGATCTTCTAATTCGGACTTTGACCGTTGGTCCCTAGCCAGATGATATTCTAATTCTGACTGGCCGGTCTACCATAGCCAGTCTGCGGATTGGCCGGCCAAAGGCCGAAATGAAGTAAAGTTTTGGACTTTGGCCGATCAATGGGAGGCGATATTGGCCAATGCGCGAATTGGCCGGCCAATGCGCTCATTGGCCGGCTCTCTTGGTCAAAGCCCGAAGAACTTAGCACTAAGATCGTATTTTGTACATTGGCCGGCCGATGCGCGCACTGGCCGGGACGTATCTGCCCATGATCTTCTAATTCGGGCTTTGGCCGGTCGTCCCTAGCCAGATGATCTTCTAATTAAGACTTTGGCCGGCCCACCATGGCCAATCCGCGCATTGGCCGACTTCGGGCTTTGACCGTAACATATATATATATATATATGGGCCTTTGGCCGGCCAGTCCGCGGACTGGCCCTGGTGGACCGCAGTGTTTCTTCCAAACTTTTTTCTCCGGGGGGCACTTGAAATTTTCGGGGGGGGGGGGCGGTAGACTTTCTTCGGGGGGGGGGCGGACACTGTTAAAAGTATATATTTTCTATATAAATTATATAAATTTCATTTCGTTCGGGGGGGGGGGGGGGCGGGGGGGGGGGGTCTGGGCGGTAAAAATTTTTCGGGGGGGGGGGGCTTGGCCCCCCCCCCCCCCGAAGAGATGCCTGGAAGAAACTCTGGTGGACTGGCCAAAGTCTTAATTAGAAGATCATGAGCAGATTTTGTTTTTTTTATGCCGTAAGGATCATGAAATTAAGTCTTTATTGATTATTAATTAAAGTAAATGACAGAAACATTCAAATTTTTTATTGTACTATAGTCTCAATCAATCAATATTATCATTTGTTACAACAAGTTGAACTTTTATGGCATTTAGAATTACATAGCAGCTTGTTATTTTTACACTTGCAGCGATTTGTTGTGCACTTAGTTGTGCAATTGCAGTGAGTGTAGTCTTGGCCTCTAGTTAATGGTTGTGAAGATGCGATGGTTCGTAGTGATTTATCCTCGATGCCAACTGACGACAATAATAGAGCAGTTTTTCGTGAAGAATTGAAAACTCACTTCTAGCTTACAGTTGTTTTAGAACACCATGTTCCGTTCCTAATTTGTAGAAACCGCCCTCGACAACTGCAATCACGCTTCGACCGGCCAATGTATGAAATACGATTTGAGTGCTAAGTTCTTCGGGCTTTGGCCAAGAGAGCCGGCCAATGCGCGCACTGGCCGGCCAATCTGCGCTTTTGCCGCACTTCGGGCTTTGACCGTAATATATATATATATATATATATATATATATATATATATATATATATATATATATATATATATATATATATATATATATATATATATATATATATATATATGGGATTTATATATATAGGAATATTTTTTTGCGGGTGGACTTTTTTTTCTAGTTCCGCCACTGCCTATGGATATGGCAAGATAAATTGATAACGATGTGTTCAGATTAGGTTAATGTTTTTGTAAGTCGGTTTAGGGTTTGTAATATTCTTATTGTAATGTTTGTAGTAATTTAAGGATAATGGGTTGGATAGGCTATAGGATTATTATGAAACAAAAAGCCAGGTGATAAGTTTAATTTTTGTTTATGATTAGCGCAGTTAGCAGGGCTAAAATTTATTTTGTCTTTTTGTCATTTTAATGATAACTTATTATAATGGAAGAACTAATGAGAGGAAATATCGTATTAACACGGAAGTACGTATGAAATTAAATGTTATCTTATTATGATGATAACGTTTTGGACTAAATGGTATCATATTATTACGGTAGTACGTATAAAGTCAAATGATAGGAAACACCTTTGTTCAGTTTTGAACTCTAAAAACATTTTACCTGTAGGTTTTTTTCATGGATTGCCGTCAACGTTAATTAGAGACACGTCATCCGCGATACGAATATTTGACAAGTTATGTCACCCATCTATGTCCATCAACCCACACGTAGAAACTAGAGGACTGGATCAAACAGGACAGGAAAATACTTGCGTTGTCCAGATGGAGGGGAGGACTGGCTTCATGCATGGCAACACTATATTACCAGCCCCATTAGTCAACACACCAACACATGGCAACATTTGCCATAGCAACATCTCCGGACAAGAATTTGAAAAAAAAACAGAGAACAATTCATCCAAACCCACCAGCCCGGAGAAAATTAATTCATTAGATACATTGCAAGGTTAGGAATTTAGTTCAACTTACTGATATGTGATTTCAAAACAGAATTTTCCCAGAGTTGAGGTTATCGTTAGACTTGTTCATTGCTTTATCCGCGGCATATACAACTCTAATATATATTTCAGACCTAAAAACCCAATCTAGCCATATTGTATGCAAACAATATGGCAAGATGGGTTTTTAGGTCTGAAATATATTAGATATATAGTATATATATATTATATATAGTATATATTATTTATTTATTTATACTATTTATATTATATATACAAGCTGCATACCCATGCTTCGCCACGGTTAATCTTTTGTTTTAAATCAGGGGTCTCCAAACTTTTCAGTCCGAGGGCCGCATTACCTATCAAATTTCAGTTCGGGGGCCAGTTTCTTTCAGGTAAGTCTTTGATTTTTCTGGTCAAAATTCCTCAGCCATCATCAACAAACGTTTTTTTCCGTGGACAAAATGATCTCCGAGGGCCGGATGAGAGGACCTCGCGGGCCGCATACGGCCCGCGGGCCGTAGTTTGGAGACCCCTGTTTTAAATGTACCAAGTTGGGAACAGAACAAAACCAAACACAAACTCAAAGGACAACAAATGCAAAAAAACAAACGCAAACACAAACACAAACACAACGCAAACATAAACGCAAACATAGATACAACTACAAACGAAAACACAAACACAACTCAAACTAAAACACAAACGCAAACAGAACGCGAAAACAAATAAAGCGCAAACGCAAACCCAAACCCAAACGCAAACACAACACAAAAGCAACACGCATCGGGTAATATTAAACACAAACGTAAACACAAATACAAACACAAACGCAAACACAAGCACAAACAGAACGCAAATGCAACATGCAAACGTAAACACAAACACTAACGTAAACACACATGGAAATATATAAGAAAACAAACGCAAACTCAAACAAAATCGCAAACACAATGCAAACGCAATCACAAACGCAAACACAAAACAAAATCCAAAGGCAAACACAAACCCAAAAGCAATACGCAACACGCAAACACAAATACAAACACAAAAGCAAAAACACATGCTTTCATTGACGTCCGCACCAACAGCGAACTTTTCTCACATTCTCTAATTTAACCATTCCTTTAAATAACAAAAAAAAACTAAAAAAAAAAGCTATAAAACTCTGTAACGACTTATCAGAAAATAATATATAATAAAAGAATTACTTAAATAGCAATAATTAGGGTGAGTTGAATTTCTTTTTAAATTACCTCCCCTGGCATAATTATTAAACATTTTAATTGATTTGTTTCATTCGACACTAGTGTTATTACTATGAATCAATTTTTTCTAGAAATAAAAGCGAATATATTATTTGACATAAATTCTTTTAATATGTTTTAGCAATAATCGTGTATTGAATATTTTCTGTAGGTTCCTTTGTTGAAGTATAGAAACGAGTAAAAACTTTGCAGACTATCAAAAAATTAAGTCGTTACATAAACAGACTCCATTAGTTATAATAAGACAGTGTGATGCAAGCAAAGTCACGGCATGTGATGCTTACTTTTATTATCCCAAAATAGCGATGACGTAAGGACGGACTGGCACACTCCCTGGCCGCTTATATTATATATATATATATATTATATATATATATATATATATATATATATATATATATATATATATATATATATATATATATATATATACTCACACTCTCCAAGCTCCGTGAGCGAAGACAAAATGGGTATACTGATAACGGAAGGTAGGACGGGAGTGCAAAATGAGTACGAAAAGAAAGACAATGGCGGCTTATATTATTGATATGTATATATAAACACATACATATATACACACCCACATACAAAACACACCCACACCCATATATATATATATATATATATATATATATATATATATATATATATATATATATATATATATATATATGAGGAGTCAGATTGGCCTTATGATGATGTTTTATATGATACATGTTCTGTTGCGTTTTGCTTTGATATAATTTGATAAATTCCAGAATCAATGTCAAGTCCACCGATGTCAAGTCCACCGATGTCAAGTCCACCGATGTCAAGTCCACCGATGACAAGTCCACCGATGACAAGGACACCTTCCAAATTGTGTGTTTCCTCACCTGGTGTGCTCATGCCCACACCAATCAACCCTCTCCACTCTGCTCACCTGCCCTTCTCTGTCTACCTACCTTACAACATGACCACAGATACAGGACCATGTTTTCAAGTAAGTTTTTTCCTTAAAGAAATGGAGTACACTTTAAATGACCCCCATCCCTTATCTTCATTTTCAAGCCTAATTATAAATTTGTATTGTTAAAGTTGTAGTCTTAGTCGTGCCTAAGGCCATGAAATTCTATGCTAAATATAGACCCTTGTCTACTGTATTTAAACATAAGTTATCAGATAACAAAACCATAAAATTTTGCTTTCAGAAATTAAAATCTTAATCCTCTACCGAGGGGTTGCTCATCATTTTAATTTTTTCTTTTAGTTTCTCAGTTCGCCGCTGTCCCATCCTTTTTTTTCCTTGGCAAACGGAGCAAGTTTACCAATCCAGAAAGTAATTTCATTGGCTGAGGATGTACTTTTCTCGTGCGCCAAGTGGGCAAGGTCACTCCCAGCCTTTATTTCATTGGATGAATTTGACCAGAGGGCGCTGTTGGAGACTACATGGGGAGAGCTCTTTGTGCTTTTTGCTGCCGAAAAAGGATTTCATTTTGATACAAGTATACTTTTTAAAATACTTGAAGTAAAATAAGTTTTTTTAAATTATTTTTAAAAACATTTATGAATATTTCACAGTTATATCATTATATTATCTGTCATCTTGAAGACAAACAGTCCATTAATCAGGGACAGAAGTACATCGTAACAAACCATTAACCAAAATGTTCTAAAATCGCTCTAAATGTACATTTATTGTTCTATAGAGGATTCATTCATCCAAAAAGTCTGTAGGCTGTCAAAGATTATGTAGGCAGTCATCTAATCACTTGGCAGTCATACATTCTGTAGCCAGACATACATTATGTAATCAATCACACATTATGTAAGCATTCATGCAGTCTGTTTGACCACATGTGTTTTCTTATCAGAGGGTTTTGATCACAGGTGGTTTGTCAACGGGTGTTTTATCACAAGCGCTGTGTGCGGCTTTGATCACAGGTGTTTTATCCATATAGGGTCTTTGATCACAGATGGTTTGTCCATATAGGGTCTTTGATCACAGATGGTTTGTCCAATGCTGGCGTTTGATAAAAAGCGCTTTGTCCACATATGGAAAGGGTTAATTTAAAAAGTTTTGTAATTATATTTTAAATTGCGGCAGGATGTAATAGCATGTTAATTTTTCTGCCATTTAGTTAACCATACAAGTATTACCTCTTTGACTATACTGTTGACATGTTTTTTTATCCTTTTTTATCCTTTATATATGCTATGTATTTTCAAGTACATCTACATTATTTATTTTTGAAACTAGTTATATGTCGAATTATTCGTGTTCCATTTATATTTAAAATAAATCTATGAGGTCTAGCACCAGCCTTTATGTGGAGACTAAAATATCCATCTTGACTATTTTAGTACATGTTAATTTATATTAATGGACTTTCATAAAACATGTATAAAATGGTATTAATTGTATCATTAATTAAAATTAAAGTTGCAGTTTATAATTACTATTTTAAATTCTATGCATTATCCCCCCCCCCCCTGCGGTCAAAGCCCCGTTGTGGTCAAGGCCCCGCTGTGGTCAAAGCACATGTGAAAAAAAAACACAAAAAAAGAACGCGGGAACCCATTACAAAGTTTCCAGATTCATTGTCTTTGACCGACTTGCCAAATAAGAAGGAACACTATCCATAATTTTCGTTGGACGTAAATAAGAAATTTTAAAACGATTATTCCAAGCCAGAAATGAGTTCGAGCCAATCTCTGTGTGGGTTGTGGTCTCGTGATGGATATACTTTGCAATCAAATGATTTAAATTAGAATTTAGTGAGACTGTCTTCTAATATATATATATATATATATATATATATATATATATATATATATATATATATATATATATATATATATATATATATATATATATAATAAGGGGGTCCGTAAAAATATTGCAGGAGAGGGGGTGGGGCGTTTTAATAAGTTTTGCCTTGGGCGCTAAATAACCTGGCGCCGGCACTGCATGTAACGCCCCTGACACAGGAGTGGTCGTCAATATTTGTCCTACCTCAGTATTACGAAGGTTGATTAAATACACTCAAGGCTTTCATAGAACAACTTATCTCTATATTATTTCAAAATGTAATGCAATTAAGTAACCTTCTCTAATCTCATCCATTACATTGAAAGAATCGTCATTTTTAACTGCAAAATACTAATCGCGCCATTTATTAATAACATTTGCTGGAGAAATCGTAAATTATGCATTAATACAATTTGCCTAGTTTTATCAACTCACAAATCAGCTGTAAATCCTTTTGATTTACGCTAGAGAAAAAACGCATCCTCTTCTCCCCCAAACCACCCCCCCCCCCACTCTCCGGTTTTTACCGGTCACTATTAAGGTATTTATTTTACCGTTACACAATCAAGGTAGAAGACAATTAAATTTGTCGCCCCACCCACTAACTACGCCACTGTTTATTAAAGTAAGCTTTGTTTGACTTCAGACGCCATCCTTTCGACGTTCGACTTCGCTCACGACGTCTCTGTGAAGCATAGCCAGGCTCTGCTCAACTTGTATGGCCAGCTTCAAGAAATTCGTGACGTCATCAACTGTTTTCAAGTTCTGAAAGCTGACGTCACCGAGTGGTCATGGTTGAAATCAATAGTGCTCTTCAGATATTGTAAGTATTCATTTGCTTCATCAATTATTAATTGCAGTAGGGTTGGCAATTGCTTATTGGAGCATAAAAAGTCTAACATACACATAGAGCTATGGCTGTATGTATTGCTATGTATTGCACGTCTAAACTACCAGTGATTATACTAAAGTTGGCCCCAAAGAAACAACTCTACCACCCTACCACCCTACCACTCACCAAATCGACATTTTTCAAATCAAATGAGCAAAAAGGCCTTCGACACATAGCTCCCGACAATGAGGTTCCAGTTATTACGTCTCACCCTTGGGGATAGGGATAGGGTTAACCATAACTCTAACTGCTAGCCCTTGGGTTAGGGTTAACCATAACTCCAACTTGGTTAACCATAACTCCAACTTGGTTAACCATAACTCCAACTGCTAGCCCTTGGGTTAGGGTTAACCATAACTCCAACTTGGTTAACCATAACTCCAACTTGGTTAACCATAACTCTAACTGCTAGCCCTTGGGTTAGGGTTAACCATAACTCCAACTTGGTTAACCATAACTCCAACTTGGTTAACCATAACTCTAACTGCTAGCCCTTAGGTTAGGGTTAACCATAACACTAACTGCTAGCCCTTATGTTAGGGTTAACCATAACTCCAACTTCTAACCCTTGGGTTAGGGTTAACCATAACTCTAACTGCTAGCCCTTAGGTTAAGGTTAACCATAACACTAACTGCTAGCCCTTATGTTAGGGTTAACCATAACTCCAACTTCTAACCCTTGGGTTAGGGTTAACCATAACACTAACTGCTAGCCCATGCCTGTACCACTACTTAGTATTAAGCTCCATCTGCAAATTAAGCTCCTGATATTTAACCTCCGGTCGTATATTTATATTTAGCTCCCATTATTAATTAATTACACTCCATCTTTGCATGATACGCTGGACTGAAATCAATCAGCGCCAGCACATAAATGTAAAGAAAGGGGTTGGTTACTATATTATCTATTGAATACCTTTACTAGTATATAGGAAGAGACCCACGCTTTTCCTTATAGATATTTAAATAGTAGTGTATCATTATATCCTAATATATAATTCCCCATGTGCGCACTTCTCTCTCTCTGTCCGCAAAATATTTTCGCCGGACATCACGTCAGAATCGGCAGCGATATATGAAGAACTTTTTACGGACTTTTGTTGAAAATAATATGTTAGATGTTTTAAATGTATAACCACAATTTTATTTAAAGAAGAAAAATAAAAAATAAAGGCGTATTCGAATATAGAGAAACAGTATTATTTATGCAACCAGAAAAGTGTATAAACTTGGGACAAGAACGCATTTAACAATGACGTCGCTTATTGTTTACACTAAAACACTAAAACAAGAGCACGAAACTGATGACGTCATCTTCCGAGTTTAGAATTTTTAAAAATGAACTATTTCATTCAAATATGATTTAGAGCTAGATCTATGTACGCTATGAAATGTATACAATACGATTTTCTCGGCCTAAACTTAAAAAAAATTATTTTATCTATTTGGATTCTAGATCTAGAGATTCTAGATCTAGCGATTGATCTAGATCTAGATGTTCTAGATCATCTAGATCTAGATGATCTATAAAGCTAAGTTGTCGGGTGCCCGATAGGGCACTTCCCGGCGCCGCAGTTGCTTCAAATTTGGCAGGATCTTGCCTTGGGACGACAGAACACGGGGGCCGGTTGGCCGAAAAGTCTACGATGAGGGGGTCAAAATTCTCAATGTTTTCGAAAGCCTAAGCGAAGCTGAGCAGCATGCCTAGTGTTTAAAGAAAAACCTTTATTTTTCGTACATTATTACTTAAAAGTTTGTTAATAAAACGATTAAATGCACGTTTTTTTGAGTACACCAATTTTTTTTAAATACAATAGAATTGCATTACTAGAAATTTTTTGCACACCAAATGAACATGATAATGCGCGTATAATAGAACAGAATAGTACTAGGCACCCTACTTATTTCAGAAAAAATTTAATAAATTCATAAAAAATGAATTAGTCATCCACTCAAGTCAAATTTGATATCATATTGTATTTTCATTGGGTCTTGATACAAGTGCCAATTTGAAAAGAATCGATCAGTTAGAAGTGCTCGAAATTTTGCTCGGCCGTTTCGATCTATGACTACAGACAGACAAAAGCACGACAGACCGAGGAAGTTCGAAAAAGCTTCTAAAAACGTGTTAATAACATGTTTTTAAATATTAAATAAATGATTTTCTTCAAATATATAATCATGCACTTATTTTTAAATAAGTATTTAAAAAAAGCGTGGACTACTGTATTATCTATTGAATACCTTTACTAAAATTTAAGAAAAAACCCACTCTTAACCTTTTGAAGAATGGACGCCAGCGAGAAAAGGCTCAAAGGTATTTGAGAGGCCCATAGATTAATTTAAAAATCATACACGGCGTAGTTACAATTATATGGTTATAAAATCCTGTCTGTCTGCTTTTTTTCGGACTTTACTAAAGATTGGATGTATTTGATGTTTTTAATATTTTCGGTAACTATATAAGAATTAAAAAAAAAAAAAAGCAAAAACAATTTGATTTTCACGAGTAATAGCGACATAAACAATGGCATCCTGCTATTCGATAGGCCGCCATAAATTTTATTGTACACATTGTAAGCTAAAAAAAGAAAAACTAGGTCATGGGTTTTAAATTTGCATTGTTATTTAAACACTTGATCTGCAAAGTTTTGTAAACAAAAAAAAAAAACAACTATAAAGTGGGGCTGTAAGAAATCGGTCACGGAGTTCCTGTACAGCCAATCAATGTTTGTCTAACGAAAGTGAAACATCGGGTTATAACTTAGGCTTGATGAAAATAAATAGAAATGTAGCCTTTAACTCAAACAAATTATTTTCAAGTTCTCTGGATCTGCAACTTTTATAGCATTGATTCTAAACATATTAAATTTCTGGATTAATTTTAGGCTTAAGTTTTTATTTTTTATTATTTTTACGGTCCTAAATCTAAATAAACCGGGAGTGATATCCCCTAAACTTTCTCGAATATTCTTATATAAAACAACAGGGGATGGGAACTCCATTTTAAATACTTAAAGTTTTTAAAATAGAATAAAATCTCGTAGAAAAAAAAAATTGCACACCAAGTGAACGCCAAATAAAATGTGCATAATAGTGCGCAATATTATTAGTACTTTATAAATTTACATTAGTTTTTTTAAGAAATTAAAAATAGCGTAAATTACTACTTCCGGTCAACGGAAATTACTCAAAATTTGACAGAAGGTAGAGAATTAGATCTTTTACTTACATGTGAAATTTCATTTATCTTTCTGAAATAGAACCTAAGTTATAGGCTTTTGAAAATCTCAAAGTAGAAAAAGTACCACTTCCGGTTTTTGGAAATTGCTCAAAAGTTGATACGTATCAGCGATTTTGATAAAATACTTATATATGAAATGTCATCAACCTAGCTGTAACGGTACTCAAGTTATCGTGTTTACACACACACACACACACAGACAGACATACAGACATACGGACAAGATTGCAAAATTATGTTTTTCCGATTACAAGACTTTCTCTATACTTCGTATATACGAGAAAGTAAAAATGTTGAATAAAGAAATAATATTACATAGTTATAATACAAAATGAGATAAAATAAGAATATAATAGATGAATGAGAAATGTTGCATGAGTCAGTAAGGGAGGTCATTAAATAATTGTTGTTTTAGTTTAGTTTTGAATATATTTTCAGATCTAGATAGTTTTATTTTATTAAGAAGATTGTTCCACATATTGGAACCAGAGTAGGCGAAGCTATGTTTTTGGAAGAAATTATAAGGGATCGGTAAACTAAGACGACGATTTAATTTTGTGTTAAGTGATACTCTATTTCCGGTCCTAGGTGCTTTGACCACAGGTGCTTTGACCATAGGGGTTTGACCACCGCGGAGCTTTGATCACAACGGGGCTTTGACCACAGAGGGGGGGGGGGTGCATAATTTATAGATTTGAAAATAGAAATTATAAACTGCTATTTTAATTTTAATTTATGATACAATTAATACAATTTTATACACGTTTCCTGAAAGTCCATTAATTGAAATTAACATGTACTAAAATAGTCGAGAACGATATTTTAGTCTTCACATAAATGCTGGTGCTAGACCTCAAAGATTTATTTTAAACATAAATGGAACACAAATAATGCGAAATATAACAAGTTTTACAAATAAATAATGTAGATGTACTTGAAAATACAAAGCATATATAAAGGATAAAAAACATGCCAACAGTATAGTCAAACAAGTAAAACTTGTACAGTTAACTAAATGACAGATGAATTAACATATTATTACATCCTGCCGCAATTTAAAATAAAATTACACAACTTTTAAAATTAATTCTTACCATATTTGGACAAAGCGCTTGTTATCAAATGCCAGCATTGGACAAACCATCTGTGATCAAAGACCCTATATGGACAAAGGCGGACACAGCGCTTGTGATAAAACACCCGTTGACAAACTACCGGTGATCAAAGACCCTCTGCTGAGAAAATACCTGTGGTCAAACCCCCTATGGTCAAACCCCCTATGGTCAAAGCCCTTATGGTCAAAGCTCCGCTGTGGTCAAACCACCTATAGTCAAACCCCCTATGGACAAAACTCCGTTATGGTCAAAGCCCCGCTGTGGTCAAAACACTATGATCAAAGCCCCTATGGTCAAAGCCCCAATGTGGTCAAACCACCTATGGTCAAACCCCCTATCGTCAAAGCACCTGTGGTCAAAGGTCCGCGCACCCTATTTCCGTTTTCTAAAAACCTATGTGTTGAGTACCGTTTCAGTAAGGTATACGAATGCTATAGGTATAAGACCTTATTCTCTTGATTCTTTCAAACTGTGACTTCCGACGGACGCAAGTATTACTTTACACTATTTCTGAAAAAAACAACCCATAAATTACTTCTACCGGACCGATTTCTTTAAAACTTTATATGCAGATCTAAACTCGATGACAATGCATGGTGCCAAATTTAGCTGATTAGATGTTTCAGTACCTTTTTAAAAAAATCAATCAATTTTTCCTTTATCAAGCTCTAATTTTCAGCTCTATAATACACATATTTTTCTGGTGAGTAATTATTTTTTCCACGCGATACTTTTTCATTTAAAATTTTTAATATACGAGAAAGTTTTTAGAGATCACTCCCGCTTTTTTTATGCTTTATAAAAATATTACAAATAAACCGGGAGTGATCTCCCCTAAACTTTCTCGAATATTCTTATATAAAACAACAAGGGATGGCAACTCGAGATATAGGCATGATTTTAAATCCATTTTTAATTACAATCTTTAGGTTGTATGTATTTTTTCTAGATGCAAAGGGGATCCAAGCAGTCGCAACCGTTCACCGCTTGCACGAAGGGGCTCACAGGTCGCTGATGTCACACTGTGCTAGCTCCTACACCACCGATCTTCTAAGGACCAACCGTCTTCTTCTTTTGTTACCAAGGTGAACCATTTTTTGACTAAAGAATCCAAAGAAATACATTTTATTCCTAGCCAGTGTCTTTATCAGGGCTATCTTTTATGCTAACGAGTCTATAGCAGGGGTCGGCAACCTTTTGAAGCGGAAGAGCCAAAAGTTACAACTTTCAAAATTTTCCTGGTGTTAAAGAGCCACTAACAATTTTTTGTTTTAAGTATTTTATTTTTTTATTAAGATTATTAGTATTTGTGCAAGGAGCTGGAGAGCCGCATCCTGACATCAAAAGAGCCGCATGCGGCTCGCGAGCCGCAGGTTGCCGACCCCTGGTCTATAGATAAGTTTATCCGTATTTACAAGCTTTGAGTGGATTCTTCGTGCTTTTGACTTGATGGGGAGACCACTTGTGAAGAAAAATGTATGTTACACGGTGTGGGAGATCAGTATTACAGTCCCTTTTTTAACCCAGTCGTTTTTGTTCCTGGTCCTGGGTCTCCACAATGTCAACTTTTGGCAGTTTAGGATGGGACAGTAGCAAACTAAGCTGTCAAAAGAATTAGTTACATCCCCTAATGATTATTTCAATCTTACTTCTTTTTTCAATTTATTATATATATATATATATATATATATATATATATATATATATATATATATATAACTGTATAAAACTACGATGTAAATAACGATTGAGCTGTTAAAAATACTTTTTAGGAGGACTTATATGGCTATAGCTGTTGAAAGAGACAAATGTCTCATTTTACTTTAGATATAGTCTATCATCATCATCACTACACGTCACCCCAGTTCTGTTTTCTCAACTCCAGGTGTAGCTTACCTTTGTGGTGTCATGTGACTCCAGGTGTAGCTTACCTTTGTGGTGTCATGTAACTCCAGGTGTAGCTTACCTTTGTGGTGTCATGTGACTCCAGGTGTAGCTTACCTTTGTGGTGTCATGTGACTCCAAGAGTAGCTTACCTTTGTGGTGTCATGTGACTCCAAGAGTAGCTTACCTTTGTGGTGTCATGTGACTCCAGATGTAGCTTACCTTTGTGGTGTCATGTGACTCCAAGAGTAGCTTACCTTTGTGGTGTCATGTGACTCCAGGTGTAGCTTACCTTTGTGGTGTCATGTGACTCCAGGTGTAGCTTACCTTTGTGGTGTCATGTGACTCCAAGAGTAGCTTACCTTTGTGGTGTCATGTGACTCCAGGTGTAACTTACCTTTGTGGTGTCATGTGATTCCAAGAGTAGCTTACCTTTGTGGTGTCATGTGACTCCAGGTGTAGCTTACCTTTGTGGTGTCATGTGACTCCAAGAGTAGCTTACCTTTGTGGTGTCATGTGACTCCAGGTGTAGCTTACCTTTGTGGTGTCATGTGACTCCAAGAGTAGCTTACCTTTGTGGTGTCATGTGACTCCAAGAGTAGCTTACCTTTGTGGTGTCATGTGACTCCAAGAGTAGCTTACCTTTGTCGTGTCATGTGACTCCAAGAGTAGCTTACCTTTGTGCTTACAGTCTCGAAGTCCCGTCGCAAAGTTTTTTTTGTCGACCTATTTCGTGCATTCCCTGAGGGTTCTATCTCAATGCCTGCTTAGTGATGTTGGTTGGCGGTCTGCGCGGTGTTTGCCCTACCCATCTGCTTGGTGATGTTGGTTGGCGGTCTGCGCGGTGTTTGCCCTACCCATCTGCTTGGTGATGTTGGTTGGCGGTCTGCGCGGTGTTTGCCCTACCCATCTGCTTGGTGATGTTGGTTGGCGGTCTGCGCGGTGTTTGCCCTACCCATCTGCTTGGTGATGTTGGTTGGCGGTCTGCGCGGTGTTTGCCCTACCCATCTGCTTGGTGATGTTGGTTGGCGGTCTGCGCGGTGTTTGCCCTACCCATCTGCTTAGTGATGTTGGTTGGCGGTCTGCGCGGTGTTTGCCCTACCCATCTGCTTGGTGATGTTGGTTGGCGGTCTGCGCGGTGTTTGCCCTACCCATCTGCTTAGTGATGTTGGTTGGCGGTCTGCGCGGTGTTTGCCCTACCCATCTGCTTGGTGATGTTGGTTGGCGGTCTGCGCGGTGTTTGCCCTACCCATCTGCTTGGTGATGTTGGTTGGCGGTCTGCGCGGTGTTTGCCCTACCCATCTGCTTGGTGATGTTGGTTGGCGGTCTGCGCGGTGTTTGCCCTACCCATCTGCTTAGTGATGTTGGTTGGCGGTCTGCGCGGTGTTTGCCCTACCCATCTGCTTGGTGATGTTGGTTGGCGGTCTGCGCGGTGTTTGCCCTACCCATCTGCTTAGTGATGTTGGTTGGCGGTCTGCGCGGTGTTTGCCCTACCCATCTGCTTGGTGATGTTGGTTGGCGGTCTGCGCGGTGTTTGCCCTACCCATCTGCTTAGTGATGTTGGTTGGCGGTCTGCGCGGTGTTTGCCCTACCCATCTGCTTAGTGATGTTGGTTGGCGGTCTGCGCGGTGTTTGCCCTACCCATCTGCTTGGTGATGTTGGTTGGCGGTCTGCGCGGTGTTTGCCCTACCCATCTGCTTAGTGATGTTGGTTGGCGGTCTGCGCGGTGTTTGCCCTACCCATCTGCTTAGTGATGTTGGTTGGCGGTCTGCGCGGTGTTTGCCCTACCCATCTGCTTGGTGATGTTGGTTGGCGGTCTGCGCGGTGTTTGCCCTACCCATCTGCTTAGTGATGTTGGTTGGCGGTCTGCGCGGTGTTTGCCCTACCCATCTGCTTAGTGATGTTGGTTGGCGGTCTGCGCGGTGTTTGCCCTACCCATCTGCTTGGTGATGTTGGTTGGCGGTCTGCGCGGTGTTTGCCCTACCCATCTGCTTAGTGATGTTGGTTGGCGGTCTGCGCGGTGTTTGCCCTACCCATCTGCTTAGTGATGTTGGTTGGCGGTCTGCGCGGTGTTTGCCCTACCCATCTGCTTAGTGATGTTGGTTGGCGGTCTGCGCGGTGTTTGCCCTACCCATCTGCTTAGTGATGTTGGTTGGCGGTCTGCGCGGTGTTTGCCCTACCCATCTGCTTGGTGATGTTGGTTGGCGGTCTGCGCGGTGTTTGCCCTACCCATCTGCTTAGTGATGTTGGTTGGCGGTCTGCGCGGTGTTTGCCCTACCCATCTGCTTAGTGATGTTGGTTGGCGGTCTGCGCGGTGTTTGCCCTACCCATCTGCTTAGTGATGTTGGTTGGCGGTCTGCGCGGTGTTTGCCCTACCCATCTGCTTAGTGATGTTGGTTGGCGGTCTGCGCGGTGTTTGCCCTACCCATCTGCTTAGTGATGTAGGTTGGCGGTCTGCGCGGTGTTTGCCCTACCCAACTCCATCTTCTGCTCCAATTTTCCTCTTCATCTGCAACTTGCCCTGTCGTTTCCCATATAAGAAAAGTGGCGATGTTATCGGGCCAGAATTTCTTAAGAGTCTGTACGTTAGCAATGGTTGTCTTTGTCGTCCTCCAAGTCTCCAAGTGGGCCCCTTCGAGAGCCATAAGGCTACACATGATCTAAACGTGTGCAGCGAAGAAATCTACTGCTATTTGCGAGGGAGGGGCTTTTAATAATATAAATATTATGTACAATTTGTATTTTATACGTCCTGATTGTAAATTTATATTGCATTATTATGTAATATCCCATAACAATAATTGGTTCACATATCTACGTGGTGGATAGGTTCACATATCCATGTGGTGGATAGGTTCACATATCTAGGTTGGAGTGGATAGGTTCATATATCTAGGTGATGGTGGATAGGTTCACTTGTCTAGGTGGTGGTGGATAGGTTCACATATCTAGGTTGGAGTGGATAGGTTCACATATCTAGATGGTGGATAGGTTCACATATCTAGATAGTGGATAGGTTCACATATCTAGGTGGTGGATAGGTTCACATGTCTAGGTGGTGGTGGATAGGTTCACATGTCTAGGTGGTGGTGGATAGGTTCACATATCTAGGTGGTGGATAGGTTCACATATCTAGGTGGTGGTGGATAGGTTCATATATCTAGGTGGTGGATAGGTTCACATATCTAGGTGGTGGTGGATAGGTTCACAAGTCTAGGTGGTGGTGGATTGGTTCACATTTCTAGTTGGTGGTGGATAGGTTCACATATCTAGGTGGTGGTGGATAGGTTCACATATCTAGGTGATGGTGGATAGGTTCACATATCTAGGTTGGAGTGGATAGGTTCATATATCTAGGTGGTGGTGGATAGGTTTACGTATCTAGGTTGGTGGTGGATAGGTTCACATATCTAGTTGGTGGATAGGTTCACATGTCTAGGTGATGGTAGATAGGTTCACAAGTCTAGGTGGTGGTGGATAGGTTCACATATCTAGGTGGTGAATAGGTTCACATATCTAGGTGGTGGATAGGTTCACATGTCTAGGTGGTGAATAGGTTCACATGTCTAGGTGGTGGTGGATAGGTTCACATGTCTAGGTGGTGGTGAATAGGTTCACATATCTAGGTGGTGAATAGGTTCACATATCTAGGTTGGTGGTGGATAGGTTCACATATCTAGGTGGTGGTGGATAGGTTCACATATCTAGTTGGTGGTGGATAGGTTCACATGTCTAGGTGGTGGTGAATAGGTTCACATATCTAGGTGGTGAATAGGTTCACATATCTAGGTGGTGGTGGATAGGTTCACATATCTAGGTGGTGGTGGATAGGTTCACATGTCTAGGTGGTGGATAGGTTCACATATCTAGGTGGTGGTGGATAGGTTCACATATCTAGGTGGTGGTGGATAGGTTCACATTTCTAGTTGGTGGTGGATAGGTTCACATATCTAGGTAGTGGATAGGTTCACATTTCTAGTTGGTGGTGGATAGGTTCACATATCTAGATGGTGGATAGGTTCACATATCTAGGTGGTGGATAGGTTCACATTTCTAGTTGGTGGTGTATAGGTTCACATATCTAGGTGGTGGATAGGTTCACATATCTAGGTGGTGGTGGATAGGTTCACATATCTAGGTGGTGGATAGGTTCACATGTCTAGGTGATGATGGATAGGTTCACATATCTAGGTGGTGGATAGGTTCACATTTCTAGTTGGTGGTGGATAGGTTCACATATCTAGGTGGTGGATAGGTTCACATGTCTAGGTGGTGGTGGATAGGTTCACATATCTAGGTGGTGGATAGGTTCACATGTCTAGGTCGTGGTGGATAGGTTCACATATCTAGGTGGTGGATAGGTTCACATATCTAGGTGGTGGTGGATAGGTTCACATATCTAGGTTGGAGTGGATAGGTTCATATATCTAGGTGGTGGTGGATAGGTTTACGTATCTAGGTTGGTGGTGGATAGGTTCACATATCTAGGTGGTGGTGGATAGGTTCACATATCTAGGTGGTGGATAGGTTCACATGTCTAGGTGATGGTGGATAGGTTCACATATCTAGGTGGTGGATAGGTTCACATTTCTAGTTGGTGGTGGATAGGTTCACATATCTAGGTGGTGGATAGGTTCACATGTCTAGGTGGTGGTGGATAGGTTCACATATCTAGGTGGTGGATAGGTTCACATGTCTAGGTGGTGGTGGATAGGTTCACATATCTAGGTGGTGGATAGGTTCACATATCTAGGTGGTGGTGGATAGGTTCACATATCTAGGTTGGAGTGGATAGGTTCATATATCTAGGTGATGGTAGATAGGTTCACAAGTCTAGGTGGTGGTGGATAGGTTCACATTTCTAGTTGGTGGTGGATAGGTTCACATTTCTAGTTGGTGGTGGATAGGTTCACATGTCTAGGTGATGGTGGATAGGTTTACATATCTAGGTGGTGGTGGATAGGTTCACATTTCTAGGTGGTGGTGGATAGGTTCACATGTCTAGGTGATGGTGGATAGGTTCACATATCTAGGTGGTGGTGGATAGGTTCACATTTCTAGTTGGTGGATAGGTTCACATTTCTAGTTGGTGGTGGATAGGTTCACATGTCTAGGTGGTGGATAGGTTCACATGTCTAGGTGGTGGTGGATAGGTTCACACATCTAGGTGGCGGTGGATAGGTTCACATATCTAGGTGGTGGATAGGTTCACATATCTAGGTGGTGGTGGATAGGTTCACATATCTAGGTGGTGGTGGATAGGTTCACATGTCTAGGTGGTAGATAGGTTCACAAGTCTAGGTGGTGGTAGATAGGTTCACAAGTCTAGGTGGTGGTGGATAGGTTCACATTTCTAGTTGGTGGTGGATAGGTTCACATGTCTAGGTGGTGGTGGATAGGTTCCGTGTCTAGGTGGTGGTGGATAGGTTCACATATCTAGGTGGTGGATAGGTTCACATATCTAGGTGGTGGATAGGTTCACATATCTAGATGGTGGATAGGTTTACATGTCTAGGTGGTGGTGGATAGGTTCACATTTCTAGTTGGTGGTGGATAGGTTCACATATCTAGGTGGTGGATAGGTTCACATATCTAGGTGGTGGATAGGTTCACATATCTAGATGGTGGATAGGTTTACATGTCTAGGTGGTGGTGGATAGGTTTACATGTCTAGGTGGTGGTGGATAGGTTCACATTTCTAGTTGGTGGTGGATAGGTTCACATATCTAGTTGGTGGTGGATAGGTTCACATTTCTAGTTGGTGGTGGATAGGTTCACATATCTAGGTGGTGGATAGGTTCACATATCTAGGTGGTGGATAGGTTCACATGTCTAGGTGGTGGATAGGTTCACATGTCTAGGTGGTGGTGGATAGGTTCACATATCTAGGTGGTGGATAGGTTCACATATCTAGGTGGTGGATAGGTTCACATGTCTAGGTGGTGGTGGATAGGTTCATATATCTAGGTGATGGTGGATAGGTTCACATTTCTAGTTGGTGGTGGATAGGTTCACATATCTTGGTATGGTGGATAGGTTCACATATCTAGGTGATGGTGGATTGGTTCACATTTCTAGTTGGTGGTGGATAGGTTCACATATCTAGGTATGGTGGATAGGTTCACATATCTAGGTTGGTGGTGGATTGGTTCACATATCTAGGTTGGTGGTGGATTGGTTCACATTTCTAGTTGGTGGTGGATAGGTTCACATTTCTAGTTGGTGGATAGGTTCACATGTCTAGGTGATGGTGGATAGGTTCACATATCTAGGTGGTGGTGGATTGGTTTACATATCTAGGTAGGGTGGATAGGTTCACATATCTAGGTTGGTGGTGGATAGGTTCACATATCTTGGTATGGTGGATAGGTTCACATATCTAGGTGATGGTGGATAGGTTCACATATCTAGGTATGGTGGATAGGTTCACATATCTAGGTTGGTGGTGGATTGGTTCACATATCTAGGTTGGTGGTGGATTGGTTCACATTTCTAGTTGGTGTTGGATAGGTTCACATTTCTAATTGGTGGATAGGTTCACATGTCTAGGTGATGGTGGATAGGTTCACATATCTAGGTAAGGTGGATAGGTTCACATATCTAGGTGGTGGTGGATTGGTTTACATATCTAGGTATGGTGGATAGGTTCACATATCTAGGTTGGTGGTGGATTGGTTCACATATCTAGGTGATGGTGGATTGGTTCACATTTCTAGTTGGTGGTGGATAGGTTCACATATCTAGGTATGGTGGATAGGTTCACGTATCTAGGTTGGTGGTGGATTGGTTTACATATTTAGTTTAGTGGTGAATAGGTTTACATATCTAGTTTGGTAGTAGATAGGTTCACATATCGTTATATAACGTTATGGTTTTAATATCGTGTGTGTGTGTGTGTGTAACAATAACCTTGACCCATATGGTCACATCTTACGATATTCTGTCCACAGAGTTCGAGACATATCAACAGACGCCATTCGTCTTGCTTTCTTCAGCAATGGCGGCATGCAGGAAGTTAACGTGGCCAAATTTATTTTCAACTTGCTGCACTGACCAACTGACCATCTCCTATCATTCTGATTTATAATTGTTTGCTACACTGACCAACTGACCATCATTCTGATTTATAATTGTTTGTCCCACTGACCAACTGACCATCTCCTATCATTCTGATTTATAATTGTTTGCTTCACTTACCAAACTTCTGGACTTTTTCTAGTTCTGTAGTAAATAAAAAAATAACCACATTTTTTGCCAAGTTTGTTTAATTTTACAGCTTTGTTGTCACTCAAATAATAACACAAATAAAGCTATATACATGTTGTCTGAAACTTGGCGGGACACTGGGCAGGTGAAGTAGAGTTGAGTAGGTCACCTGTGACGTCAGTATATGAAGGGATAGTGTGGTCAGACCCATGCTCAGCCGAAATCGGTGATTTTAAAAGATACAAAATGTCTTTTTGAATGTGGGGTCTGGTTATTTTGTGATGATAAGTGACAGACGTGATGTCATTTATGGATGACCCCCGAAACCCACAGTTATCTAACTAGATAACGGGTAGTCTAGTGTTTTTTTACAAGCTTTTATTTAACTCACTTCCTCTGTCTGTCTGTCTGTCTAGACGGAAACGCAGGAGTGAAAATTCGGACAGTTCTACTTGACCGATACGATTCACAGTTGGCACGTGGGTCAAGACATGAAGACAATGCAATCTGAAACTAAATTTGACTTAATTGGATGCCTAATTAATTTTTTATGAATTAATTAAAATTTGGACCGAATTAGTAGGCATGTCTAGCCAACCACACCACACGCGTCATCACCTTCAATAGCTGCGCCATCACGTAATGGCTGCGTTCAAAAACCATTGCGCGCCTACTGAACGTGATGTTCAGTAGGCGCGCAATGGTTTTTACAAGCTTTTATTTAACTCACTTCCTCTGTCTGTCTGTCTGTCTAGACGGAAACGCAGGAGTGAAAATTCGGACAGTTCTACTTGACCGATACGATTCACAGTTGGCACGTGGGTCAAGACATGAAGACAATGCAATCTGAAACTAAATTTGACTTAATTGGATGCCTAATTAATTTTTTATGAATTAATTAAAATTTGGACCGAATTAGTAGGCATGTCTAGCCAACCACACCACACGCGTCATCACCTTCAATAGCTTCAATGGCTGCGTTCAAAAACCATTGCGCGCCTACTGAACGTGATGTTCAGTAGGCGCGCAATGGTTTTTAGTCATGTAACTCTATTGTAAATAAAACATGTAAAGTACTGAAAAAAAATTCATAAAAAACGTTTTAATAACAAGCTTTTATGTAATGATGCACTAAAAAGTAGAAAATAAATTATAGACTACTATTTAAATAACTATAAAGAAAAGCGTGGGTGTCTTCCTTAACATTAGTAAAGGTATCCAATAGATACTAAAGTGACCCACGCTTTTCTTTATAGTTATTTAAATAGTAGTCTATAATTTATTTTCTACTTTTTAGTGCATCATTACATAAAAGCTTGTTATTAAAACGTTTTTTATGAATTTTTTTTTTTAAATGTGTCGGATGTTTAGCCATTTAGTAATTTCTTTGCTTTGTCATTAATATTACTCAACGTGTAGTAAAGCACATAGTGTTTTTTTCCAAATAAGCATAACAGTAAAAATATATAGGCCTATATTTCACGTGTAACGGGTACTGACGGCTAGTACTTCGAATACCAGAAAGTAAAAACAGTTCAATAAAAAGTCTGGAGCAGCATTCGTATGTGACCATAGCCTAATGTTGGCATAATAATAGTGGCTTTATATTAGCCTTATGATATTGGCTTATATTAGCCTAAAGATCATAGCCTAATGTTAGCCTTATGATGTTTAGTTTCCCAACTTGGGCGTGCGTTGATTGTTACATGTAATTAAAAACAGGAAGTGCACACTTTCATTCTATAACGGATGTGTACATTTCAAGCCTTTAACACAGTTGATTCAGAGGCGTGGGTCCCAGTAAAGTCTTGAAAACGACAAATATTGATCCCAGAGGTCTTTCTGCTTTTTATTACAAGATTTTTACAAGCTTTTATTACAAGCTTTTATTTAACTCACTTCCTCTGTCGTCGCCAGTCTGTCGTCAGTCTAGATCGAAACGCAGGAGTGAAAATTCGGAAACTTCTACTCGACCGATACGATTCACATTTGACACGTGGGTCAAGACATGAAGACAATGCAATCTGAAACTAAATTTGACTTAATTGGATGCCTAATTAATTTTTTATGAATTAATTAAAATTTGGACCGAATTAGTAGGCATGTCTAGCCAACCAAACCACACGCGTCATCACCTTCAATAGCTGCGCCATCACGTTCAATGGCTGCGTTCAAAAACCATTGCGCGCCTACTGAACGTGATGTTCAGTAGGCGCGCAATGGTTTTTAGTCATGTAACTCTATTGTAAATAAAACATGTAAAGTACTGAAAAAAATAATTCATAAAAAACGTTTTAATAACAAGCTTTTATGTACTAATGCACTAAAAAGTAGAAAATAAATTATACACTACTATTTAAATTACTATAAAGAAAAGCGTGGGTGTCTTCCTTAACATTAGTAAAAGTATCCAATAGATACTAAAGTGACCCACGCTTTTCTTTCTAGAAATTTAAATAGTAGTGTATAATTTATTTTCTACTTTTTAGTGCATTAGTACATAAAAGCTTGTTATTAAAACGTTTTTTATGAATTTTCTTTTAACTCACTTCCTCGTCAGTCTGTCGTCAGTCGTCAGTCTAGATCGAAATGCAGGAGTGAAAATTCGGACAGTTCTACTTGACCGATACGATTCACAGTTGGTACGTGGGTCAAGACATGAAGACAATGCAATCTGAAACTAAATTTGACTTAATTGGATGCCTAATTAATTTTTTATGAATTAATTAAAATTTGGACCGAATTAGTAGGCATGTCTAGCCAACCAAACCACACGCGTCATCACCTTCAATAGCTGCGCCATCACGTTCAATGGCTGCGTTCAAAAACCATTGCGCGCCTACTGAACGTGATGTTCAGTAGGCGCGCAATGGTTTTTAGTCATGTAACTCTATTGTAAATAAAACATGTAAAGTACTGAAAAAAATAATTCATAAAAAACGTTTTAATAACAAGCTTTTATGTACTAATGCACTAAAAAGTAGAAAATAAATTATACACTACTATTTAAATTACTATAAAGAAAAGCGTGGGTGTCTTCCTTAACATTAGTAAAAGTATCCAATAGATACTAAAGTGACCCACGCTTTTCTTTCTAGAAATTTAAATAGTAGTGTATAATTTATTTTCTACTTTTTAGTGCATTAGTACATAAAAGCTTGTTATTAAAACGTTTTTTATGAATTTTCTTTTAACTCACTTCCTCGTCAGTCTGTCGTCAGTCGTCAGTCTAGATCGAAATGCAGGAGTGAAAATTCGGACAGTTCTACTTGACCGATACGATTCACAGTTGGTACGTGGGTCAAGACATGAAGACAATGCAATCTGAAACTAAATTTGACTTAATTGGATGCCTAATTAATTTTTTATGAATTAATTAAAATTTGGACCGAATTAGTAGGCATGTCTAGCCAACCAAACCACACGCGTCATCACCTTCAATAGCTGCGCCATCACGTTCAATGGCTGCGTTCAAAAACCATTGCGCGCCTACTGAACGTGATGTTCAGTAGGCGCGCAATGGTTTTTAGTCATGTAACTCTATTGTAAATAAAACATGTAAAGTACTGAAAAAAATAATTCATAAAAAACGTTTTAATAACAAGCTTTTATGTACTAATGCACTAAAAAGTAGAAAATAAATTATACACTACTATTTAAATTACTATAAAGAAAAGCGTGGGTGTCTTCCTTAACATTAGTAAAAGTATCCAATAGATACTAAAGTGACCCACGCTTTTCTTTCTAGAAATTTAAATAGTAGTGTATAATTTATTTTCTACTTTTTAGTGCATTAGTACATAAAAGCTTGTTATTAAAACGTTTTTTATGAATTTTCTTTTAACTCACTTCCTCGTCAGTCTGTCGTCAGTCGTCAGTCTAGATCGAAATGCAGGAGTGAAAATTCGGACAGTTCTACTTGACCGATACGATTCACAGTTGGTACGTGGGTCAAGACATGAAGACAATGCAATCTGAAACTAAATTTGACTTAATTGGATGCCTAATAAATTTTTTAAGAATTAATTAAAATTCGGACCGAATTAGTAGGCATGTCTATCCAACCACACCACAAGCGTCATCACGTTCAATATCTGCGCCATCAGGTTCAATAGCTGCGCCATCACGTTCAACAGACGCGCAATGGTTTTTAGTCATGTAACACTATTGTAAATAAAACATGTAAAGTACTGACAAAAAATTTAAAAAAAAAACCCGTTTTAATAACAAGCTTTTATGTACTAATGCACTAAAAAGTAGAAAATAAATTATACACTACTATTTAAATCACTATAAAGAAAAGCGTGGGTCTCTTCTCAAATATTAGTAAAGGTATCCAATAGGTACTAAAGTACTAAAGTGACCCACGCTTTTCTTTATAGTAATTTAAATAGTAGTGTATAATTTATTTTCTACTTTTTAGTGCATTAGTACATAAAAGCTTGTTATTAAAACGTTTTTTTATGAATTTTTATTTAACTCACTTCCTCGTCAGTCGTCAGTCGTCAGTCTGTCTAGATCAAAACGCCGGAGTGAAAATTCGGAAACTTCTACTTGACCGATACGATTTACAGTTGGCACGTGGGTCAAGACATAAAGACAATGCAATCTAAAATTAAATTTGACTTAATTGGATGCCTAATTAATTTTTTATGAATTAATTAAAATTTGGACCGAACTAGTAGGCATGTCTATCCAACCACACCACACGCGCCATCACGTTCAGTAGGCGCGCAATGGTTTTTAGTCATGTAACTCTAATGTAAATAAAACATGTAAAGTACTGAAAAAAATAGTATAAAAAAGCTCTTTAATAACAAGCTTTTATGTTATAATGCACTAAAAAGTAGAAAATAAATTATAGACTACTATTTAAATAATCATAACCAAGAAAAGCGTGGGAGTCTTCCTTAACATTAGTTAAGGTATCCAATAGATACTAAAGTGACCCACGCTTTTTTTATTGTAATTTAAATAGTAGTCTATAATTTATTTTCTACTTTTTAGTGCATTATTACATAAAAGCTTGTTATTAAAACGTTTTTTTATGAATTTTTAACATAATTTACAACCAAACTCTTCTATAGTATAAAAGGAAAATCAAATGAAAATCAAATAAAGTAAACATAATTTTCTTCACCATCAAACCTAAAACACACTCATCATTTTCTTTCTTTCATTAGCTGTTTTATTGTTATATTTTTAAAAATATATTACTAAAACTTATTCCATTCTTATCGGTTGTTTTAAAATAATTTGCGTTAAACTAAGCTGAGATATACCTTACCCTAAACCTTATCCTAAACCTTACCCTAAACCTTACCCTAAACCTTACCCTAAACCTTACCCTAAACCTTACCCTAACCCTTACCCTAAACCTTACCCTAAACCTTACCCTAAACCTTACCCTAAACCTTACCCTAAACCTTACCCTAAACCTTACCCTAAACCTTACCCTAAACCTTACCCTAAACCTTACCCTAAACCTTACCCTAACCCTTACCCTAACCCTAAACCTTACCCTAACCCTTACCCTAAACCTTACCCTAAACCTTACCCTAAACCTTACCCTAAACCTTACCCTAAACCTTACCCTAAACCTTACCCTAAACCTTACCCTAAACCTTACCCTAAACCTTACCCTAAACCTTACCCTAAACCTTACCCTAAACCTTACCCTAAACCTTACCCTAAACCTTACCCTAAACCTTACCCTAAACCTTACCCTAAACCTTACCCTAAACCTTACCCTAAACGCTGCTAAAATATGTGAGTGATCTCATGAGCGATAAAAGCGTTTATCAAAAAAGGCAAGTTTTATTTTCGTTTTCTCATTGCATTTAAAAGCTTATTATTAGAAAGGTTTTAACAGTTCTATTTAATTTCCACTTTATAGTCGTTCATTTTAAAATAAGATTTACACTTTATAATATTTGCGTTGAAACCCGTTTAGGTCCAAAATTCACTCACAGCCAGCGTATTGAGAGATCGCTAGTATTCCATCTTGATGTCTCACAATTTTATTATTGAATTGGGCAATTTTTCCGTTGAATCTTTTTACCAACCTATTGCTAAATTAGATTTTAAAAATTAGATATTCTTGTATTGTCCCCGGAGACGAATGTATCTAAAAAGTTCGACCGAAGATTTGCCACAAATTACTGACCCAATGGGAATATCTACAATTAGTTTCATAACAAATTAATATCATAATGAAAAAAAAAATAATGGTAGAGATTGTTTATCTGTAACTAGCGTACTCGTTCGCGTTGTTGCGATCTAGTCCAACATAACAGGGTAACGAAACAATTTGCAAGCGTTTCATCAAGCGTTACCGATTATAAATTTTTAGTCGTGTGATCTTGTTTTCTAAAACTGAGATAATTGAAATGTAAACAATGCCAATGTCATTCCCCCCCCCCCCCCCCCCCGCATCTTTGGTTCTGGGGAGCGGGTGTGTCCACACTACCGCTCAGACGTTAATCATTCTCCGTAATAGTGAGCTTGAACACCTTTCGCCGACCGCGTAGGAGCGTCGCGGGAGTTACTAGTGGCACTACCATAGGTAGCCGGATGCAACTCTTGGTTCGGTTTAATCATCAAACGAAGAGGCCCGCCGTAGGGTGCTCCTATGCTTGGTGTCGTCCGTAAGGCCGCCCCTGTTGCAGTTTGATCGTTGAATTAGAAGAAACCCTACAGGACGCTCAATCAGGTAGCCACTGGCTATCTCGGGGCGCCCAACCTTAACTACTGCTGATGCGCTGGAGGACACCATTTATTCGCTTTTGTAATCAATGCTATTTTATTACCCTTCCGTATCCCTAGTGAATGGCGCTCATTAAAACGAATATAGGCGCCATAGTGCTCATGAGGAAGCACGGGGCGCACCGTGTTACACGACCGTCTGGTGCCCCGGCTCATGCGCCTGTGCAATTTGACCGCTAAATCAAGTAGTAACGCTGTACCGCTGCGCCGGACACCTAACCAACGGACCCCCAGGTGCAAAGAGCCGCTAGGAAACTGTGGGTGTCGAACCGCACCACCGTACTGTCTGGAGTCTTCTCAACGACTTCCTTATGTTTCTTGGCGATTGGATGAAAACCAAAAAAGTATGGTGTTAGTAGCCCCATATTGAGTAAAGAGTAATTAGATCAACAAGTGAAATGAAATTAAGGTAAAAATTGTACAAAGAGTCAAAGTTCAAGTTTATTTATCGGCTAATTCTTTCAATAGCTTCCCGGCTATTCGACAGCACCTGTATTGTTACTATTACAGATTGGTCCTGTTCAACCACTCCCCCCCCCCCACTCACACACACATTGAATGGCACTGCCTGTTCAATTAGAAAGGACTGGGTAGGGTTTTTTTTTTTGGAACTTTTAATTATTTCTATAGTAGAAAATAAACTTTCTTTTAAAAATTATTTACATAAAACAAATATTATGTAAGAGCTTTACTTTTTTGTAAAGAGGGAAAAGGGCCCCTATGTGCCTTGGGCCCCTATGCCTTGCTTACTCTAGTTTTACGGTAGCTACGCCACTGGTTTATAATACAGCCAAGTCCACAACAAATCAAGGCAAGTCTAAAATACAAACTATCTACTTCAAATGTCATTATTCTCATACTGTTATAAAAAGTTAAAGTAGTTAAAATTTAGCACTATAAAACAATTTGACTGTTTCTATCATAAACTTTAATTAAAATCAATATAGATATTTAAAATTTCTCAATTGGACTTCGGCCGGTCACGAACTGGCTGGCCAATGTCTAAAGTCAAGAAACATTTCGGACTTTGGCCGGTCATTTGGAAGCGATATGCATAACAACCCCCCCTCCCCTCCACACAGACACACAATAAAACATTAAAAGGCTGGGCCCGCCCCTACTCTTCTGAGCTGTGTATGAAACTAGCGACTATCTAGAAAGAAACTAAGTGGGTGTTCTGCTATTTGCTTGTTTACTTCGTGGGTCTGATGTGCACAGCAAATGAATGATGCAGCCACTTACAGTTTGGTGTGTAGTGACATTCTGTGGACTTCTTACTGGTAAATATTACTTTGTTTGTCACATCCTAAGTAATAAGTAATTAAAATTATGTTTTAATAGTTACAGTCTCTCTGATAAAAAATAGTCCCTTAAATTTTATTTTATTTAATATATTTCTTTATTACGTTTGTTAAAATAAATAGATTTTATATTTACTTAGCAATACTTAGCAAAAACTAAATACAACCAGCAGAAAAAAATTATTTGAATACATATGCACATGCGTATACACATACTTACACTTGTATATGGAATATATATATATATATATATATATATATATATATATATATATATATATATATATATATATATATATATATATATATATATATATATATATATATATATATATATATATATATATATATATATATATATGTATATATATATATATATATATATATATATATATCTTCGGCCACACTAATGCTATCCTTGTAGAGCTATCCTAGTCCTGCTATCCTTGTAGAGCTATCCTAGTCCTGCTATCCTTGTAGAGCTATCCTCGTCCTGCTATCCTTGTAGAGCTATCCTCGTCCTGCTATCCTTGTAGAGCTATCCTAGTCCTGCTATCCTTGTAGAGCTATCCTAGTCCTGCTATCCTTGTAGAGCTATCCTCGTCCTGCTATCCTTGTAGAGCTATCCTCGTCCTGCTATCCCTGTAGAACTATCCTAGTCCTGCTATCATTGTAGAGCTATCCTCGTCCTGCTATCCTTGTAGAGCTATCCTAGTCCTGCTATCCTTGTAGAGCTATCCTAGTCCTGCTATCGTTGTAGAGCTATCCTAGTCCTGCTATCCTTGTAGAGCTATCCTAGTACTGCTATCCTTGTAGAGCTATCCTAGTCCTGCTATCCTTGTGACCTTACTTCGGACCTAACATCTGACCTTACATTTGACCTTCCTACATTTCCTCCAGCTGCTGTGAGCAGGACAGCGGCTGAGAACGTTTTAAGTTGTATGACCTTCGAAGAGTTCCCGGATGATGAAGACATAACTGTCAAACCGACATCAGAGAAATTAAAAAGTAGGTCAAATTTCATTTTTAAATACGATAGCACAGCTTCAATCTTGGCAAAATCTAAAACTTTGCCAGCGTCTTATGTGTCGTAAAAATAATGTATGCAAATTCTATTTAATCTTAACCCTAACCCTAATTCTTGCACTTATTTAAAAATTAGGGCTTTGAGAGGCCGAGTGGAATGCATTGCTTTCCGCGCAGACGTCTCGTAAAATTATTATCAAACAGTAAAAAATTCAGTTTTTTTTTCTCTTATCCACGCTTTCGTAATACTACATGACATATTAGCCGTCCCGGCCAGGCTTCGCCCTGGCTTTTAAAAAACAGCATAATTACAAGGAAAAGGGCTATTATGTTTATTGGTGTTCATCATTTATCAAAGGATATACATGCACAATGATATCGTCTTTTGCTTGCTATCTGCTATTCATTAGTATTCTTAAAATTCTTTTTTGCTAATGGATTTCGCTACTATGAAAAACAACACGTAGCTTATAATAATAGTTTTTCTACAAAGGCCTACTGCTTATGAGTAAGTTTTTAAAAAAATAAAAACCGCTTTTTCCACGAAGTAATAGTAATTGTCTATTTTTAATTATCAGATTAAAACGTTTTTACAAGCTTTTATTTAATTTGCTTCCTCTGTCTGTCGTCATAGATCGAAACGGGCGAGCAAAATTTCGAGCACTTCTGACTGATTCGTTTCAAACTTGGCACAGTTCAAGACCCAATGATTATGCATTTTGACATCAAATGTGAATTAATTGGATGCTTAATTAATTTTAATGAATTAAAAATAATGTTCTGAAATTAAAAGGGTATCTACTAATATTCCGCACCATTATACACGCATTATAGGGTTCATTTGGTGCGCAATAGTTTTTAGTCATGCAACCCAATTAAAACTTTTTAAAATACTTAAAAATATAGCAGAAAATAACATTTTTGTAACAAGCTTATGTATAATAATGCACTTAAAAAGAGAAAATAAATTACTTTCTTTATAATAATGAACTACTAGTAAATTAAATGTATTCAATACATAATTAAGTCACCAACGCGAGTCTCTCTCTCTCTATATGTATGGTTCAATGACAAATAATCTCAGGACAAATGATCTCAGACAAAATATTTCAGACAAAATATCTCACGGGCAAATGATCTCTGAGATCATCTGTCCTTTCACCGTATATATATATATATATATATATATATATATATATATATATATATATATATATATATATATATATATATATATATATATATATAAACATATCTTAAGAGTGCATTACAGTTTCATTCACATGAAGTCATAACTGTTTATGAATTGACAGATTGTTGTGGCTTGAAGCAAAATGTCCACTATTATCCCGGCACTAAAGCTGGTCTGTTGACGCTTGACTGTGGAGATGATCTCATCACTGATGTCGACATCACTGCCAGAAACTGTGAGAAGAAATGTACTGGGCTCACCTTGGACTTGTATGCAGCCTCTCGTTACTGCTGGTGGAAGGTGGGATAGTTTATGTCACAGTTGGTGGGATAGTTTATGTCACAGTTGGTGGGAGGTGGGATAGTTTTTGTCACAGTTGGTGGAAGGTGGAATAGTTTATGACACAGTTGGTGGAAGGTGGAATAGTTTATGACACAGTTGGTGGAAGGTGGAATAGTTTATGACACAGTTGGTGGGATAGTTTATGTCACAGTTGGTGGAAGGTGGGATAGTTTATGTCACAGTTGGTGGAAGGTGGGATAGTTTATGTCACAGTTGGTGGAAGGTGGGATAGTTTATGTCACAGTTGGTGGAAGGTGGGATAGTTTATGTCACAGTTGGTGGAAGTTGAAATAGTTTATGGCACAGTTGGTGGTAGGGGGGATAGTTTATGTCACAGTTGGTGGGATAGTTTATGTCACAGTTGGTGGAAGGTGGGATAGTTTATGACACAGTTGGTGGAAGGTGGGATAGTTTATGTCACAGTTGGTGGAAGGTGGGATAGTTTATGTCACAGTTGGTGGAAGGTGGGATAGTTTATGTCACAGTTGGTGGGAGGTGGGATAGTTTTTGTTACAGTTGGTGGGATAGTTTATGTCACAGTTGGTGGGAGGTGGGATAGTTTATGTCACAGTTGGTGGGAGGTGGGATAGTTTATGTAACAGCTGGTGGGATAGTTTATGTCACAGTTGGTGGAAGGTGGGATAGTTTATGTCACAGTTGGTGGGAGGTGGGATAGTTTATGTCACAGTTGGTGGAAGGTGGGATAGTTTATGTCACAGTTGGTGGAAGGTGGGATAGTTTATGTCACATTTGGTGGAAGGTGGGATAGTTTATGACACAGTTGGTGGAAGGTGGGATAGTTTATGTAACAGCTGGTGGGATAGTTTATGTCACAGTTGGTGGAAGGTGGGATAGTTTATGTAACAGCAGGTGGTAGGGGGGATAGTTTATGTCACAGTTGGTGGGAGGTGGGATAGTTTTTGTCACAGTTGGTGGGATAGTTTATGTCACAGTTGGTGGAAGGTGGGATAGTTTTTGTCACAGTTGTTGGAAGGTGGGATAGTTTATGTAACAGCTGGTAGAAGGTGGGATAGTTTATGTCACAGTTGGTGGGAGGTGGGATAGTTTTTGTCACAGTTGGTGGGATAGTTTATGGCACAGTTGGTGGAAGGTGGGATAGTTTATGTCACAGTTGGTGGGAGGTGGGATAGTTTATGTAACAGCTGGTGGGATAGTTTATGTCACAGTTGGTGGAAGGTGGGATAGTTTATGTCACAGTTGGTGGGAGGTGGGATAGTTTATGACACAGTTGGTGGAAGGTGGGATAGTTTATGTCACAGTTGGTGGAAGGTGGGATAGTTTATGTCACAGTTGGTGGAAGGTGGGATAGTTTATGTCACATTTGGTGGAAGGTGGGATAGTTTATGACACAGTTGGTGGGATAGTTTATGTCACAGTTGGTGGAAGGTGGGATAGTTTTTGTCACAGTTGGTGGAAGGTGGGGTAGTTTATATCACAGTTGGTGGGAGGGGGGATAGTTTATGTCACAGTTGGTGGGATAGTTTATGACACAGTTGGTGGAAGGTGGGATAGTTTATGTAACAGCAGGTGGTAATGGGGATAGTTTATGTCACAGTTGGTGGGAGGTGGGATAGTTTTTGTCACAGTTGGTGGGATAGTTTATGTCACAGTTGGTGGAAGGTGGGATAGTTTTTGTCACAGTTGTTCGAAGGTGGGATAGTTTATGTAACAGCTGGTGGGATAGTTTATGTCACAGTTGTTGGAAAGTGGGATAGTTTATGTAACAGCTGGTGGTAGGGGGGATAGTTTATGTAACAGCTGGTGGTAGGGGGGATAGTTTATGTCACAGTTGGTGGAAGGTGGGGTAGTTTATGTCACAGTTGGTGGAAGGTGGGGTAGTTTATGTCACAGTTGGTGGGAGGTGGGATAGTTTTTGTCACAGTTGGTGGGAGGTGGGATAGTTTATGTCACAGTTGGTGGGGTAGTTTATGTCACAGTTGGTGGGAGGTGGGATAGTTTATGTCACAGTTGGTGGAAGGGGGGATAGTTTATGTCACAGTTGTTGGAAGGTGGGATAGTTTATGTCACAGTTGGTGGAAAGTGGGATAGTTTATGTCACAGTTGGTGGAAGGTGGGATAGTTTATGTCACAGTTGGTGGAAGGTGGGATAGTTTATGTCACAGTTGGTGGAAGGTGGGATAGTTTATGTCACAGTTGGTGGAAGGTGGAATAGTTTATGGCACAGTTGGTGGTAGGGGGGATAGTTTATGTCACAGATGGTGGGATAGTTTATGTCACAGTTGGTGGAAGGTGGGATAGTTTATGACACAGTTGGTGGAAGGTGGGATAGTTTATGTCACAGTTGGTGGAAGGTGGGATAGTTTATGTCACAGTCGGTGGAAGGTGGGGTAGTTTATGTCACAGTTGGTGGGAGGTGGGATAGTTTTTGTCACAGTTGGTGGGATAGTTTATGTCACAGTTGGTGGGAGGTGGGATAGTTTATGTCACAGTTGGTGGGAGGTGGGATAGTTTATGTCACAGTTGGTGGAAGGTGGGATAGTTTATGTCACAGTTGGTGGGAGGTGGGATAATTTATGTCACAGTTGGTGGAAGGTGGGATAGTTTAAGTCACAGTTGGTGGAAGGTGGAATAGTTTATGGCACAGTTGGTGGTAGGGGGGATAGTTTATGTCACAGTTGGTGGGATAGTTTATGTCACAGTTGGTGGAAGGTGGGATAGTTTATGACACAGTTGGTGGAAGGTGGGATAGTTTATGTCACAGTTGGTGGAAGGTGGGATAGTTTATGTCACAGTCGGTGGAAGGTGGGGTAGTTTATGTCACAGTTGGTGGGAGGTGGGATAGTTTTTGTCACAGTTGGTGGGATAGTTTATGTCACAGTTGGTGGGAGGTGGGATAGTTTATGTCACAGTTGGTGGGAGGTGGGATAGTTTATGTCACAGTTGGTGGAAGGTGGGATAGTTTATGTCACAGTTGGTGGGAGGTGGGATAATTTATGTCACAGTTGGTGGAAGGTGGGATAGTTTAAGTCACAGTTGGTGGAAGGTGGGATAGTTTATGTCACATTTGGTGGAAGGTGGGATAGTTTATGACACATTTGGTGGAAGGTGGGATAGTTTATGTAACAGCTGGTGGGATAGTTTATGTCACAGTTGGTGAAAGGTGGGATAGTTTATGTAACAGCAGGTGGTATGGGGGATAGTTTATGTCACAGTTGGTGGGAGGTGGGATAGTTTTTGTCACAGTTGGTGGGATAGTTTATGTCACAGTTGGTGGAAGATGGGATAGTTTTTGTCACAGTTGTTGGAAGGTGGGATAGTTTATGTAACAGCTGGTAGAAGGTGGGATAGTTTATGTCACAGTTGGTAGAAGGTGGGATAGTTTATGTCACAGTTGGTGGAAGGTGGAATAGTTTATGGCACAGTTGGTGGTAGGGGGGAAAGTTTATGTCACAGTTGGTGGGATAGTTTATGTCACAGTTGGTGGAAGGTGGGATAGTTTATGACACAGTTGGTGGAAGGTGGGATAGTTTATGTCACAGTTGTTGGAAGGTGGGATAGTTTATGTCACAGTTGGTGGAAGGTGGGATAGTTTATGTCACAGTTGGTGGGATAGTTTATGTCACAGTTGGTGGAAGGTGGGATAGTTTATGTAACAGCAGGTGGTAATGGGGATAGTTTATGTCACAGTTGGTGGGAGGTGGGATAGTTTTTGTCACAGTTGGTGGGATAGTTTATGTCACAGTTGGTGGAAGGTGGGATAGTTTTTGTCACAGTTGTTCGAAGGTGGGATAGTTTATGTAACAGCTGGTAGAAGGTGGGATAGTTTATGTCACATTTGGTGGAAGGTGGGATAGTTTATGACACAGTTGGTGGAAGGTGGGATAGTTTATGTAACAGCTGGTGGGATAGTTTATGTCACAGTTGTTGGAAGGTGGGATAGTTTATGTAACAGCTGGTGGTAGGGGGGATAGTTAATGTAACAGCTGGTGGTAGGGGGGATAGTTTATGTCACAGTTGGTGGAAGGTGGGATAGTTTGTGTCACAGTTGGTGGAAGGTGGTGTAGTTTATGTCACAGTTGGTGGGAGGTGGGATAGTTTTTGTCACAGTTGGTGGGAGGTGGGATAGTTTTTGTCACAGTTGGTGGAAGGTGGAATAGTTTATGACACAGTTGGTGGAAGGTGGAATAGTTTATGACACAGTTGGTGGAAGGTGGAATAGTTTATGACACAGTTGGTGGGATAGTTTATGTCACAGTTGGTGGAAGGTGGGATAGTTTATGACACAGTTGGTGGAAGGTGGGATAGTTTATGTCACAGTTGGTGGAAGGTGGGATAGTTTATGTCACAGTTGGTGGAAGGTGGGATAGTTTATGTCACAGTTGGTGGGAGGTGGGATAGTTTTTGTTACAGTTGGTGGGATAGTTTATGTCACAGTTGGTGGGAGGTGGGATAGTTTATGTCACAGTTGGTGGGAGGTGGGATAGTTTATGTAACAGCTGGTGGGATAGTTTATGTCACAGTTGGTGGAAGGTGGGATAGTTTATGTCACAGTTGGTGGGAGGTGGGATAGTTTATGTCACAGTTGGTGGAAGGTGGGATAGTTTATGTCACAGTTGGTGGAAGGTGGGATAGTTTATGTCACATTTGGTGGAAGGTGGGATAGTTTATGACACAGTTGGTGGAAGGTGGGATAGTTTATGTAACAGCTGGTGGGATAGTTTATGTCACAGTTGGTGGAAGGTGGGATAGTTTATGTCACAGTTGTTGGAAGGTGGGATAGTTTATGTAACAGCTGGTAGAAGGTGGGATAGTTTATGTCACAGTTGGTGGGAGGTGGGATAGTTTTTGTCACAGTTGGTGGGATAGTTTATGGCACAGTTGGTGGAAGGTGGGATAGTTTATGTCACAGTTGGTGGGAGGTGGGATAGTTTATGTAACAGCTGGTGGGATAGTTTATGTCACAGTTGGTGGAAGGTGGGATAGTTTTTGTCACAGTTGTTCGAAGGTGGGATAGTTTATGTAACAGCTGGTGGAAGGTGGGATAGTTTATGTCACAGTTGGTGGAAGGTGGGATAGTTTATGTCACAGTTGGTGGAAGGTGGGATAGTTTATGTCACATTTGGTGGAAGGTGGGATAGTTTATGACACAGTTGGTGGGATAGTTTATGTCACAGTTGGTGGAAGGTGGGATAGTTTTTGTCACAGTTGGTGGAAGGTGGGGTAGTTTATATCACAGTTGGTGGGAGGGGGGATAGTTTATGTCACAGTTGGTGGGATAGTTTATGACACAGTTGGTGGAAGGTGGGATAGTTTATGTAACAGCAGGTGGTAATGGGGATAGTTTATGTCACAGTTGGTGGGAGGTGGGATAGTTTTTGTCACAGTTGGTGGGATAGTTTATGTCACAGTTGGTGGAAGGTGGGATAGTTTTTGTCACAGTTGTTCGAAGGTGGGATAGTTTATGTAACAGCTGGTGGGATAGTTTATGTCACAGTTGTTGGAAGGTGGGATAGTTTATGTAACAGCTGGTGGAAGGTGGGATAGTTTATGACACAGTTGGTGGAAGGTGGGGTAGTTTATGTCACAGTTGGTGGGAGGTGGGATAGTTTTTGTCACAGTTGGTGGGATAGTTTATGTCACAGTTGGTGGGAGGTGGGATAGTTTATGTCACAGTTGGTGGGAGGTGGGATAGTTTATGTCACAGTTGGTGGAAGGTAGGATAGTTTATGTCACAGTTGGTGGGAGGTGGGATAGTTTATGTCACAGTTGGTGGAAGGTGGGATAGTTTAAGTCACAGTTGGTGGAAGGTGGGATAGTTTATGTCACATTTGGTGGAAGGTGGGATAGTTTATGACACATTTGGTGGAAGGTGGGATAGTTTATGTAACAGCTGGTGGGATAGTTTATGTCACAGTTGGTGGAAGGTGGGATAGTTTATGTAACAGCAGGTGGTATGGGGGATAGTTTATGTCACAGTTGGTGGAAGGTGGGATAGTTTTTGTCACAGTTGTTGGAAGGTGGGATAGTTTATGTAACAGTTGGTAGAAGGTGGGATAGTTTATGTCACAGTTGGTGGAAGGTGGAATAGTTTATGGCACAGTTGGTGGTAGGGGGGAAAGTTTATGTCACAGTTGGTGGGATAGTTTATGACACAGTTGGTGGAAGGTGGGATAGTTTATGACACAGTTGGTGGAAGGTGGGATAGTTTATGTCACAGTTGGTGGAAGGTGGGATAGTTTATGTCACAGTTGGTGGAAGGTGGGGTAGTTTATGTCACAGTTGGTGGGAGGTGGGATAGTTTTTTAACAGTTGGTGGGATAGTTTATGTCACAGTTGGTGGGAGGTGGGATAGTTTATGTCACAGTTGGTGGGAGGTGGGATAGTTTATGTAACAGCTGGTGGGATAGTTTATGTCACAGTTGGTGGAAGGTGGGATAGTTTATGTCACAGTTGGTGGGAGGTGGGATAGTTTATGACACAGTTGGTGGAAGGTGGGATAGTTTATGTCACAGTTGGTGGAAGGTGGGATAGTTTATGTCACAGTTGGTGGAAGGTGGGATAGTTTATCTCACATTTGGTGGAAGGTGGGATAGTTTATGACACAGTTGGTGGGATAGTTTATGTCACAGTTGGTGGAAGGTGGGATAGTTTTTGTCACAGTTGGTGGAAGGTGGGGTAGTTTATGTCACAGTTGGTGGGAGGTGGGATAGTTTATGTCACAGTTGGTGGGATAGTTTATGACACACTTGGTGGAAGGTGGGATAGTTTATGTAACAGCAGGTGGTAATGGGGATAGTTTATGTCACAGTTGGTGGGAGGTGGGATAGTTTTTGTCACAGTTGGTGGGATAGTTTATGTCACAGTTGGTGGAAGGTGGGATAGTTTTTGTCACAGTTGTTCGAAGGTGGGATAGTTTATGTAACAGCTGGTAGAAGGTGGGATAGTTTATGTCACATTTGGTGGAAGGTGGGATAGTTTATGACACAGTTGGTGGAAGGTGGGATAGTTTATGTAACAGCTGGTGGGATAGTTTATGTAACAGCTGGTGGGATAGTTTATGTAACAGCTGGTGGTAGGGGGGATAGTTAATGTAACAGCTGGTGGTAGGGGGGATAGTTTATGTCACAGCTGGTGGTAGGTGGGATAGTTTATGTCACAGTTGGTGGAAGGTGGGATAGTTTATGTCACAGTTGGTGGAAGGTGGGATAGTTTATGTCACAGTTGGTGGAAAGTGGGATAGTTTATGTCACAGTTGGTGGAAGGTGGGATAGTTTATGTCACAGTTGGTGGGAGGTGGGATAGTTTATGTCACAGTTGGTGGGATAGTTTATGACACAGTTGGTGGAAGGTGGGATAGTTTATGTCACAGTTGGTGGAAGGTGGAATAGTTTATGGCACAGTTGGTGGAAGGTGGGATAGTTTATGTCACAGTTGGTGGGATAGTTTATGTCACAGTTGGTGGAAGGTGGGATAGTTTATGTCACAGCTGGTGGGAGGTGGGATAGTTTATGTCACAGTTGGTGGAAAGTGGGATAGTTTATGTCACATTTGGTGGAAGGTGGGATAGTTTATGTCACAGCTGGTGGAAGGTGGGGTAGTTTATGTCACATTTGGTGGAAGGTGGGATAGTTGTATTTCTTGCACCTCAAGCACACACACCTGACATAACGAAGAAAATGCTATCATAGCTGAATACACACTCCTTAACGTGACTGTCCAGCTTGCCCTAGCTGTCTCATAATTTACCAAACATCCCGTTAGCAAATCTTACGAGATAAGTAGTTTAGTTCCGTCTGCATCTAACCCTACAGTGTCCTTCATCCTTTTGTCTGAATTTACCACCACCCTCCCCGCTCCCTTAGTAACAGATCTCCCAAGCTCCAGGTCTGAGTTGTTGCGACCTACTTTCATGCCACTCCCCTGTCTTAGTTTAATGCATGAGCGCCATATTACGGCGCTTCTCTACCACTGGTAAAGATAACGCACGACCCGAATTCTTTTGGATGGTTGTAGGCTGATGACTTACCAAACTAAAATATTACCAGAGAACCGTGAACTCGTATCTAATGTCTAGGGTAAAAACACGAAGACCTTCTGCAACTAATTATACTTTTAATCAATACACAACCTTTTAATATGTATACAAGTCCAAATAATAAATACTATGTAAAATAATAGAAATAAACAAATAATGAAAGACCCAACTTACGAGTTGAAGAATAACACAATGAAACTACTAACACTGGATAAGGTACTTAAGTAATCAACACAACCTACATGATTTTAAATTGAGGCACAGAAAAATACTGAATGCAGAGGTAATTAGGGAAAAATGCTGCTTAACTTAGAAAATACAACATGGCGTCGTACATGGCATTCTCAGGAAAATTCCTGATATATATATATAGGACCCCAGAATTATGGGATGTTCACCTCAAAGTCAAAGACTATTGGGTAGGAAATAGCCGAAGCACTAGCCAAGCGAAATCATTGGTGAATCTTATCACGTGATGGAAAATTTCTTTGGATTGCACCACAGACCATTCAAGGCCAATTAAATAGAAAATCAAACCATTAAATAATAAAAAAGAAGACCTAAGTAGGTCACAGCCAGGTCTTTCCTGGTCCAACTCTCGGTAGTGGTAACACTACTGATAAACAAACTGTAGTCGTTAAAGTAAAAAAGTAAAGTAAAGTTTCCCTTTCAAACCTGACGGTTTATGGGGCTAGTGACGTAGAGTTCACTTGTTTCTGTGACCTCGGCATATGAAGAGATAGTGTGGTCAGCACTATGCCCAGCCGCCTTTACTTTCCCTAACGTGAGTTAGGTACCCATCAGAGTTGGGTGGACTCAATGACGTTCTACTTACTTGAAACCGGATTCGAACTCGAGACTTACGGGTTGAAGTACTGGTACAGATTTAATAAAGGACTATGGTTAAAATGCTAAAATACCATTTTTTAGCTGCCAAAAAATGTTTCGGTGTTTTCAGACAAAATGTGAGGTGATGTACACGGCCGGTGTTATAATGATTGGCAAAGGATGTTATTATCAACCCACATATTTAGAGGTCAGCTATTCATGCCTCAAGAAAGGTCAGTATAGTGGCAGAACCAAATTCTCTTGACATTTAGAATACAGGCTATGGATTAAGATAAAAGTTAATCATTATATGTAAGGGTAGCTTAACCCTAACGCTAACCATATTGTTCTTGTGTCATGTATTAATGTCATGTCACAGTGTCATGTCATTGTGGCATGACATTGTTCTTGTGTCATATGTTTAATTTACTTAAACATTTAACATCTTTTTACGGGACATTCTTAATTTTTAGAATCGTATTTTTTACGTGTGTGGGCTGGGGGTAGGGCCGGGGTTTATGTGGGACAACAAGACGTCCAAACTAAAATACTCAAACATAACGAACGTTTAGTGGTTTAGTGACCTGCACATGAGAATGCAGCGAATAGATTTAAGTGATTGATGCAAACTGAAATAAACACGTCTTCTCTTATTTTACTTTCTCGTATATTGTATTGTAACTGTCGGAAAAACACAGTTTTGCAATTTTGTTCATATATATATATATATATATATATATATATATATATATATATATATATATATATATATATATATATATATATATGTGTGTGTGTGTGTGTATGTATGTGTTTATGAAAACAATAACTTGAGTACTGTTACACCTAGGTTGATGAAATTTCATATTTAAGTATTATATTAACTTTGTAGTTCTGTTTCAACTTTTCAGCGATTTCCGGTAAATGGAAGTGGAATTTAGTCTGCGTTCAATTTTTCAATAGCCTATAACTCGAGTACTGTTTCAGATAGATAAACAAATTTCACATATAAGTAAAACATTTAATTCCCTGTCTTCTGTCGAATTTTGAGTAATTTCCGTTGACCGGAAGTAGTAATTTACGCTAAAGTAATATTAATTATAAATTTATAAAGTACTAATAATATTACGCACTACTATACAAATATTGTTTGCCGTTTACTTGGTGCGCAATTCTTTTTTTCTACGAGATTCTATTCTATTTTAAAAAGCTTAAGTGATTAAAAATGGATTAAAATCATGTCTATATCCCGAGTTGCCATTCCCCGTAATGTTATATAAAAATATTCGAGAAAGTTTAGGGGAGATCACTACCGGTTTATTATAAATATTGTAATATCAATTTGACTTTCACATCTAAAAAATGAGATAAGCTTAGCAAATTACGAAATGTTATAACAAACCCCACCAAAAACAACACACTGTACCACATAGCAGCCCACTCCAACCTCAATACTACATTATTTACCTCACCCCACACAATGATCCACTCCAACCTCAATACTACACAATATACCTCGCCCCACACAACGATCCACACCAAAACACACCTCACCCTAAACCCTAATACACACACACCACACAACCCACATTCACATGTCTCACACACACAACACACACACCTCACCTCACCCTGAACCCTAATACACACACACTACAACCCACACACCTCACCCCACTTCACTCGACCTCATTTCACACCAAAAACACCATTTACCCACACCACAAACACCACACACTACATCACACAAGAGCAAGACATGGAGTAAAACGGAGTGTCAAAGGTGAAGTAGAATGAAATAGATTTTAGTAGAATAAAGTCAAATTAGAATTAGAGAGTTAGTGAAGTAGAGAGTAGTATAGTACACATTCGACTACACAGTAAAATGTAAAAAAAATATAGTATAACTCAGTAGTCAAGAATACAATGTATAAGAATTTAGTAGGATAGATCTGTATGGAGTAGAATATCGTTCACGTAAAAACATACATCCTGCGGCACATATCCCATTATCTTATATATATATATATATATATATATATATATATATATATATATATATATATATATATATATATATATATATATATGCAAACTTATAAATATTTAGTCGATTTTATTATAATATAGAAAACAAACGATTCAAAACGAAAAAATCGGTATTTAAAAAAATAGTATTGCAAGTTACACATCTGTAACGCATTACATTTAGTTAACCTCTATGAAAGAGGAGGGGAGGGGCTTTCTTTTTGAGGACGTCGGAAATGGCTAACCCTTTACTAGTATCAAACACTTTTAATTTGTCTAAAAACCATACCTCTAAACAGTTTTGAAACCAATGACAACTGATTTTTCAGAAACGCCTATCGTTGATGTGATGAACCTTGTACAAACGGTGCAGGCGGCAGAGGGCACCATACGCTCACATGGTGGGAGCAATCCGAGCTTAAAGGAGCATATAACGTAAGAACATTCAACTTTGTCAAATGTTAATGGCACAACTGCCGAAAACAGAAACTAATATGATGTAGGTCCAAACCATATCACTAGTCCCACAAAAACATCACCAGTCTAAAAACTAAATCAAAATTCGGCAAAGCTATATGACCAGTTAACAGATATACATCACCAGTCTAAAAACTAAATCAAAATAGGGCAAAGCTATATGATCAGTTAACAGACATACGTCACCAGTCTAAAAACTAAATCAAAATAGGGCAAAGCTATATGATCAGTTAACAGACATACGTCACCAGTCTAAAAACTAAATCAAAATAGGGCAAAGCTATATGATCAGTTAACAGACATACGTCACCAGTCTAAAAACTAAATCAAAATAGGGCAAAGCTATATGATCAGTTAACAGACATACGTCACCAGTCTAAAAACTAAATCAAAATAGGGCAAAGCTATATGATCAGTTAACAGACATACGTCACCGATCACAGTTTTGTGAATTCTTTCTTCTCATGTATCAAGTATAGAAGAAGTTTTATAATTGTACAACAAATCGAAAGTGTGTGTATTTGTGTGTGTGTCTGTCCGTCCATCCGTCAGTCCGTCCGTCTGTCTGTCCGTCTGTACGTCCGTCCGTCTGTGTGTCTGTCTGTCTGTCAGTCTGAAAAAGAAAAGCTTGGATCACTTTAGTACCTATTGTATATCTTTACTAATATTTGAGAAGAGACCCACGCTTTACTTTATAGTAATTTAAATAGTAGTGTATAATTTATTTTCTACTTTTTAGTGCATTATTACATAAAAGCTTGTTATTAAAACGTTTTTTATGAATTTTTCTCAGTACTTTACATGTTTTATTTACAATAGAACTACATGACTAAAAACCATTGCGCACCTATTGAACGTGATGGCGCAGCTATTGAACGTGATGACGCGGGTGGTGTGTTTGGATAGACATGCCTACTAATTCGGTCCAAAGTTAAATTAATTCATAAAAAATAATTAGGCATCCAATTAAGTCAAATTTAATGTCATAATTCATTGTCTTTATGTCGTGACCCACGTATCAATTACCAACCGTATCTGTCAGTTAGAAATGTCAGAATTTTCGCTCCGACGTTTCGATCTAGACTGACGACAGACAGAGAAAGTGAGTTAAATAAAAGCTTGTAAAAAATTCATTAAAAAAATTCACAAAAAACGTTTTAATAACAAGCTTTTATGTACTAATACACTAAAAAGTAGAAAATAAATTATACACTACTATTTAAATTACTATAAAGAAAAGCGTGGGTACTTGCAATTAAGTTGCAGGGAAATTGTTCTTGCCAAAGTTTCCTGTTTAATCTCCTTTTAACGGGAAAATTAGAGTCAGCTAAAAAAACGAGTTTAAAGTGACAGAAAACTAATCTAAACTGACAGGGGCATTATATAAACTATACCTTTTTTAAAGTGCTTAAATTAGATCCACCACTTGCTGATGCGACAAAAAGTTGACATTTGATAAGGAAATAGATCTGGTGCTGTAAGCACCTGGGAAAATACCAGATTCTCAGAAATGTCATATTAAGGGGTTAAAAATAGAAACGTTTTACTTCTCAATTGTAATTATTAAATGGACGCAACAGAATCAGGAATTTAACCTTTTAATTTCCCCCGTTCTTTGACTACATAAAAAAATCAACGAAGAAAACCTACAGATAGAAGAAAAATTCCTTTAAAATTTATACTAAACGTTTTTCAAATAGGTGTGAAAAATAATTACATTTATAGCTCAATTTGACCTATTTAAAGGGATATAACTGTTTCAGGAATTTAAACTCTTAATTTCCCTTCTCCTTTGACTAGTTTAAACTTCTAAGACGACACACACAAATAAAACACAAGATTTTGATAACGGAAAAATTCCTTTACAAAGTTGTAGTAAACTATTTTTACATAGGTGGGAAAATTAATTACTGATGACTTATAATTAATTTTTTGTTAGACAGGTGAGGTAAACAAAGCAAATACGTCACAGACAAAGAATGCCGTTAATTAGTGTGTTGGGTGCCAATTGGTGCACACGGGTATATAATTTTAAATAGGACACTGTTAAGCTATTTGTACACTACTATTGAATAGTTAAAGAGTATATTTAGTAAAAAAAACTCTAAGAAAGAGAAATTCAAACTTTGACAGGTAAATCAACAGGAATAATTAAACTTCGTAAACTTGTAAGTAGTTGTTGAATGAAATAAGCAAAAATATAGTAATATGAATTGTATAGGATGGTATGGTGCGATTTTTTTGCTATTGTTTTTAATTCACTAAACTCCTCGAATCTAGTAAACTAATAACAACAACGCTATACTTTATATGTGTTGCAAAATAAACACGGTTATAAAATTGTAACATAATAAGTCTCTAACACCATTAGGCGCCACACCGGGTGACACCTGACCTTGCTACGCCACTGGCTTTTAGGGTGTAAAAAGCTATTTACTCTTACATATTATTATTCTATTTTATTTTGTATATTTTAATTGTATCGTTTGAGGTTGTTGCTCGATAGGTGAGTGAAAGTATGTGATAAGCTGTTTCCTGTTGAATAGTTGACTCTGATGGTTTGTAGATGTGTGTAATTAAAAGTTATATTGGAGAATGGCAGGTAATATAAAGGTAAACTTTTAGAATCCAGTGCTGTTGCTGTTTTCAACGTTGCATTATGCAATTTAATTTTTGTTAAAACACAATTTCTGAACAAACATATATATATATATATATATATATATATATATATATATATATATATATATATATATATATATATATATATGTATTAACATTTAAATTTGGACATGGCTTTACATGACTGGAGCAATGCATATCCTATAACGGCTCGTTCTTTTATACCAATACGGTAGATGGCACTTCCAGTGTAATGGGGATAGAGAATTTTTTTTTTAACTTACAGCTTCTATCCCACTTATTTTTAGAACAAAAGAAAAGGTCATTACACCAGCGGGTACACTTGATGCGCACATTTTTTTAAAGTCGAAAACATGTGTATCTTGAATCCTTAAATGAACAAAACACAATATGAGTATAATAGCGCGAAAAAATAGTACTTTATCAAGGAAACATTGAATAATTTTTAAAAAATAGTTTATTACGCATCTAATTAAACCACATTTTATGTCATAGTTCATTATCATTGAGTCTTTACCTACATGAACATTTTGAATCAAATCGGTCCAGGAGAAGAGATACTTTAGAGAAAACGGAAATAAAGTAGGCTACTACTTTCGGTCACTGTAAATTACTCAAAATGTGAGAGATTCAAGATAATGTATATCGTATACATATGTCTATAATATTGTTTACCTAAACGATACTTAGGTTATTGGTATTTTAGAAACCGGAAATAGAGTGAAATACCTATTCCGTTTATTGAAGGTAACTCAAAATTTGAATATTATTCAACTTTAAGGTCCTATACTTATATATAAAATGTCTTTTACCTAACTGAAACAGTACTTAGGTTAAAGAGTTCTCTCGCAAATAGAGTAAAGTACCACATCTGGTTACCAAAAATTGTTACAACGTTGAAGAATTACTGCGCAAACAATTTAATACATATACATGAATGTTAGTCTACATAACTTAAACGGCGCTCCAGTTATTGGTTTTTTAAAAAAACGAAAGTAGAGAATGTACCACTTTCGGGAACTTGAAATCGCTCAGACGTTGATACAAGACTACAAAATTGATATTGTACTTATATATGAAATTTCGTTCACATATGTGAGCGGGTGAATGGATGATTTATTTTGTATTATTTTATTGGGTGCGAATTTGTGCGTGAATGGTCCACTGGACAGCGGCTACAGGGTTTCCCCTTCCGCCCGAAGCGGTCAGTATAAAAACTGACCGCTCGGATAATTTCTTTCTTTTTACCCGAGGCGAAATGTAGATCGGGTCAGTTTCTGTGTGGGCACCTCGTGCTTGCAGTGAGGTTGCTTGTGCAACTTGGCTGGGTGTTTTGTTTAGTCGAGTTTTGTTTAGTCGTGTTTTGTTTAGTCGTGTTTGGTGTATATTGCTTTGTATATCTTTTGTCAGTTAAAGTGCTGCTCTGTTTTGTGTATATTTAGCATAGTTGTTTGGCCTGGGATTGATGTAGATCTTGTTTTTATTTACTTTCTTTTTTTGGTTCCAATTTAATTCATGCAATACATTCTGTAAAAACTGTTAAAGCTTTTTTGTGTGTTTATTCTAGACTAAGGTTAGGTTATTAACCAGTCTGGGTTTAGCCGGACTTGCACTGGTCGGACAGTAGTTAGATAAGCCTAGAAGGGTAGATTTTAGTTATCCCCCCCCCCCCCAGCAGGGCTTACACATAACTGAAATGGTTATCTGAAAAAGTTATCGTGTTTACAGACGCACACATACAGACATACAGACAAAATTGCAAAACCAAGTTTCTCCGTTCCGGAAGGATTTAAAACGACAAAGTTTTTTTAAAATCTGTATTTAGATTTTTTGCACGATTACAATTCATTCTTTATGTTCCGTGTATGATAAAGTAGGGAAGTGTAAAAATGTGAAAACTGTCAAAATATTTGTTAATTATTTAGAACGTTTACAATACTTGCTCTATACTTTGTATACGAGAAAGTAACTATTAGGCAATGTAAAATTGAGGTGAAAACTACTTTTAGGAGGGAAAAAGGTATACACTCTACAGACCAGTGCTTTTACTAAGGAGAGGAAGATTATTTTCTTATTTTCAGTGTATTTTTAAGCCTCTAATGGGATATTTAAATTTCGACACCAAAAACTATACCCAGCAAAACCTAGAGGTTTAAAACTTTGACCTTTCCATGCTGTTATTAATTATGTGGTGTTAGGGGCAGGGTTAATGTTATAGTTAAATTTTGTGTTACAATAACTGATGCCCTTGTTTGAGTCAGGTATACCGTTAAAGTTCTGCCTCCAGATGACGTACGTGATAGAGCAAAAGTGACGGTGTCTGTAACCAAAGCTAAAGTTTCATCAGGTGAGAGAACTTATCCTTGTTAGCCTCTCTCATCAGGTGAGAGAACTTATCCTTGTTAGCCTCTCTCATCAGCTGAGAAAACTTATCATTATTAGTCTCCATCTTCAAAAGTTTTTATTTAACTTGCTTCCACGTGCTTTTGTCTTTTGATGTGCTTAGTGCTTAATTCTTTGTCTGTCATGGATCAAAACTGGCGATCAGAATTTAGACCACTTCAAACAGGCCACTTTCTTTGAAACATGTTACTTGAGATAAGATCTGATGACAATGCAATGCGACATCAAATAAATTTTGTATGAATTAATTCAAGTTTCCAATATAAAGTAGTATCATCGGTCTTAAATACTCATATTATTTGTGTTTATATTTCCGTTTGCGTTATTGTTTGAGTTTTATGTTTGTGTTTAAGTGTGTTTTCCCCACGTTTTCTTTAACTTGCTTTCGCGTCTGTTTGTTTGTTTTTCCATCAAATCTTGCGATCGAAATTTCGGGCACTTTCCAGTTAGCTAGCGCGTTGAAATTTTCAGGGAAGCTTTGTTTCTGATGACAATACAATATTCAATTATTATTATTACTAAATTGATCCATGGAAAAATTTTATTGATCATTTTAGACTCCTATTGATATGTACCAAAAAAAGGGGACATAACCTAGTAATTGGAAAAGGCACGTGTTTTTTACGAGTTGTCTTCGTTTACCCAAAAAAAGTGAATGCGAGAAGATAAAATCGATAGCAAGATTTGAATGCAAACAAACAGACAAAGACTAAAAAGTAGAAAATAATTATCATTAAAAAAGTTTTATAAAAACCACGTTTTCTGATTGAACTAAAAAGTAGAAAATAAATGCTATACTTCACACTAATGCAAGCGATCACTCTACTATAAGCGATCGCAAACTGCGTGCGCATTATGATGAAAAATGAAAAACGTGGGGCGCCGTGATTTTCTTACAGTTTTTAATACTGTTGACTCTCTACAAGCTCCCTAATAAAACTCAATAGTATTATCTAATCAATAGTAATATAACTTTTACATCTTATATTAACATGGGCCGATAAAAAACTTTTACTTCGGTTTTAGATCGCTTGCATTATTGTGATGTATAGCATTTATTTTCTACTTTTTAGTTCAATCAGAAAACGTGGGTTTTTAAAAACTTTTTTAATGATAATTTTTGTTTGCTTTTATGTTTGCATTTGCAACGTATTTTGCGTTATTTATTTCGTTTGTGTTTACATTTGTGATTATGTTTCCGTTATGTGATAATATTTACGTTTATGTAAATTTGAGTTATGTTCGCTTTAACGTTTTTACTTTCTCGTATACGAAGTATAGAGAAAGTATTGTTGTCTTGAAAAAAAAAATCGAGATTTTGGCACATTTCGACGTTTTACACCTCCCTGAGTCGGAAAAACATAGTTTTGCAATCTTGTCCGTATGTCTATGTGTGTGTGTATGTGTGTATGTGTGTATGTGCGTCTGTGAACAGCACATAATAACTTGAGTACCGTTACAGCTAGGTTGATGACATTTCATATATAAGTATTATATTAAATTTGTAGATCCGTATCAATTTTTCAGCGATTTCTGATAACAGGAAGTGGAACTTTTTCTACTTTGAATTTTTCAAAAGCCTATAACCTGAGTAGTATTTTATTAAGATAAATGAAATTTCAAATGTAAGTAAAAAAATCTAATTATCTGCCTTCTGTCAAATTTTGAGTAATTTCCTTTGGCCGGAAGTAGTAATTGACGCTATTTCCGATTTCTCAAAAACAAAAACATGTGAATTTATTAAGTACTAATAATATTCCGCATTATTATATACAGATAGTTAGGCGTTCACTTGGTGCGCAATTCTTTTTTCTACGAGATTCTTCTATTTTAAAAAGTTTAAGTAATTAAAAATGCATTGAAAATCTTGTCTATATCCCGATTTATATAAGAACTAGGCATGCTGCCCAGCTTTGCTTAGGCTTTCGAAAACATTGAGAATTTGAATGCTTAATTAATTCGCCCGAGGGTCGGTCTACGACCTCAGGAGTTATGAAGAGGTTCCTCCGTGGACATTTTTTTTCGATTTATAGCTCATATAAGGCGCCGGTCAGTTGAGGTCAGTTTTGACCCCATCATCGTAGACTTTTCGGCCAACCGGCCCCCGTGTTCTGTCGCCCCAAGGCAAGATCCTGCCAAATTTGAAGCGCCTGCGGCGCCGGGAAGTGCCCTATCGGGCACCCGACAACTTTGCTTTATATATTATAGAGATTAGCAAATGGCATAGATAAACAAAGATTTCAAAAAAGTAATTAAGGCCTGAAATACTTTAGTATAGAAATGTATTATTTGAATAGATGAATCTAGAATATCTAGATCTAGAATCCAAATAAATAAAATAAATTTTATGAGTTTAGGCCGGAAAAGTTGTATTGTATACATTTCATAGTGTACGTAGATCTAAATCAAATTTGAATGAAATAGTTCATTTCTTTTTATTCTAAACACGGCAGATGACGTCATTCGTTAATGTATAAGCAATAGTGACGTCACAGTTTTATGCGTTCTTTTTCACATCTATTAATGCTTTTCCGGTTGCATAAATAATACTGTTTCTCTACATTCGAATACGCCTTTAATTTTTATTTTTCTTCTTTAAATAAAATTGTGGTTATACATTTAAAACATCTAGCATATTATTTTTCAACAAAAGTCCGTATAAAGTTCTCCATATATCGCTGCCGTTTCTGACGTGATGTCCGGCGAAAATATTTTGCGGACAGACAGAGAGAGAGAGAGAGAAGTGCGCACATGGGGAATTATATATTAGGATATTCGAGAAAGTTTAGGGGAGATACTCCCGGTTTATTTGCATTATTTAAAGGCGTCATTGTTTGCGTTTCCGTTCGTGTTTATATCCTCATTTAAGTTTGCATTGTGCTTGAGTTTATTTTTGCATGTATGTTTTATATTTATGTTTCCGTTTAAATGTTCGTCGATGTTTATGTTTTCACTAAAGTTTGGATTTATGTTTGCGCTTGTGTTTATATTTCTCAAACGTCCATATTTACACATAGACTTTTAATTGAAAATTATTAAACCCCGAAGAGTAAAATGTATATGCTGCTTAATTAGCACACAAGTCATTGTCCTTCAGAAATAATTGTATCTGAAATATCCTTGCAGGACCAGGCCGGTATGGCTATTTGTTATTTATAATTTAAGAACTTTATGTATAGTCTACTTTTTAATACAGATTTATATAAAAGCTTGCAATTAATCCGTTTTATTATTATTTATCGACTCTCTATTTTTCTGAAAACTTGTACATTTTTTTTTTATCTTTTATCATTTGTACTGTTTTATTTTACCTATAATTTTTTAGGAATCTTTGTGTTTTTGATCTGCAAATAACTACTGTGTTCTCGACTGTACAGGCGACCTAGTTACACTTGGGTCTGACAATCAAGAGTGTAAAATATCTGAAAATTCAACGGGGGCATCAAAGACGTTCAATGCTCCATTCATAAAAGTGAGCTACAAACACCGAAAGAATTCCACCAACACCACAGATTTTAATATCACATTCAAATGTTAGTCTTTGTTGTTTTTTTTTTTTTTGTAAGCCCAAACTTAGGGTGTTACTAAGTTCTACTAAGGTCTCGAGTAAAATAATACTTCTAACTATACTGCTTCTGAAATATGAAATACCAAACTCCGTTCCTATACAATAGCAAGTCAATTTTTACCATGTCTACTAGTTAATATGTAATACATTTTAAATCGTTTTGTACCAAATGTCCTTTCGGGCATTTCTCCCATTCGGACTATAGTCCATTTGGAGAATTTACTTATCGTGAATTTTTCGCAGACCCGTTGGTGTAATATTGGTATAGTGTTGTTACAGTATAGGTATAGTATTGGTATAGTGTTGTTACAGTATAGGTATAGTATTGGTATAATATGGGTACAATGTTGGTATAGTCAGGGGATGAACTACCATGCCGCCAGACCCCAAAAATGCGGGGGGAGGGGGGGTCATGACGTTTAGGGTCCCAATTCCGAGCAAAAAAAAAACAATGAATTTTTTTTATGTTTTTATAAATTCTTTTCGTGCACCTTGATAGTGGTTTTGTAAAAACCAAACAGGTCTACTATAGCAGTGATTGCGTAGAAAAAAATATTTTAAAATCTACAAGAGCTGTAGTTTGTAAGGCAAAAGTTGACACTACTTCTATGAATTACTGCCCTTCTTTAAAATAGGGGTGCCCATAAAGCTCATTTAAATAGTTTTGTACTATGTAAATTAAAAAGCAATTGATTCTCTTAATTATTATTTTAAATAAGATATACTAAAACATTATATAGCTATAAAAATGATTTTTTTTCGAAATTAATAATATAAACACAAAAAACCATAAAAATAAACATAACTCGAGAAACCATTGCACAAAACAAGCTTACGTGCTCATATACTGGTATAGTATGACTAAAGCGCTGGTATAGTAGGCCTAAAGTGATGGTATAGTATAGGTATAATTTTGTTATAGTGTGACTAAAGTGCTTGTATAGTATGGCTACAGTGTTTATGTAGTATTGTGTAGGCTTATAGTGTTGGCTTAGTATAGGGATATTGTTATGTATAAATGTATGTAATCTCATGGGAATATTGTTGTGTTTAAATGTATGTAATCTCATGGGAATATTGTTGTGTTTAAATGTATGTAATCTCATGGGAATATTGTTGTGTTTAAATGTATGTAATCTCATGGGAATATTGTTGTGTTTAAATGTATGTAATCTCATGGGAATATTGTTGTGTTTAAATGTATGTAATCTCATGGTAATATTGTTGTGTTTAAATGTATGTAATCTCATGGGAATATTGTTGTGTTTAAATGTATGTAATCTCATGGGAATATTGTTGTGTTTAAATGTATGTATTCTCATGGTAATATTGTTGTGTTTAAATGTATGTAATTTCATGGTAATATTGTTGTGCTTATATGTATGTAATCTCATGGGAATATTGTTGTGTTTAAATGTATGTAATCTCATGGGAATATTGTTGTGTTTATATGTATGTAATCTCATGAGAATATTGTTGTGTTTAAATGTATGTAATCTCATGGGAATATTGTTGTGTTTATATGTATGTAATCTCATGGGAATATTGTTGTGTTTATATGTATGTAATCTCATGGGAATATTGTTGTGTTTATATGTATGTAATCTCATGGAAATATTGTTGTTTATATGTATGTAATCTCATGGGAATATTGTTGTGTTTAAATGTATGTAATCTCATGGGAATATTGTTGTGTTTATATGTATGTAATCTCATGGGAATATTGTTGTGTTTAAATGTATGTAATCTCATGGGAATATTGTTGTGTTTATATGTATGTAATCTCATGCACCTTTGTGTTTTTTCTTAGGGTCAAGAATAGACGGGGAGGATGCCTGTAGGAACTCTTCATTCAAGTCGTGTGGAGGTGGGGTCGTCAGTTGATCAAATCTTAAGATGTTTCACCAAGTCTAAGGCTTAGTTGATCAAATCTTAAGATGTTTCACCAAGTATAAGGCTTAATTGAACAATACTTAAGATGTTTCATCAATTCTAAGGCTAAAAAATGTGTTAATTATAAGAATAGCTTGGCTTTTTACTATGCTGGAGCAGCAGCTTCATAAACAAATATCGTCGTTTCTTAGCATTTCAAAAAGGGCGATTATACTGATGACTATCTTACTTAGTAGTTTAGATTATTTCATTTAAACTAATACACTTCAAATATTAAACACAGAAGCAACATCACGTTTCACTAATCAGTCCATTCTTGCTTATCAGACCAATTTTTTACAACACAAAGTTAAATCTTCGTCTTTGTTTACCCATTCCACAACTGTTTTCCAAAGACATAGCTTCGCCTTTTTTATAATATGCTTGCAGAGTTTCTTTCCGGCATCTCTTCTGGTAAGGGTGAAGCCCCCCCCTATAGAACGTCTAAGCCCCCCCCCCCCGGTCCCGAACGAAATATAATTTATTTATAAACAATATAATTTTACCAGAGGGGGGGGGGGTACTTGAAATTTTCGGAGGGGTTGGACCCTGGTAAAAGTATATATTTTCTATATGAATTGTATTTCGTTAAAGGGGACGTGTTTTGGGTGGGTGGGGGGGAGGGGGGAGGGGCAGGTACCCTGTAAGCACCGCCCTGTAGAGAAAGAAACTCTAAATGCGACTTTTGTCATGTTTGAGCTTAGGTGCAAGGTTTAAGGGTATGGCTACGACTGTGTTTAGTAACAATTTGCAGTAACTACGTGTAGATTAAGCTTAAATCCGGTTAAACAGATTTTTAATAACAATCTGGTTTCATGACGTTTTTCGTTTCCGGTTCAATTTAAAGTTTAGGTGGTGATTTGGTTTTGGTTTTAGTTTAGAGAGACAACACTGTCAACCTAGGGGTCGTTCATAAATGACGTCACACTCGTAGGGCGGAGAGGGGGGGGGTCCGTAATTTTGTGATGGTGTGTGTTGAAGGGGAGGGGGTTCAGATGGTGTGACGTCACACTTTTTCATTATAAAAAAGCAATGTTAGAAAACTAATTTTAGACGTTATTTCGCGTTTTAGAAAACTGTTTTAATAAATTGTAATAGGAATTGAATAAAATACTCTATTTAGACAGTTCAGACAAGATTTTGGGAAAACATCGATGTTTTAAGAAAAATTCAACAGCAATTTTGAGGGGGGGGGGGTTGTAGGCTGAGGTGTGACGTCATTTTATGGAGGGGGTGTCTGGCTTTTTGTGACGATATGTGACGGAGGGGAGAGGTAAAAATCGTCCAAAAAAGCGTGACGTCATTTATGGATGAACCCCCTAGCGACCGTTGTATTTCTTCCTCAACGTGTCATTTATCTTGTTATTAATAATAATAATAATTCAACATAGATTTATATCTACTGATATTTCACTACGTTCAACACTTAATTTATCCTAGATTATATCTTTAGGTATTTCACAAACTCTTTATTTTTCTTTATCATTTCCTAAATGGTATGTGTGCTATCGTGATTGTTAATTTAACTTTGGTCGAAGCCTTATATATATTTTGTTCAAACTCTAATCCTCAAATTATCTTTTTTAATTCTATTTTTTCTACCCTGATACCTTCTTGATTCTTGCTGTTCAATGTGATATAAGAGATTTTACTCGCAATTCTAAAAGATTGATTGTATAAATGTTTTATAAAAAAATCTTTATTGCATGCATTTAAAAAATATATCCTTTTTTAAGAGGGCAAAGTTATTGATGTCATTTCTGATTTGACGTCAAAGCATTATTACGGCGTTATTCGAAGCCATTCCCAGTACCCAGCCGATTACAGGAAACCAGCTGCTCCATCCTTACACGGCGAAAATTATTCAACATTCGAGAAACAAATTGAAAGTCCTAGAAAGGGAGAAACCTGTTTCAATTTAAAGCTATTACACTTCAGTTTAGATTACAAGGACAGTTTGAAGATAGTCGACGCCAATAACAAAAACGAATATGAGACTAAAGGTCCGTTTTATTTTTTCAGAAGATTTTAGAAGACTTTATATTAGAGGGGAACTAGGGTTACTTATGTAATTTATGTAATAATCCAAAGTCTGTAATGTTGGATTCGGGTCACTTAAGATGAGCTATGTAATAATCCAAAGTCTGTAATGTTGCATTAGGGTCACTTACGGTGAGGTATTTAATATTCCAAAAATTATAATGTTCGATTAGGGTCACTTAAGGTGAACTGTGTCACCTAAACACTGATACAATGTAGGGTTAGTGTCATTGATTAGGAAATGCTGGTATAATGTAGGGTTAGTGTCATTGATTAGGAAACGCTGGTATAATGTACGGTTAGTGTCATTGATTAGGAAATGCTGGTATAATGTAGGGTTAGTGTCATTGATTATGAAATGCTGGTATAATGTACGGTTAGTGTCATTGCTTATGAAATGCTGGTATAATGTAGGGTTAGTGTAATTGACTATGAAATGCTGGTATTATGTAGGGTTAGTGTCATTGATTATGAAATACTGGTATAATGTACAGTTAGTGTAATTGATTATGAAATACTGGTATAATGTAGGGTTAGTGTCATTGATTATGAAATACTGGTATAATGTAGGGTTAGTGTAATTGATTATGAAATGCTGGTATAACGTACGGTTAGTGTCATTGATTATGAAATGCTGGTATAATGTAGGGTTAGTGTAATTGACTATGAAATGCTGGTATTATGTAGGGTTAGTGTCATTGATTATGAAATACTGGTATAATGTAGGGTTAGTGTCATTGATTATGAAATGCTGGTATAATGTAAGGTTAGTGTCATTGATTATCAAATGCTGGTATAATGTAGGGTTAGTGTCATTGATTATCAAATGCTGGTATAATGTTGGAATTTTAATTTACAGGGAAACTGGCAGGCAGAGACATAAGTTACACAACTAATGCCAGAAGTGTCAATGTTACATTTAAGCTTCACCATGCCCGACCTGGATCTGCCTCTGGGTTCCTGATGTTCTACCGATGTAAATTGGTTTTCTTTCTTTACAACGCCAGACTGGGATAATTAACTCTCATTCTCAATTAGATCTTTGACCATTAACTCTAATTCTCCATCAGAGGCGTAGCATTGAATTGTTTTATTACAAGTATTGGAATATGTTTTATTTATATAACGACTCAATTTTTTTTATTATCGGAAAAGTTTTAACTCTTTTGCAACAAAAGAACCCGAAGCAACATTAAATACACGCACGTTGCTAAAACATATTAAACGGATCCATCTATACTTATAGTTTCGCTGTCTGTGTATGTATCTGTGTATCTATGTATCTTACAAGAACGCTATAGAGAAAACACAAGCAAAATAAAAACTTTCATAGTAAAAAGAAAACGAAATACGACGTCACATGGAGCATATAGTAGAAAATAGTATCAAGCCGGAGAGTGCACACAGTAATATGACGTCATTGATTCTCGAGTAAACATTGAATTAAAAAAACATTTTTTTCTAATCTGAAAAGTGGTTTGCGTGAAGAGCCACTTACCCGCAAGTAGAGTCGCCTGAAAGAAACTCTAAATGCGACTTTTCTCATGATTTTGATTAGGTGCACGGTTTAGGGTATGGCTACGACTATATTTAGTATCAATGTGCGGTAACTACGTGTAGATTAAGCTTAAATCCTATTAAAATGCCGATTCTGGATTAAAATCCGCTTTCAATGTAAGTTTTCGTCTTCGGTTCAATTTGAAGTTAAGGTGGTGATTTTGGTTTTGGCTTTAGTTTAGAGAAAAGAGACAACACTATCAACCTAGCGCCCGTTGTATCCTTCCTCACGGGCCATTTATCTCTTGTAAAATAATATTTTCGCCTAAATGCTTAGAAAAAAATGGATTCACTTTAATAACAGTAGGGTGGAAAAAAACTAATCAATTAATATATTTAATAATTATATCAAGGGAGGTATTTAAAAAAGAAGTTTACCTCGCGCTAAATATTGCTATTTAAGAAATCTATTTAAAAAATCCTACAACATTGATTATTATTTTAGGGCTCATAATAATTATAGATTAATGTTAAGGTTATTTTTAAAAAATTCTGATTAGTTGTTGCAGAGTTTTATAGTTGTTGTTTTTTTATTTCTATGATCACAATTGTTATTGTTTTATTTTTGGTGTTATATAAAGAGATGATTAAATTAGAGAATATGGGAAAGGCTCTCTCTCTGAGCGCGGATCTTAGAAAAAGCGTAATTTGATAAAGTGCGTTTGGGTTTGAGATTAAGTTTGCGTTTTTGAGTTTGCGTTTGTGTTTTCTTTTGTGTTTATATTTGTGTTTCCGTTTGCATGTTGCGTTTGAGTTTGCGTTTACGTGAGCGTTGTGTTTCTGTTTGCGTTTTTGTTTGAGTGTGAGTTTGTTTGCGTTTGTGTTTGTGTTTTCTTTTGTATTTGTGTTTGCATGCACGTTTGTGTTTGCGTTGTGTTTGGTTTTGTTCTGTTCCCTAGTTGGTATATTTAAAAGCTACATAGCTTTTTCTCCACCCCCGAGGGTCGGTCTACGATCTCCTGAGTTATGAAGAAATATTTAATATAGCTCATATAAGGCTCCGGTCAGTCGAGGTCAGTTTTGACCCCTTTCTGTGGACTTGTTGGCCAACCGGCACCGGTCCCCGTGTTCTGTCGCCCCAAGGCAGAATCCTGCCAAATTTCAAGCGCCTGCGGGGCCGGGAAGTGCCCCATCGGGCACACGACATCTTTGCTTTAAATACATTTGTGTATAACTTATTTAGAAGTAAAACAGGAGTAATTTTTCATATACTTTCTCGTATAAAAGTAACGAGATGACACTTTCAATACAATCTAGTAATAGAAATGCTTTTTATGATATTTTTTATTGCTTAATTTTTACTTTCTTGAAGTATAGAGGATGTATTGTACTCGCACGAAAAATCGAAATCGATATTTTTACAAATCTCGACGTTTTATACCTCCTTGAGTCCATAGGAACTGAAAATTACATAACATATTTCATCTGAGGGAATAGAAAATGACATGACTTATAAACATGTTGTATATATCCATAGGGACAGACACGTGTAATGGGACTTTGGATTTCTTCTCTCCTGCCCGTAAGTTACATTCATGTCATTTTCTTCCTTTTTTCGAGCAGCTCAACAAACACATGCAATATTTAAAAGATCTCAATCGACTCATAGTGTACCGGTCTTGTTAAATATTGCACTCTTTTTGTATCTGAACATGCAACAACGTTTGTATGCTGTGTTTACTTTATGAGTAGAGTAAAGATTTTAAGATGATTTTTGTCAACTGTTTCATTAAGTGAGGATATTTTACCTAACGAACCTTTTTCAGCTTGCCAGACCACGAAACCAGGACAAACAGACATAAAAAAAGGTTAGTTAGTACTAAGGTTAGTGTTAGTTTTATCTTTGTGTTATAGGTAATGTTAGGGTTAGTTGTAGGGTTAGCGTTACGGTTAGTGTCGATGTTAGGGTTACTCTATCGGTAAATACTTTTAATTACTTACTTTTATTTTAAATGTAAGGCACTTAACACAACGCGCTCTTATTTTAAAAAATCAATTAAAAATCATGAATTAAATGTTAAAATTATGATTTGAATGTTAAAATCGTGACTTAAATGTTAAAATCATGATTTGAATGTTAAAATGATGACTTGAATGTTAAAATCATAATTTGCATATGCATACTGTTTGATATCAATAAAAGTATTTTTGTAACTAGGAATACATTACAACATAAGACGACGAAACAGTTTTGGTCAAATACTGCTCGGCTACCTAAATCATTAATGATTTTGAATATTTACAATGTATCCGTTACCTCTGATATTCAAAATCCTTTCCCTATTGTGTATTACATTATAAATAAAATCGTATTGTATATCTATAGGCGCCGATATTGGAAATGTCTCGTCAGAAATTAAGTTACACTTATTACATTTTATTCCATTTTTTTACGTAGCTCAACAGAGAGGCTTGCGTATAATATTTTGAAAGGTCTCAATCAACTCTATCGTCTATCTAAAGATTATTTAAGCAGAAAAGTTTCTAATTTAAAAAAAAAGAAGCTTTTTGTTAACTGTTTTATTACATGAGATTTTCCATAAAAAACTTTTTTCAGCTTACCAGACCTCGAAACCAGGAAAATCAGACAGGAAAAAAAAAGGTATTGTAATATATTGAGCTTTATATTGAGGGGAACTCACTCTCTTGTATTAGTCTTATATTTGTATTGTGCTTTGAGTGATGTCCCTTGCATGTCATGTTCCGGTTGTTGATACAAAATAAAGACAAGGTGCGCATAAAACATGGCTTCATCATCTATCGTGTTATAATAGGTAGGAAAAGTCTATGTAATCATACTAAATTTTTAAAAAATTATTTTAAAAAATATAAAAAGCGATAAAATTATAGCTACATTTTCAAAAATTAAAGCCGTTTGGGAACCATCGATTACACTCATTTTCATATTTTTGTGTTGAACATAAGCCGTTGAAAATGATTTTGAATTATTGTATAAATTTAAATATTTAATAAAACCGCCCTCAACCCAACCTTGAACTGACCTGAAGTGGCCAGGGAGAGTAAAAAGATTAAAGTCATAAAATTTATTGTCCATGATAAAAATACGAACAAGGTGATCCAAGAAAACAAAATGGCGAACAAGGGAATATTTTCAGTTCGATTCAGACATTCAAAATTCGTTTGTATCCCTTTTCATTATAGTTGGCATATTTTTTTATGACTGTTATGCTCAGATTACTAATATCTAACATTATTCTTATTAATTTTGTTACCAATGTTTTTGTAGAATGTTTTTAACGCATGTTTCATTACTTTTGTTAGGCCTGTGACTACTCACTGTGACTGTGAGTTCTGTGAGCGCTCTAAGCCTAAGCTAGAGATCTAGATTAGATCTAGAATCTAGCCATAAGTTTCTAGATCTAGACCTAGGTTTCTAGATCTAATCTAGATCTAGATTATCTAGACTTAAATAGAGTTATATCGAGAATCTAGTACTAGATTCTAGGAGGAGTAGTCTAGACTACTCTAAGAGATCTATTCTAGATTTCTAGATCTAGATCTAGAATCTATAATGATATTATCTAGATCTAGATCTAGTCTTGAATCTAGATCTAGATTCTAGATCTAGAAATCTAGTATAGATTATTGATTATAGATAGATCTATAGATCTATAATAATCTATATACTATATACTATACTATATACTATATAGAAATCTAGATCTAGTCTAGTAGTAGATCTAGATCTAGTAATACTAGTAACTAGATAGTCTAGTATGTTACAGCTTTTTAATATGTTTAATTATTTATTAAATATAAAACCACTAGATCTAGATCTATTCTAATTTATAAACTTAATACTCACTAATACTAACTAGATCTATAGATCTTATAGTCTTATAGTTAGTTAAGTAACTTTATATTGTACGACAGTAGATCTATTAAGTATAAGATAAGTCAAGTAGTATAAGTAGTAGAGAATAAGAGATCTACTCTAGTCTAGATCTAGAAGTTATATAAATATATTTTATAAAAATCTATATTAAATAATTCAATAAGTATATTGAAGTATTTTAAGTTAATAGTAATAATAGATAAGTTAAATAAATTAGGCCCATAGTTTATATTATAAATGTGTAGCTGGTATAGACTAGTTTTAGAGACTAGTCATATAGTAAATAGTTAATCTTACTCCTTAGTAATTAGTTAGTAGGGCACTACATACACCTAGTCTAATAAATGATTAGTCTAATTAGTTAGAGCCTACTTATTAAAATATATTTACTATAGTAGTAGTATTAGTAAGTATAGTTACTCTATACTGTTACTAGGTATATTATAATACACACAACCTCAGAAATTGCAAAATCATGACATTAGTGAATCAATTATTTAGTAGGCCAATAATTTCTATATTAATTTAATTTTAATAGTTAATACTTACTAAATTACTAGATCTGTACAAATTACATTTTATTTAGGCTATGGTACAGATGACAGTCCTAATACTTACATTGTTAATATGATTAGGGCCTAGTTAGAGGTAATTACTAATTAGACTTATGATGACTTATGTTAGTCTAATAACTAATAGATTCATATTTAATAGCAGTAGGTCTATAGGCTTAAAATAGTATTGTAAAAAAAAATAAAGTATGCTTAATTTTTACAGTTGTCATATTACTTTTAGTTTCAGTAGGCCTATCTAGACTGTAGATTTAGATGTAGTAGCTTAGTAGTAGTCTAGTAGGCCTGTGATTGGGTAGGTATTTAGTATTTGTAATGTAAGTTAAGCAAAGTTAACTAGGCTTAATAAGGCTACAATTTAAACTGTAAAAATTACATGTAGCCTAAATAAAAGGTTACAGACTAGTACATTAAATAATATCCAAAATTTAAGTTTAATCTAGATTAGTATGCTAACAGTAATTTTAGGCCTCTAATAATAATAGTCAAAATTACTAAATAGAAGAGTAGGCTTACTAGTAAAGAGCTGTCTTATTTTAGTTCTACTTAATTAACTTAATGGAGATGTGTGGTTGCAGCCCTTTGCTCCCCAGGGGCCACAAAGGAATGATGATGATGAATTATCTTAATATATGACTTAGTCTACTCTTAGTCTTATGTAGTGATCTTTAGAATTTAAAATGCAGAATAGTTGATAAAGCCAAAAGGTGTCAATTGTCATTGATGGATTAACTTACTAATCAAATTAATATAATTATCCTAATATTTATTATATTAATGATAGTTAGAGTAGCCTAGTTTGAATATCAATTTTCAACTAATTCCTGAGGTGGCTAAACATAAGTAGTAGATCTTTATTGATACTTTTTTTCTTTTTTTTAATGATATATACATGACTTTTGGACTCTTTTGAAGGCCTATTGTATTTAATGACAAACTCCTTACATTAAAATATTAAAAGTAAACTATTAGACTAGACCTATATTTTTAATGAATGGTAATGGTTAGATAGCCCATACAATCCAATACATAAATACACATCATTGCTTTATGATCTTTATAAGACAGACAAATATTTTTATTTATAACATTAAGAGTTGAAAGTATGTAAACATAATGAGTTTAATATAACAGTTTATGAAATTTATTTATGTTTTTTTAGATACTGTGGATTATACAACTGCATACAGAGAAGACAATAGTCAAGATGAAGCTCAATTTAAAAACTGATCCAAGGATACATGTTGGACCCAAGAAAACTTGTTCATATTGAACAACTATTTTTTATTATGTTAGTTCTGAATGAATATGGGTATTAAAAAAAGAAAACATAAACTTTGTTATGTTTATTTTTTTTTCAGCACTGGTTGTGTGTGCTGGTGTAAGCGGAAACTATATTATTGCTACCTTAATTCAATAATTAACTTAAACTGGTAAACTATAAATAGTTTTTAAGAATATGGGGCTGAAGTAGATTTCACCTAGTTTTGTTGCCCTTCCATAATAATATATTGTACGGTCAGCAAAATGTCAAACAGCTTTTACTAAGTTTTACTGTCCATAACCAGTCAGGTACCAGTTAAAGCTGCTTTGAATTTGAATCAGAGACAACCTAAAGAATTAAAATTTCAACTCAAGAACTTTTGCTTTAGCAAATGTGTTCACAAATATGTAGTACCACTATAAGTCTTACATTTGCAATTATCTATTATAGCTGTAAAACATAATGATAAAGGAAGAATCAAGAATATGGGTTTTTGTCAATTCTAGCCATACCAGCAATAAATGTAGACCAGGCTTAGTGAAGCATGGCTGATAACTAACCATCAACCACAAATACAACAAACTATAATCACTGCCTGTTTCCTAGTAATGTGTTGTTATTGGCCGTGCAAGTTTATGAACATGTTGTAATTGTTTATATATTACAAAAGAAAAAGACTGTTGCTGATCAGATGCATTCCAGATATTTGAGGAAAAGATGTTTTCTATAAGGATAGGCAGCTATAGCAAATGAGGTTAGGGGAAATGTTGAGTTAAGTAAACTTTAATAATTGTAATGACAGAGATACCATCACAGCAACAAATGTAATTAGGTTTGTATGACTAATTAATGAATATCCTATAAATAATAGCAAAATGCTGAAGTGGTCGTCCATAAAAGACTTTGAGGTGATGGGGGAGATTTGGACCTTTGTGTCAAGGGGGAGGGGGTTCAGAAAGTAAGATGACACTTCTCCATGTTCAACAAACACTCATGTTAAGAAACTGAATTTAAGCCTTTATTTGCATTATTAAAAGTTGTTATATAAATTGTTATAAAATAATTCATCAATAGGCCTACATTGAATGTTGGAAAAACCCATAGGTCTAAATATTTTATGAAAATCGCTGCAACAGCGTGTGGGGGGGGGGGGGGGGGCTTAGGTTTACTTTTTTGGGCAGGTCTGGCATCGTTGTGACATCGTTAATATATAATAGATGACCCGATAGTCAGAGGTCGATCTAGATTGATAAGGCCTATATGAAAATGTTGATGTTAATTACACTTTACTTATTATTACAATGGAATATAGCCTAATAGTTTATTTATATTAAATAATATAACATCCCCTTGCACCACAACACCCTGACTATACTAATCCAAATTAAAATTATAATGTTTGGTAAATTACTATTATATTATTAGTAATTTTGTGTTTAAAATTCTAGCCTTAGTAAAAACCGGAAGTGATTTTTACTTATTTCACAAATGTTATAAAATATTCAATTTTGGTTCAAAAATATGCTTTCTGGCAACACAAAGTGGAACCACTTTTGGAACCACTTTTCCTACCTATAAGACCACAATCCATTACAGGTATCAACAAATATGTTATCAATTTTATCATGCAAGATACATTCTGTATCATTTTCTCGCAGAATTTATCATTTTTACAAGCTTTCATTCAACTTGCTTTATCTAACTGACTGCCGTTCTTTTTACCATCTTTTATTTTTTTACCCATCTTTTATTGAACTTGCTTCCTCTGTCGAGCTTTTACAATTGGATACCTTTCCTAATAATTAGGGATAGACCCAAGCTTTTCTTTATAGTTATTTAAATAATAATAATTTAAATTAAAATATGTCATTTATTTTCTCATTTGTAGAGGATCATTAAATAGAAGCTTTTATTAAAACGTTTTCGTGCAATTTTACTTTCTCGTGAACGAAGGAGGTATGTATATAATAAAATATTGCAAAATTTGAAATCGAGATTTTCACAAATCTGGACGTTTTACACCTCCTTTAGTCAGAAAAACAGAGATTTGCAATCTTTCCCGTATGTATGTGTGTATGTGTGCGTGTGTGTGCGCGTGTATCTATGTGAATGTAAAGATGTGTGCCTGTGAACACGAAATGCAATTTCATATATAAGTATAATATCAAATGTGTAGTTATGTACGGACTTTATAGCGAAAGTGGAACTTTTTCCACATTTGGTTTTTCAAAATCCTATAACTTAATTTCTGTTCTAGATAGATAAAAGAAATTTCAAATATAGTAAAAGATCTAATTCTGCCTTCTTTCAAATTTATTTTGAGTAATATCTGTTTAGGTTAAATAGTACTTTACACTATTTCCAATTTCTCAAAAACGCATTTGAATTTCAACTATTATACACACATTGTTTGCTGTTCACTTCGTGCGCGATTCTTTTTTCTACGACATTCTATTTTTAAAAGAAATTAAAAATTGATTAAAAGATCATGTCTATATTCCGAGTTGCAATCCTTCTCATTTTTATATAAGTATATTCGAGAAAGTTTAGAGGAGATCCCTCCCGCTTTATTTTTTCAGTACTTTAAAATATTAAATACTATAGAGTTGCATGACTCAAAACTACTGCACACCAAATGAATATGAAAATGCGCTTATAATAGTGCAGTAAATAGTAAGACCACTACGTTCGTCTAGTTTAATTAGTTATGAAAATTTAATTAGGAATCCAATTAATTCAAATTTGATGTCACATTGCATCGTTATCAGGTCTTGACACACATGCTAAGTTTTAATCGCATTGGTCAGTTAAAAGTTCTCGAAATTTTGCTCGGCAGTTTCAATCAATGGCGCAGCACTATATACAAAAACGTGATAGACAGAGGAAGAAAATTTAAATAAAAGCTTGAAATAAAAATGCATAAAACATTTTAATAACAAGATTTTATGTAATAATTAACGAAAAGGAATTTTTTAAAAATGATTTTCTTTAGTTATTTGAATAGTATTGTATTGTAATATATTTTTAAAAACATCATTATTTCTCCTTTTTAGTGCATTATTACATAAACGCTTATTATTAAGGCCATACCTATACCCCCAAACTGATATTTTTATTTATTTAATTTTTAAATATTAATTCAAAACATGCAATGTATAATAACTACAAACAAATTAAAAATATAAAAAGATGTATTATTTGTTTTTAAATAATTTTTCTGACTTTTATTGAAGATTTTGTGTAAATTTGGTACAAATTAACAAATTTACAAAAAGTTCGAAATCACAAACTTAGTTGACAAAACTCAATAGCTTTATGTAAATACATTGAACATAATGTACTGAATATAACTACATTGGTTCATGGGCCTGAGAGTAAACGAAAACCAACAAAATACAAAAACATAAGGGTACCCCCCCCCCAAAAAAAAAATTAAAGGGGCTTTTCGGCACATAAACAGTCATTAAAAATCTTAGAATGAAGACCTAATATATTTAAACATGTATTTATGTAGACAATACGACAAGTTTGAGGCCTCTAGGTGCAGAACTTTTACTTTTTTTTTTTTGCCCAAGACCTGCGTGAAAAAAATTAAAACCGTCAAATTGAGAAAAATGCAAAAATAACACAAAACATCATTTTTAAAAATACAGACCTGAATATTAATTATTAGAATTTATATGTACAATTAAAATATAAGAAGCACTAAAAGAAGAACTCTCACTGAAAAAAAATATGATATTAGCTTACCGATGATATTTTGAACTGCCCTTCCCCCCACTATAAACATTAAATAAGATAATGTATCTATTATTCTTAAATCCTCAAAATTAACACTGTGTACCATCTTCTTTTACAGTGTAACACCTTCCTCTATTTACTTAATTTATTCTTCTCTTGTTAATAGTTGATTTTGTTACACTTTTAGCTTATGAAAACCTTATGTTAGTGGCGGTTCTGCCGATTTGATGAATCCAAAACTGACACAATCACTAGCATTCTCTTGTACCAAATCATTAACTTTAGAATCCTTACAATAACAACTGCCCCATCTCTAGCAATCTTTTTATGCAGCCCTTCTGACTATTCTGTGATTTGCATTGAAAGTCACGTCTTAACCAATCATGTCAATGCTGACGTCAAATTACTATCCTTGAAAGTTTGTACAAATAAGATTTACCTATCTGATATTCTCTTTGCATATTTAGCCATTGTCATGTGTTCTCTAGCTGTTTTTTTTAAATGTAATTTTTGTCTGCCTTTTGTCGTGCTACGTCATAGATAGTAACTGGCGAGCGAAATTTCGAACACTCCTAGCCAAACGATTTCTCTGAAACTTGGCAAGTGAGTTAAGACCCGATGACAACGTGATCTGGCATCAAATTTGCCTTCATTGGATGCTCAATTAATTTTTTAAATGTCCTAAATAAAGTACTTTTTACAGCGCTATTATACTCACATTTTTCGTGTTTATTTAGTGAGCTATTGTTTTAGTCTATTGTATTATATCTTAAAGTACTGAAAAAATACACAAAAACGTTTTAATAACAAGCTTTTATGTAATAACTAGCCATTGGTAACCCAGTAGGCTACCAATACCTATTAGAAAAATTAAAACAAAATTATATGCACACACTGATTAAGAGACTTAAATGATTTCGTTAAAAACCCGGCAGCTCATTGAAATTCAGGTTGTTTTTACAAGCTTTTATTTAACTCACTTCCTCGACAGTCTGTCTGTCTGTCTGTCTAGACCGAAACGCCGAAGCGAAAATTCGGACAGTTCTACTTGACCGATACGATTCACAGTTGGCACGTGGGTCAAGACATGAAGACAATGCAATCTGAAACTAAAGTTGACTTAATTGTATGCCTAATTAATTTTTTATGAATTAATTAAAATTTGGACCGAATTAGTAGGCATGTCTATCCAACCACACCCACGCTTATCTTTATAGTAATTTAAATAGTAGTGTATAATTTATTTTCTACTTTTTAGTGCATCATTACATAAAAGCTTGTTATTAAAACGTTTTTTATGAATTTTTTAAAAGTAATTTTTATTAACTTTGACCGCGAAAATAGTATACATTTCATAGAGTACGTCTTGATAAGTAGATTTATAGATCTAAATCAGTTTGAATAAAATAGTTAATTTCTTCATATTCTATAATTGGAAAATGTCACTATTAGTGTTATGTGAAATTTGACGTCATTGTTTCTTGTGTTCTTGTCATAACCATAAACACTTTTCCGGTTGCATAATTAAAAATTTGTTTCTACATTCTAATATGCCTTTATTTTTATTTTTCAAGTACAATTTAGTTTATCCATGAAATACATCCAATATATTGTTTTCAACAAAAGTCCGTATTATTAAGTACTCCATATATCGCTGAAGATACTGAAGTCATAGGCTCTGAAAATATTTCGCAGATAGAGAGAGAGAACATAACATATTTCATCCGAGGGAATATTTATTCAATTGATTTATTTATTCAATTTATTCAATTACGGTAACAATAGTAGGCACGAAAGCCTTTTTTTCACATTGGCCGTTTTAAAATAAAAAAATAAAACAACAATTTAATAACAGCACTAAAAATATGGAATAAAGAAATAATATTACATAGTTATAACACAAAATGAGATAAAATAAGAATATAATAGATGAATGAGAAATGTTTCAATGAGTCAGTTAGAGAGGTCATTAAATAATTGTTGCTTTAGTTAAGATTTGAATATATTTTCAGATCTAGATAGTTTTATTTTATTAGGAAGATTGTTCCACAAATTAGAACCAGAGTAGGCGAAGCTATGTTTCTGGAAAAAAGTTGTATATGGGATCGGTAAATTAAGACGACGATTTAATTTTATGTTAAAAGAAAATAAGTCTGATAAGAAAGAGGGGGGCTGTTTCGTGGAATATTTTATATTTAAAAAATGTATTTGGTATATATTATCTTTTTATTCAATGGAAGTATTTTAGTTGCAATAAAAGAATCCAGACTAATAGACAAGCCAGTAACCAGAATAGAAAATGACATGACTTATAAACATGTTGTATATATCCATAGGGACAGACAAGTGTAATGGGACTTTGAATTTCTTCTCTCCTGCCCGTAAGTTACATTCATGTCATTTTCTTCCTTTTTTCGAGCAGCTCAACAAACACATGCAATATTTAAAAGATCTCAATCGACTCATAGTGTACCGGTCTTGTTAAATATTGCACTCTTTTTGTATCTGAACATGCAACAACGTTTGTATGCTGTGTTTACTTTATGAGTAGAGTAAAGATTTTAAGATGCTTTTTGTCAACTGTTTCATTAAGTGAGGACATTTTACCTAACAAACCTTTTTCAGCTTGCCAGACCAAAAAACCAGGACAAACAGACATAAAAAAAGGTTAGTTAGTACTAAGGTTAGTGTTAGTTTTATCTTTGTGTTATAGGTAATGTTAGGGTTAGTTGTAGGGTTAGCGTTACAGTTAGTGTCGATGTTAGGGTTAATTTTAATTATTTACTTTTATTTTAAATGTAAGGCACTTAACACAGCGCGCTCTTATTTTAAAAAATGAATTCAAAATCATGAATTAAAGGTTAAAATCATGATTTGAATGTTAAAATCGTGACTTGAATGTTAAAATCATGGCTTGAATGTTAAAATGATGACTTGAATGTTAAAATCATAACTTGCATATGCATAATGTTTGATATCAATAAAAGTATTTTTGTAACTAGGAATACATTACAACATAAGACGACGAAACAGTTCAAAATCATAAATTTGAATGTTAAAATCATGACTTGAATGTTAAAATCATGACTTGAATGTTAAAATCATGACTTGAATGTTAAAATCTTGAAATAAATGTTAAAATCATGATTTGAATATTAAAATCATGACTTGAATGTTAAAATGATGACTTCAATGTTAAAATCATGGCTTAAGTGTTAAAATCATGATTTGCATATGCATACTGTTTGATATCAATAAAAGTCTATATTTGTATTTTTGTAACTAGGACATTTGAGGTCATGGTTTCTTGTGTTATTGTCACAACCATAAAAAAATTTCCGGTTGAATAATTACACATTTGTTTCTACATTCGAATATGCCTTTATTTTTATTTTTCAAATAAAATTTAGTTTATACATGAAATACTTCCAATATATTGTTTTCAACAAAAGTCCGTATTATTAAGTACTCCATATATCGCTGAAGATACTGAAGTCATAGGCTCTGAAAATATTTCGCGGACAGTGAGAGAGAAGTGCGCACGTGGGCTTTTATATATTAGAATACACTAAAAAGGAGAAAATATTTGTTTTTAAAATATAACAATGAATTACGGTTTAATTAAATGAAAATAAAAGGTATTCAATACATAATAGAGCGACGTAAGTTTTTCGTTTCAAATATTTAAATAATAGTTCATTATTGTATTTAAAGAAAATAATTTGTTTTCTACTTTTTAGTGCATTATTAAATAAAAGCTTGTTATTAAAACGTTTTTATGCATCTTTTGTGTCTTGCTAAATACATTTAATATCAATTAATTATTTCAAATAATTTTCCAACTCTCTTCTAGGCAACAAGAAACCCACGAAACCCAAGGGTAGGCATCAACAAATAGGTTATCACTTTTGTCTTGCAAGACACATTTGTTTTATTACGTTAATTTATAAGACACATGTCTTATTACTTTTTGTTTTACTAAACACATTTCAAATCACTTTATTGTTATTTCAAGTAATTTTAAAATCTACACTAGGCAACAAGAAACCCAAGCAACCCTGAGATAGCTGCAAGAATTTTAAATGCCAACAATGAAGATCAATTTGAGACGACCAAGCGACCATGATATGATGACCAATTGATAAACGCCACTTTATTTCAAAATAATAAAAATATTTCATACCATAATATGTAATTATGGGTTTTATTTTACTTGACATTTTTTCCCTCTTTTTTGCAATCATTTCAACCAAGTCGATTTGTTTCAAATCAAAATACAATGACAATGCAAGGTGACATGAACTTTTGTAATCGTAAGTGGTTTGATCATAGATGGTTTGATCATATCGTCTTTGATCACAGAGACTTTGACCATATGTGGTTACATGATAAGTAGTTTATCCACAGTAAGGGTTTATTCGCAGCTGGGGTTTACCACAAAGGCTTGTCTATAGGTGTCCACATGTAGTTTTAGAATTAAAATAAAGCGGGAGTGATCTCCTCTAAACATTCTTAAATATTCTTATATAACACTACGGGGGATGGGAACTCGCGACATAGGCATGCTTATTAATCAAAATTTACATACTTAAACTTTAAAAAATAGAATAGAATATATTTAAAATCAGATAGTGCTAAACATTAGTCTAATATATAAAGTTGAAATGGACTTTGTAGGTTCTGTATGTATGTGATAATATAATGTGACGGACCCGTGGTAGACATGCATATAGTAAAACACTCGACTTGATTGCCATTGGGTAATTTCCTTAAAGTGTTAGTTTTTATACCAAAAGCAGGTATGATAATTAAAAATCAAAATATTAATCATTTTGAAAAAAAACGTTTCATTTTACAACTGATCATTTCAATTACATTAAGGTGAAAAAAACAAAACTGAATTAACTCTGTTACCCTTTACAAAAATTCCATGTTTATTTGAGGAAAATATGCAAATTAAGTCCCTTTGTACCAATTACATACATGACTAACAAAAAAATGAACACTTTTTAAAAGTTTGTTTTGATGTTTGCGTTTGTGTTTTTGTGTTTATGTTTGCGTTACGTTGGTGTCTGCGTTTGCTTTTGTGTTTGCGTGCGTGCCGACCCTTTTACACATGGCAAGCGGAGCGTGTACTCGGCCTGACCTAACGCTGATCTCGGCCTGACCTAACGCTCAGCTCGGCCTGACCTAACGCCTGACCTTGCAGCACGAGCAAAAGCCACTGTACTGCCGTGTGGGGGAGCGACCCCCTCCCCATACTTATCTCGGTAGGGCATGGAGACCGAGACAGTACACGAACCACGGGCAAGTTCGTGTACAAGGGCGCTAACTGGCCGACGTTCAAGGAGTTGCTCAGTAAAATTAACCCATCCCGATGGTAAATCGACTCAGTAAATCACCAAATGATGGCACAGGCAGCTGCCAAGTGTATTCCTAAGGTCTCTTGGAAAACGTTCAAGCCAATTTGGTCCCGTAAACTTACACCACTGAGCATAACCCTAACCCTTTAGGAAAACGTTCAAGCTAATTTGGTCCCGTAAACTTACACCACTGAGCATAACCCTAACCCTCTAGGAAAACGTTCAAGCCAATTTGGTCCCGTAAACCTACACCACTGAGCATAACCCTAACCCTTTAGGAAAACGTTCAAGCTAATTTGGTCCCTTAAACTTACACCACTGAGCATAACCCTAACCCTAACCCTCTGGGAAAACGTTCAAGCCAATTTGGTCCCGTAAACTTACACCACTGAGCATAACCCTAACCCTCTAGGAAAACGTTCAAGCCAATTTGGTCCCGTAAATTTACACCACTGAGCATAACCCTAACCCTAACCCTCTGGGAAAACGTTCAAGCCAATTTGGTCCCGTAAACTTACACCACTGAGCATAACCCTAACCCTCTAGGAAAACGTTCAAGCCAATTTGGTCCCGTAAACTTACACCACTGAGCATAACCCTAACCCTAACCCTCTGGGAAAACGTTCAAGCCAATTTGGTCCCGTAAACTTACACCACTGAGCATAACCCTAACCCTCTAGGAAAACGTTCAAGCCAATTTGGTCCCGTAAACTTACACCACTGAGCATAACCCTAACCCTCTAGGAAAACGTTCAAGCCTAATTGATCCCGTAAACTTACACCACTGGTAAGAGAAAGACGGCGACTCCGTAGAGTCGCGGAGAAATCTGGAAGGTTGGAGAACAGGCGAGCCTTCAACGCAGCCGTGCTAGCCCTGCGTGTGGAGGCCGTAGCACTTAGAAAAGACAAATGGCCTGATGAGACCGAGAAACTCTGCGGTAATAGCAAAAAAAAAACAAAAACACCAGGCGTCTGATAGCTGGGCTAGGAGGTTGTGGGACCGATATGTCTCAGGCTCCACTTCACAATGACTCAAAGGTTGCCTCCTCAAATAAAGAGACTGCTAAAGTATCGAACTAATTATTTGCCACTGCGAGCAAAGCAATAGAACCATAGAACTATGTGAACGTACGAAAGAGGTTGACAGCTTATCAGTGGCGGAAAAAGGCCACCCCGCAAAAGCAATTTCTGGACCCACAGAATATATATATATATATATATATATATATATATATATATATATATATATATATATATATATATATATATATATATATATATATATATATATATATATATATATATATATATATATATATATATATATATATATATATATATATATAGTATATATATATATATATATATATATATATATATATATATATATATATATATATATATATATATATATATATATATACACAAACACATAATACGAAACTAGGATACTCATTTCTGGCCTGTTCGGGTTTTGAAAAAAATGTCATTGTTTTTGGTGGGGTTTTTTCAATTAAAACAAATTACAACAATATGTGTGTGAGTGCATTAGTCTGTTTTGAAAATCTGTTTTATTTTATGTTTGCCTTAATACTTCCAATTCTTTAGCCGTTTAAAAGAATATTAAACGTGAAAGCTTTGTATGTGTAATGGTTTCTCGTGTTACGTTTTTTTTGTATTTATATAATTAATTTTATATAGTCACAGACACAGACACACACACATACACACACACACACACGGACAAAATTGCAACTAATTTTTTCCGACTCAGGGAGGTATAAAGCGCCGAGAAAGTAAACATGCTTGTTATTGAAACATATTTCATTAACTTTTTTTCAATACTATACTATAAAAATTGTAATATACTTGAATTACATTACTAAAACCAATTGCGCACCAAATGGACATAAACAAAGTGCCATAATAGCTAGGAAAATAGTATTTGTATACTAAATTACCACTTATTTTTAAAAATAAAACATTTCTATTGCTAAATCGCACCCGGCCGGGGCGCCGGCGAAACCGCCTGATTCAACTTAGTAAACGACTGTAATAACCCAACTTATCCATAATAAACCGGGAGTGATCTCCCCTAAACTTTCTCGAATATCCTAATATATAAAAGGCCATGTGCGCTCTTCTCTCTCTCTGTCCGCAAAATATTTTCGCCGGAAATCACATCAGAATCTTCAGCGATATATAGAGAACTTGATACGGACTTTTGTTGAAAAAAATATGGTAGATGTTTTAAATGTATAACCAACATTTTATTTAAAGAAGAAAAATAAAAAAATAAAGGCGTATTCGAATGTAGAAAAACAATTTTGATTATGCAACCGGAAAAATGTATATACTTGGGACAAGAACGCATTTAACAATGACGTCGCTTATTGTTTACACTAAAAAAAAAAAGAGCACAAAACTGATGACGTCATCTTCCGAGTTTAGAATAAAATAAAGAAAAGAAAGAACTAGAAAGAAAAACGTGGGTCACTTTAGTATCTATTGGATACCTACACTAATGTTTAGGAAGACACCCACGCTTTTCTTTCTAGTTATTTAAATAGTAGTCTATAATTTATTTTCTACTTTTTAGTGCATTATTACATAAAAGCTTGTTATTAAAACGTTTTTTATGAATTTTTTTTTCAGTACTTTACATGTTTTATTTACAATAGAGTTACATGACTAAAAACCATTGCGCGCCTACTGAACATCACGTTCAGTAGGCGCGCAATGGTTTTTGAACGCAGCCATTGAACTCGATGGCGCAGCTATTGAAAGTGATGATGCGTGTGGTGTGGTTGGATAGACATGCTTACTAATTCGGTCCAAATTTTAATTAATTCATAAAAAATTAATTAGGCATCCTATTAAGTCAAATTTAATTTCATATTGCATTGTCTTCATGTCTTGACCCACGTGTCAAATGTGAATCGTATCGGTCAAGTAGAAGCGTCCGAATTTTCACACCTGCGTTTCGGTCTAGACTGACGACTGACGACAGAGGAAGCAAGTTAAATAAAAGCTTGTAAAAAAATTCATAAAAAACGTTTTAATAACAAGCTTTTATGTAATAATGCACTAAAAAGTAGAAAATAAATTATAGACTACTATTTAAATAACTATAAAGAAAAGCGTGGGTCACGTTAGTATCTATTGGATACCTTTACTAATGTTAAGGAAGACACCCACGCTTTTCTTTATAGTTATTTAAATAGTAGTCTATAATTTATTTTCTACTTTTTAGTGCATTATTACATAAAAGCTTGTTATTAAAACGTTTTTTATGAATTTTTTTCAGTACTTTACATGTTTTATTTACAATAGAGTTACATGACTAAAAACCATTGCGCGCCTACTGAACATCACGTTCAGTAGGCGCGCAATGGTTTTTGAACGCAGCTATTGAACGTGATGGCGCAGCTATTGAAGGTGATGACGCGTGTGGTGTGGTTGGCTAGACATGCCTACTTTTTCGGTCCAAATTTTTATTAATTCATAAAAAAATTAATTAGGCATCCAATTAAGTCAAATTTTGTTTCAGATTGCATTGTCTTCATGTCTTGACCCACGTGTCAAATGTGAATCGTATCGGTCAAGTAGAAGTTTCCGAATTTTCACTCCTGCGTTTCGATCTAGACTGACGACAGACTGGCGACGACAGAGGAAGTGAGTTAAATAAAAGCTTGTAAAAATAGAATAAAATTTCGTAGACAAAAGAATTGCACACCGAGTGAACGCTAAATAAAAAAGTGCATAATAGTGCGCAATATTATTAGTACTTTAAAAATTTACATTAGTTTTTTGTGAAATCGGAAGTAGCGTAAATTAGTACTTCCGGTCAACGGAAATTACTCAAAATTTAACAGAAGGTAGAGAATTAGATCTTTTACTTACATGTGAAATTTCATTTATCTATCTGAAATAGTACTCAAGTTATAGGCTTTTGAAAAATTTTTAAGTAGGAAAAGTACCACTTCCGGTTATCGGAAATCGCTCAAAAGTTGATACGGATCTACGATTTTGATAAAATACTTATATATGAAATTTCATCAACCTAGCTGTAACGGTACTCAAGTTATCGTGTTTACACAGGGACAGACAGACAGACAGACACACAGACATACGGACAAGAATGCAAAATTATGTTTTTCCGTATCAGTGAGGTGTAAAACGTCGAGATTTGTAAAAATCTCGATTTTTTTTTTTGCACGATTACAAGACTTTTTCTATACTTCGTATATACGAGAAAGTAAAAATAAATAAACCGGGAGTAATCTCCCCTAAACTTGCTCGAATATTCTAATATAACACTACGTGGGATGTCAACTCGGAATATAGACATGATTTTTGTTTACTTAAACTTTTAAAAATAGAATAAAATCTAGTAGAAAAAAAAATGCGCACCAAGCTAGCACCAAAACCAAATGTGCGTAATAGTGCGCAATATTATTAGTACTTTAAAAATTTACATTAGTTTTTTGAGAAATCGGAAGTAGCGTAAATTACTACTTCCGGTCAACGGAAATTACTCAAAATTTAACAGAAGGTAGAGAATTAGATCTTTTACTTACATGTGAAATTTCATTTATCTATCTGAAATAGTACTCAAGTTATAGGCTTTTAAAAAATTCAAAGTAGAAAAAGTACCACTTCCGGTTGTCGGAAATCGCTCAAAAGTTGATACGGATCTACGATTTTGATATAATACTTATATATGAAATTTCATCAACCTAGCTGTAACGGTACTCAAGTTATCGTGTTTACACACGGACACACACACAGACACACAGACACACAGACACACACACACACAGACATACGGACAAGATTGCAAAATTATGTTTTTCCGTATCAGTGAGGTGTAAAACGTCGAGATCTGTAAAAATCTCGATTTTTTTTTTTTGCACGATTACAATACTTTCTCTATACTTCGTATATACGAGAAAGTAAAAACAAGCAATTTTTAAAATACCCGTGTTTTACCTAAAACGGTGCATTTTATCAATCCATGCTAATTATAATACGGTTTACGGGTAACATTGAACTCTACAATCCATTTAAAACTCACCTAAATCTTTGGCCCAACCTTTGGTTATGGATCTTCCTCGCACCACCTTAACATATACAATAGCACAGTGCTTATGTTTCACCTGCATTGGTTAGAGAGCATTTACATTGCAGGCTAACATATTTTTCTCACCAAGTTCCATCACTAGAAAGCGAAAGGCATTTATATTGTAGATTAGCATTCAAAATTGATCATACGGGCTTAATATTTAGGAGGGGGACGACACGACGGGACGTGACGACGACGGGACTTGAAATTTTCGCGGAGGGGGGGGGGGGGGCAGTAGACTTTTTCGTGGGGGGGGGGGCTCCTATTTAAATAACTTTATAGTTATTTAAATAGTAATGTATTTTTTTTTCTACTTTTTAGTGCATTATTACACGAAAGATTGTTATTAAAACCTTTTTTATTATTTTTTGACAAGCTTTTATTTAACTTGCTTTCTCGTCCCGTGTCTCTGTTTGTCTAGATCGAAACGCCCGAGGTAAATTACGGACAACTCTAACTGACAGATACGGTTCAAAGTTGGCACGTGGGTCAAGACATAAAAACAATGCAATCTGACATTAAATTTGACTTAACTGGATGCCTGATTAAATTTTGTCCAAATAAGCAGGCAGTCTTATGTAGCTACTCCGCACTATTAAATGCGCTTTGTCATGTTCATTAGGTGCGCAATGGATTTTAGTCATGCAACTATATTGTAAATTTAAAAGATTAAAGTATCGCTAAATAGCACCCTGTGTCCTCCCCGAATTTGATTTATTCAAGGACTATAGTAACCCTTCCTATCCATAGTCTGTCGCAATGTTTAAAACGAACGTAGACGCCATAGTGCTCACAGGAAGGCCAGGGCACCAAAACTATCCTGTCGATTTAGTTAAGGACTAAAGTAACCTTTCTTATCCATAGCCTATCGCACTGTTTAAAACGAACGTAGGCACCATATCGCTCACAGGATAGCCAAGGGCACCGAATTGAACAAAGTACACTTTTAAAATTTTTGTAAAGGATGAAACATTTTCTTTGACTTCGTTTCTTCCACATGACGTTTATTCCAGCAAGATCGCATTATTTATTTATTTATTTTTTATATTTTTGTTTATTGCGGAAAAGAAAGTCAGATTGTCATGCTTAACTCTAAGTTTTTTAAATGTATAAATATAATTTTTAAAAACCACTAGATCTACCTACATTTACTGACACATAAGATGTTACCAGTAAATAGATATTGTATTGAAAATAATTGTGACCTTTAACTTCCTTTTTTTCAAGCTAATTCTGTAATTTTTTTCCAAATCATTTTTGTACTATTTGCAATGACTCCACCCCTTCCCATCCCCTCCCCCCCCCCCCCCCCCCCACACACACACACGAGACTGTAGTGTCGTGCTAGCAGTCCCAGCACGTAAAAGTGAAAAGCAAGCATCAGCGGGTACTACACAAAAGACAGGTACTCGACCTAGATCGGCGAGAGATTGTGTAAACTGTGCTAGGGCTAGACGACTTGCAGATTGTATCTTAACACTATGCGATACATACACGGGAACATTTACCTGTTTTAAATTTAGCTTCAAGTGTATTTTGACCTGGCACAGTTCGACGAAGGTAACTTCTCATTTTGCCTTTTATAGTTAACATATAACTGCAACCTTTTATAATTAATCTTTAACTCAAATCTTAACATTTTATAGTTAACACTTAATCCTAATCTTAACATCTTATAATTAAGGAGTATATGATAACTTAAACTTTGTCGTATTTTCTTTTAAAACGGGATGATTCTTCCAGTGGAATCAAGCTTTAAAAGTGTTTAACAAAACATTAACGAGAAAACACATAGAGGTGAAAAGTTCTCAGGAAATGCTTTGTAAGAATATGATATAAAAGTATCAAATTCTGAATGTTATTGAGAAATTAGAAATAAGGTAAAATATCCAAACCGGAAATCGCTTGAAAGTTTATAGAAATCTAGTTAAAAGAGCTAATACTTTTTATAAAATTCATCTACCTAACTGAAACAGTACTCAACTTAACGTGTCCCACTGAAAAAAAGTACAACGTCTGGTTTACGAAAAACGTTGATAAAAAACATGCGAATACATAATAATACAGAATTATAAAATACTGAGTGTAGAATTTCGTCAACCTGACTGAAACGATACTCAAGTTATCGTCTTTTGGTTAACCGAAGCTAGAGTAAGTACAATATCCGGTTACCGTAATTCGATCAAAAGTTACTAGAAAAGAATTAATTGGACACACCACATAAAATATACTTTCATGTGAAATTTTATCAACTTACTAAGACAGTACTAAAGTTATCGCACATACAGACATACATTGACATGTTGGAAAAAAGAACGGTTTTTTAGGGGGGAAGGGGGGATAGAAGTCGCTTAGGGTTAGGGTTAGGATTAGGGTTAGGATTAGGGATAGGGTTAGGGGGATAGAAGTCGCTTAGGTTTTTGGAGAAATGAGTCTATGTGACGATGGAGAAGAAAAGCAGCCGCCCCCTCAACCTCCACATCCACACTCCACATCCTGTCCCGCCTACATGACCAATCCGTTGCTCCAGGTGACCAGTAGAGCGCATCATTTAACCTGCCCAAAGTTTGGTAAAACTTGGTGTGTATGTGTCTCTGTCTATGTGTGCCTGTGTGATTGACGCTTTAGAGAGGCCCTAGGCTAGAACACACTGACTCATCAATTTCTCGCCGTCTAAACCAGGCAAGTTTCTTGCTACACACTGTGGTAGTTATACATTACACAAGTAGACTAAACCCACACACTGTCGTAGTTATACATTACATGAGTAGACTAAACCCACACACTGTGGTAGTTATACATTACACACGTAGACTAAACCCACACACTGTGGTAGTTATACATTGCATTAGTAGACTAAACCCACACACTGTGGTAGTTATACATTACACACGTAGACTAAACCCACACACTGTGGTAGTTATACATTACACAAGTAGACTAAACCCACACACTGTCGTAGTTATACATTACACACGTAGACTAAACCCACACACTGTGGTAGTTATACATTACACAAGTAGACTAAACCCACACACTGTCGTAGTTATACATTACATGAGTAGACTAAACCCACACACTGTGGTAGTTATACATTACACACGTAGACTAAACCCACACACTGTGGTAGTTATACATTACACACGTAGACTAAACCCACACACTGTCGTAGTTATACATTACACACGTAGACTAAACCCACACACTGTGGTAGTTATACATTACACAAGTAGACTAAACCCACACACTGTCGTAGTTATACATTACATGAGTAGACTAAACCCACACACTGTGGTAGTTATACATTACACACGTAGACTAAACCCACACACTGTGGTAGTTATACATTACACACGTAGACTAAACCCACACACTGTGGTAGTTATACATTACACACGTAGACTAAACCCACACACTGTGGTAGTTATACATTACACAAGTAGACTAAACCCACACACTGTGGTAGTTATACATTACATGAATAGACTAAACCCACACACTGTGGTAGTTATACATTACATGAGTAGACTAAACCCACACACTGTGGTAGTTATACATTACATGAATAGACTAAACCCACACACTGTGGTAGTTATACATTTCACAAGTAGACTAAACCCACACACTGTGGTGGTTATACATTACACAAGTAGACTAAACCCACAAACTGTGGTAGTTATACATTACACAAGTAGACTAAACTCACACACTGTGGTAGTTATACATTACACACGTAGACTAAACCCACACACTGTGGTAGTTATACATTACACACGTAGACTAAACCCACACACTGTGGTAGTTATACATTACATGAATAGACTAAACCCACACACTGTGGTAGTTATACATTACATGAGTAGACTAAACCCACACACTGTGGTAGTTATACATTACATGAATAGACTAAACCCACACACTGTGGTAGTTATACATTTCACAAGTAGACTAAACCCACACACTGTGGTAGTTATACATTACACAAGTAGACTAAACCCACACACTGTGGTAGCTATACATTACACACGTAGACTAAACCTACACACTGTGGTAGTTATACATTACACAAGTAGACTAAACCCACACACTGTGGTAGTTATACATTGCATTAGTAGACTAAACTCACACACTGTGGTAGTTATACATTACATGAATAGACTAAACCCACACACTGTGGTAGTTATACATTACACAAGTAGACTAAACTCACACACTGTGGTAGTTATACATTACACAAGTAGACTAAACCCACAAACTGTGGTAGTTATACATTACACAAGTAGACTAAACCCACACACTGTGGTAGTTATACATTACACACGTAGACTAAACCCACACACTGTGGTAGTTATACATTACACACTTAGACTAAACCCACACACTGTGGTAGTTATACATTACATGAGTAGACTAAACCCACACACTGTCGTAGTTATACATTACATGAGTAGACTAAACCCACACACTGTGGTAGTTATACATTACACACGTAGACTAAACCCACACACTGTGGTAGTTATACATTACACACTTAGACTAAACCCACACACTGTGGTAGTTATACATTACATGAGTAGACTAAACCCACACACTGTGGTAGTTATACATTGCATTAGTAGACTAAACCCACACACTGTGGTAGTTATACATTACACACGTAGACTAAACCCACACACTGTGGTAGTTATACATTACACACGTAGACTAAACCCACACACTGTGGTAGTTATACATTACATGAGTAGACTAAACCCACACACTGTGGTAGTTATACATTACACAAGTAGACTAAACCCACACACTGTGGTAGTTATACATTACACACGTAGACTAAACCCACACACTGTGGTAGTTATACATTACACACGTAGACTAAACCCACACACTGTGGTAGTTATACATTACATGAGTAGACTAAACCCACACACTGTGGTAGTTATACATTACACAAGTAGACTAAACCCACACACTGTGGTGGTTATACATTACACACGTAGACTAAACCCACACACTGTGGTAGTTATACATTACACAAGTAGACTAAACCCACACACTGTGGTAGTTATACATTACACACGTAGACTAAACCTACACACTGTGGTAGTTATACATTACACAAGTAGACTAAACCCACACACTGTGGTAGTTATACATTGCATTAGTAGACTAAACTCACACACTGTGGTAGTTATACATTACATGAATAGACTAAACCCACACACTGTGGTAGTTATACATTACACAAGTAGACTAAACTCACACACTGTGGTAGTTATACATTACACAAGTAGACTAAACCCACACACTGTGGTAGTTATACATTACACACGTAGACTAAACCCACACACTGTGGTAGTTATACATTACACAAGTAGACTAAACCCACACACTGTGGTAGTTATACATTGCATTAGTAGACTAAACTCACACACTGTGGTAGTTATACATTACACAAGTAGACTAAACCCACAAACTGTGGTAGTTATACATTACACAAGTAGACTAAACCCACACACTGTGGTAGTTATACATTGCATTAGTAGACTAAACTCACACACTGTGGTAGTTATACATTACATGAATAGACTAAACCCACACACTGTGGTAGTTATACATTACACAAGTAGACTAAACTCACACACTGTGGTAGTTATACATTACACAATTAGACTAAACCCACACACTGTGGTAGTTATACATTACACACGTAGACTAAACCCACACACTGTGGTAGTTATACATTACACAAGTAGACTAAACCCACACACTGTGGTAGTTATACATTGCATTAGTAGACTAAACTCACACACTGTGGTAGTTATACATTACACACGTAGACTAAACCCACACACTGTGGTAGTTATACATTGCATTAGTAGACTAAACCCACACACTGTGGTAGTTATACATTACATGAATAGACTAAACCCACACACTGTGGTAGTTATACATTACACAAGTAGACTAAACTCACACACTGTGGTAGTTATACATTACACAAGTAGACTAAACCCACACACTGTGGTAGTTATACATTGCATTAGTAGACTAAACTCACACACTGTGGTAGTTATACATTACACACGTAGACTAAACCCACACACAGTGGTAGTTATACATTGCATTAGTAGACTAAACTCACACACTGTAGTAGTTATACATTACACACGTAGACTAAACCCACACACTGTGGTTGTTATACATTACACACGTAGACTAAACCCACACACTGTGGTAGTTATACATTACACAAGTAGACTAAACTCACACACTGTGGTAGTTATACATTACACAAGTAGACTAAACCCACACACTGTGGTAGTTATACATTGCATTAGTAGACTAAACTCACACACTGTGGTAGTTATACATTACATGAATAGACTAAACCCACACACTGTGGTAGTTATACATTACACAAGTAGACTAAACTCACACACTGTGGTAGTTATACATTACACAAGTAGACTAAACCCACACACTGTGGTAGTTATACATTACACAAGTAGACTAAACTCACACACTGTGGTAGTTATACATTACACAAGTAGACTAAACTCACACACTGTGGTAGTTATACATTACACAAGTAGACTAAACCCACACACTGTGGTAGTTATACATTACACAAGTAGACTAAACCCACACACTGTGGTAGTTATACATTGCATTAGTAGACTAAACTCACACACTGTGGTAGTTATACATTACATGAGTAGACTAAACCTACACACTGTGGTAGTTATACATTACACAAGTAGACTAAACCCACACACTGTGGTAGTTATACATAACATGAATAGACTAAACCCACACACTGTGGTAGTTATACATTACATGAGAAGCCTTAATTCATTATTAGGATCAATGTACACACATTAACCACTCAATTTGCACAGCATATTGTTGGTAACGATTATAGATATAGTATATTGGTTATATAGATTTAAATTGAGAAAAATAAGCCTCCTATTTTATAGACCACTCCTAACTAGATTTTTAAATTAGTATAGATTATTTCTTTTATAGTCAGTTCTAAGTTAATCTGACTGTTGGAAAATGATGCAAAAAAAGTTAAATGCTATCGAGGTAGAACAAGAAATATGGTAGAGGAAGAACGAGAAATATGGTGGAGGAAGAACGAGAAATATTGTAGAGGAAAAAAGAGAAATATTGTAGAGGAAAAAAGAGAAATATTGTAGAGGAAGAACTAGAACAACAGAGTTAAGTTTTCGTGTTGTGCTAAGGTCTCTAAAACAACGAAACAACTTGTGACATGATAGAACGTGTCTAAAACAACGCAACAACTTGTGACATTATGATAGAACGTGCAGGAAGGATGACACACTTGAATCCTACCGGATAAACCGCTCTAATTTAACCTTTGACCCGAGGTCTAACACGGTATGTCCATTTTCATAGCTTGCCTGACCCGTGCAACATGGACAATTGAAACCAGCTGTGCATGTCGCTGTGCTCAATTCAACGCTGGAATTCTGTGCTGGACTGTAGAATACAATCAATTCATTCAAAATGGCTTCGGATGCTTCGTAAGTAGATTTTATTCTAGGCCAATTTAGTTTTTCTTTCAGACATTTCTTCTAGGCCTACTTTATAAATTATATTTCGTTCGGTGCTTCCTCCTCCCTTTTGGAAGAGAAGCCTGAACGAAACACTGTTACGGTTTCATCCAGTTTATGTAAATGTATGTAGCTAGTGCTACATCTATTTTATGTAGCAAGAGCTACATCTAGTTTATGTAGCAAGAGGTACTTCTATTTAATATAGCGAGTGTTACTTCTAGTTAATGTAATAAGAGCTACATCAAGTTTATTTAGCAAGAGCTACTTCTAGTTTATGTAGGTAGTTTTACAGCTGGCGTATGTTCATAATGCTACGTCTAGCTTATGTAGTTAGCTAGCACTTACAGATATATGAAACATGTTAGGGTTAAAGTTTGAATTAAAACTGTTGACAAGTAATTAATTTGTGATGTAAAATCATATTGTTAGTTTAAACAAATTATTAAACTTATTTTCTTATATTATTTTTTTCCAGTTTTGACCCGTTTCAAGTATTTGAGGTAAAATGCAATAAACTTAAACAAAATTATATTTAGATTACATAGTATTCAAGAGGGGAAAAATGAAGTTATTTAAAAGTATAGTTTGATGACAGTAAACTAAAAATAATTCCAACTTAATTCAATGTCCATTTTTTACTTTAAAAGTTTACTTAATTTTTAAGAGTGGATTAAACATTCAATTTAGTCACATTTTATGTCACAGTGTATAGTCATTGAGACTTGATCTACGGGAAAATTGAAACAATTCGGGAAGTGGTACTTTTTAGAAATAGGATATTGCGAACATTAAAACTTCCGGTAACGAAAACCACCCAAACTTTGTTACAATCAAGAGAATAAGATCTTCAACCTAAGTATAAAAATTCGTTTACCTAACTGAAACGATACTCGTGTTATCGGTAACTTAGAAATTATACTAGAGTAAGTACCGCTTCCAGAAACCGCTCAAAAGTTGAAAGAAAACTAAAAATTAGATATAATAGTATACAGAGCCGGCGTTAGGGGTACGCGGGGCCTATGGCCAACCATCCGCGCGGGGCCTTATATTTTTTCATTGGTGTATAATTAAAACATGTACAGTGAGGAGTTTTTTTTTCTTCTTCTCAACGCGATTTAATATTTATAACGATATATAAGGTATTTTTAAGCTGCTTATCAATGTCGTATTAACATCAAGACACTGATTAACAAACAATTTGTTTACTTCGAAGTGCTTTTGAAACGTTGCTTGTTTCTGTTAGGGCTTTTTGTTTGAAAAGTAAAAAATAAAACAGATATAAGTTTGAGACGCGCATTAAAGAGACGATGAACGTCAGCTTCAAACTTGATTTTTTTTTTACATTTATGTTTATTTATGAAAATCTTACCAGTACGTTCTCAAACGAAGATCTACTTTTCTTGCCTTTCGTGAGGAAAATTCCATTATTATATCATCATAGTCCAAACTGGAGGCTATGTCTTTTTCTATTTTTCTATCCTCGCTTTTGATGCACCTGATTCATACTTGCGAAATCTATCTCTGTCTCTTGTAGCCATGGTGTAGAGGAAAAATGGTGAAATCTCTTTGAAGCAACGTTAAATTGGTCCACAGTGGCGGGTGATAGTATCGATATTTTCTCAATTTATCGAGTGTTAACAGTGGCATTCAAAGTGTGTGGATGCCGGGGAAAATAGCAAAACATTGATAGATTTCGGAATAAGCTCGAATCGTGAAAAACACTGTTTACGGCTATAGATATCCAAATGAAATGACTCTCAAATGTAATCACGGACGCTCAGTAAGGTGGAACACTGGGGGGGGGGGGGGTGACAGTTGGTGGGGTGAGGTAAAGGATAACTGTACATTTAAATCTATGGGATGCCAAACCCTAAAAAAATCAGTTCGGGTACTACGTTACTGGATCTATGACCGCAGCCATTCAAGAGAAGGTGCGTGTTTATAGAGCGTCCGCGTATTACATTACAGATTAAGACCGCGTTATCACAAGAGAAGGTCCGTGTCTATAATTAGAAAGTGAACTATGTGACAGCCAGCTTCATGTTATTTATGAGTTTCGCGATGGCATGCTCGGACTGCCGGTAATTTAGACGTTTTAGAAATCAGGAGAACTTTACCATAAAACAGTCTCGGCCCTATGTATCAAACAGTATAGACTTTATAATTTGTTTAGTGTGCCTACACTATTTTAAAACAAGAATCACTATGGCCTTAATTATTATACTGAATATCCCTACACAGAGGCGTAGCGAGGGGAGGGGGTGCGGACCGCACCGGGTGACACCATTTAGGGGGGTGACACCAAGGCAAAAAATAGCAAAATATATAGAGAAAAACTTGAGGGGGGTGCAAATTGAAAGTTTGAGGGGGGGGGGGTGCAAATCGAAAATTTTAAAGTTTTTTCCCGGGAAGGGGCATGTTCCCATCCGCTCTCCCCCCCCCCCCCTCCTCCTCTGCAAACCATCATCAGGTCACTGACTGTTTACTACAGGCAGCCCCGCCTGCTCACTAAAAAAAAAACGTCTTCAACGGTCCGCAAACAATAGGGTATCTGTTTACGATTTCCCCGATTTTACCTCCCATGTCAGGTCGGGGGCTAATTCGCGACCGCCATCTCCAGTCACCTCAGGACAATAGCGAGTCGACCGTGTCAGCGATGTGTGACACTAATGTCTTACTTTAGAATAACGGTCTGTACCAGTCCATGTAGAGCAGGGGTTCCCAACCTTTTTTCAGTCTAGAGCACATTCTAAAATACCGGTAGGGTGGCGGGCACCACCTATTTTAAATCGACAAAGTCCTTCCAGAGGCGTAGCGACCTTTCCCGTCATCCGGGGACAAAACTTTCGATTTGCACCCCCCCCCCCCCCCTCAAACTTTCGATTTGCACCCCCCCCCCCCCCCCTCAAACTTTCGATTTCCACCCCTTCAACCTTTCAATGATGTTTATGAAAAAAATATTCTGTCTCTGTCGAATAGTGAAAGGCGGGCACATACGAATCGTTCGGCGGGCGCCATGGCGCCCGCGGGCACGGGGTTGGGAACCCCTGATGTAGAGGATAACTCACTAACATCAGCCGTGACCTCAGTTTTAACATCCAACAATTTCGGCCATTTAGTTGGGTTTTTTTTAAATTTAATTCAGCAACAATTATTTAAGTTTACAAACTAATTCAGGCAACAATGGCGTTGCTGAAGCGCGGGGCCCCTTCAAGCGCGGGGCCTGGTGCTACCGCCCCGTTTGCCACCCCCTAACGCCGGCTCTGATAGTATATATATTATTATATATAAATTTCAACAAAATTGAAACGGTACTCAAGTAATCGTGTTTACATACACACACACGTAGAGGATCAGTGTTTCTTTCAGGCATCTCTTTGGGGGAGGGAACCCACTCCACGAACCACGTCTACCGCTCCCCCTCCCCCCCCCCCCCCCCACGACGAAATACAATTTTTATTAAAAAATATCTAGCCTTTATGCCCCAGGACAAGTTAGTAGTATAACACGTGTGGGTACTAAATGTGGTACATGTCAATGGCGTAGGCAGGGGGAGGGTTAGGGAGGGACCCCTCTGTAATCGTGTTTACATACATACATACGTAGAGGATCAGTGTTTCTTTCAGGCATCTTTTTGGGGGAGGGAACCCACCCCACGAACAACGTCTACCTCCCCCTCCCCCCACGACGAAATACAATTTATATTTAAAAATATCTAACCTTAATGCCCCAGGACAAGTTAGTAGTATAACACGTGTGGGTACTAAATGTGGTACATGTCAGTGGCGTAGGCAAGGGGGGTTAGGGAGGGACCCCTCTGTAAAAAAAATTGTTATTGTCATTATACCACTGTTACTTATTTAAATATATTTCTGAATCAGTATATATGTTTAATTATATATGCATATAGAACACTCATCTAAAACTGACGGTATGTTCACTCTGAGTTGGTTATCTCCCCTCACTACCTAAAACGGGACAGGCTGTAATTGTGTAGAGCGACATTTATGTCACACCTAGGTATACACTGGGTAAAAGAATAGACATAAAGTGACCGGACAGTGGTGATTGAAGTTGAACCCCCCCCCCTCCTCCAACCCACCCCGAACTGATCTGTTAAGTACATTTGGGAAAACGCGTAATGATGTACCAAAGTACCATGCCGCCAGAAACATAGCTTTTGAAACAAGTAAAACTCTGTGAATATTGTTTTTTCCAATACCAGTAAAGACGTGTGTGATCAATAGAGTGACCTAAACCCATACCTTAACATTATGTATACAGGCAGTGGCATTCAGTCTGTGTATGGGGGGGGTGGCGTCGAACAGGGCCCACCCGTATTAAAAACACCACAGGCGCTGAGTGGGGGGGGGGGTGGAGGACGTCGATAAGGGACCACCCCGTATTAATAAGACCACAAGCGCTGCCGCAGTTTTGGTAAGCAATGCAGTGAATCAGCCTATAAAATTTGAATGTGAGACACAACATCACCCGTGAATTTTCACGTATCGCTAAAAACCTCAACTGAGTGGGAAACTCTCTACCCCCTTCCCCCCCCCCCCACCACCACCCAGAAACCTGCATCTCCCTTCTGTCTCCCTTATATGTACTACTAGGTTGCAACAATGCGGACGGGTACGCCAGTTCCGTATAAAACTTCTTTAACATTCGATGGTGATAATGGAGAGTTTGATGTCTATGATGGAATTTTAAAATCTGACTAGACTACCCGTCATCTAGTTAGATAACTGTGGGTTTCGGAGGGTCATCCATAAATGACATCACGTCTGCCAGCCAGAGGCGTAGCGACCCTTCCCGGCGCCCGGGGACAAACTTTTCGATTTGCACCCCTCCACCCTCAAGATTTTGATTTGCACCCCCCTCAAACTTTCGATTTGCACCCCTCCCCCCCTCAAACTTTCAATTTACACCCCCTCAACCATTCAATTTATTTTTCCAACCCATTTTGGCGCCCCCTAAGGTCGGCGCCCGGGGACATGTGTCCTTCCGCCCCCCACCCCCCTTGCTACGCTACTGCTGCCAGCACTTATCATCCCAAAATAACCAGACCCCACATTCAAAAAGACGTTTTTTATATTTTAAAAACTCTACTAAACTCTACTTCACCTGCCCAGTGCCCCGCCAAGTCTCAGACATGTTTGCATTTTAAAAAAAAAACGATTATCCCTTCATATGCTGAGAACATAGAAACAGGTGAACTCTACTTCACCTGCCCTATGCCTCGCGAGGTCCTGATAGTCAACCTTATCATTCACATACAGGCCTAAAGAAAAAATAATTAAACATTGTTGTAAAAAAAAACTTTAACTATTACTATAGTCAATGTTTTTATAATAAATGTGGTTAATCGACCTATGAATATATCAATAAATTAATTAATGGCTTTAAATTAGTTAGTAATTAACAGTGTGTTCAAGAAAGAACAATATTTACCACCCAAAATCCTATTTTACAACTCTAAACATAATGCAGATTCTCCCCAATAACAAATAAAAAAAAACAACAACAAAATGAGTTATCAAACGTCACTATTCAGTCAAAATTAAGCCATTGTTCTAAAACTTTTTTTAAAAATGTGGTTAATCTACCTATGAATAAATCAATAAATTAATTAACGTCTTTAAATAAATGTGTGATTAACAGTCTGTCTGCAATAAAAAAATTGTTCTCTACCTACATACTATTTTACAGCCCCCCCCCCCCCCCCATATAGAGCAGTTTCCTTACAGTACGAAATCAGACAAACAAATAAATATTCAAACATGTAAACACAGTTGAGTTTTAGTAGTATATAGATTGTTTGCATAATATGATGATGTTATGAAACAAATTGTAAATATGCCTTTTGGGCCAGTAACTTGGCCAGCTAAAATAGATCTCAAAGAAGCTCATTAATAAGTTTGCAAACTTAAAAGCATGAAAAATAAATCAAATCTAAATTAATTAAGATACAATTTTTTAAAAATTGTGTTTGGTTAGTGGTCAAAAGGTCGGCTGAATTTGGGTATAACGAATACGCGCATATTACTTTAAAGATGCCCCTACAGTGCATGGGAATAATTTGGTCACAAGTACTCTAAAAGATGCCCCTACACTATAGTAAATAAATATCACACACATTTATTAAGTGAATATCTATGACTACCATAGGACTACCCTTCATTGACGCCCCCTTTTTCTATACAAGTTTTGCCATACGGACAGTGTAATGTCAAAACGAGTGACAGACGATTGAGTGTTACAATTTGTTTTGGGTGAGATCGGCAAACACACGGAGAGTTTTGATGACACCATGACAGAACAAATCGCAACTTTTTTTTTAATTACAAAAAGAAAAAGACAAAATGTCCACGCCCGCTGGATGCCCCCCCCCCCAGTGGTGGATGCCCGGGGGTTGGGCCCCGTTCGCCCCCCTCCCTCTCTGCATGCCACTGCCACCATTACACCGTCCATCACAAAACCACCCCCTCCTCCCCACCCTCTTTCCAAATTACATCATCCATCACAAAAAAAACCTCCTCCGCCAAATTTGAATGTGTGTGTATGTTTATGTAATTGTGTATGATTTTTTTTTGCATGTAATGTTTACACTTACATTTTCATTGGTGAATTTCATTGTGTACAAGTGTTAGGGTTAGGATCGTAAACATTAACACAAACATACATTTACATTGTCTCTTAGATGTACCTCCCCCGCGGAGAAAAAAGTCTATTTGAACCTTTCATATTGACTCCTAAATATTAAGCCCGTATTATCAATTTTGAATGTTAATCTACAATATAAATGCCTTTCGCTTTCTAGTGATGGAACTTGGTGAGAAAAATATGTTAACCTGCAATGTAAATGCTCTCTAACCAATGCAGGTGAAACATAAGCACTGTGCTATTGTATATGTCAAGGTGGTGCGAGGAAGATCCATAACCAAAGGTTGGGCCAAAGATTTAGGTGAGTTTTAAATATATTATAGAGTACAATGTTACCCGTAACTATATGGTCTCTAGAGTACAATGTTACCGGTAACTCTATATGGTCTCTAGAGTTCAATGTTACCCGTAACTCTATATGGTCTCTAGAGTTCAATGTTACCCGTAACTCTATATGGTCTCTAGAGTTCAATGTTACCCGTAACTCTATATGGTCTCTCGAGTTCAATGTTACCCGTAACTCTATATGGTCTCTAGAGTTCAATGTTACCCGTAACTCTATATGGTCTCTAGAGTTCAATGTTACCCGTAACTCTATATGGTCTCTAGAGTTCAATGTTACCCGTAACTCTATATGGTCTCTAGAGTACAATGTTACCGGTAACTCTATATGGTCTCTAGAGTTCAATGTTACCCGTAACTCTATATGGTCTCTAGAGTTCAATGTTACCCGTAACTCTATATGGTCTCTAGAGTTCAATGTTACCCGTAACTCTATATGGTCTCTAGAGTTCAATGTTACCCGTAACTCTATATGGTCTATAGAGTTCAATGTTACCCGTAACTATATGGTCTCTAGAGTTCAATGTTACCCGTAACTCTATATGGTCTCTAGAGTTCAATGTTACCCGTAACTCTATATGGTCTCTAGAGTTCAATGTTACCCGTAACTCTATATGGTCTCTAGAGTTCAATGTTACCCGTAACTCTATATGGTCTCTAGAGTTCAATGTTACCCGTAACTCTATATGGTCTCTAGAGTTCAATGTTACCCGTAACTCTATATGGTCTCTAGAGTTCAATGTTACCCGTAACTCTATATGGTCTCTAGAGTTCAATGTTACCCGTAACTCTATATGGTCTCTAGAGTTCAATGTTACCCGTAACTCTATATGGTCTCTAGAGTTCAATGTTACCCGTAACTCTATATGGTCTCTAGAGTTCAATGTTACCCGTAACTCTATATGGTCTCTAGAGTTCAATGTTACCCGTAACTCTATATGGTCTCTAGAGTTCAATGTTACCCGTAACTCTATATGGTCTCTAGAGTTCAATGTTACCCGTAACTCTATATGGTCTCTAGAGTTCAATGTTACCCGTAACTCTATATGGTCTCTAGAGTTCAATGTTACCCGTAACTATATGGTCTCTAGAGTTCAATGTTACCCGTAACTCTAGCTGGTCTCTAGAGTTCAATGTTACCCGTAACTCTATATGGTCTCTAGAGTTCAATGTTACCCGTAACTCTATATGGTCTCTAGAGTTCAATGTTACCCGTAACTCTATATGGTCTCTAGAGTTCAATGTTACCCGTAACTCTATATGGTCTCTAGAGTTCAATGTTACCCGTAATGATGTTTTTCTCTGACCCCAGTGGACACGCCTGACCCGTATGTCATCTTGACCTTGGCGAATTCACCCTATTCGTGGCGAAAAACAGCCGTTAAAGATAATGACGTCAATCCTGAGTGGCATGAAACATTTACCTTTTGGTTGGATCCAGAACAGGACCATGTTCTAGGTGAGTATTTTAATCCTAATCCTGTCTAGGTGGGTAGTTTAATCCTAATCCTGTCTAGGTGGGTAGTTTAATCCTAATCCTGTCTTGGTGAGTAGTTTAATCCTATCCCTGTCTAGGTGAGTAGTTTAATCCTAAACCTGTCTAGGTGAGTAGTTTAATCCTAATCCTATCTAGGTGGGTAGTCTAATCCTAATCCTGTCTAGGTGAGTAGTTTAATCCTAATCCTATCTAGGTGGAAAGTTTAATCCTAAACCTGTCTAGGTGAGTAGTTTAATCCTAATCCTATCTAGGTGGGTAGTTTAATCCTAATCCTGTCTAGGTGAGTAGTTTAATCCTAATCCTATCTAGGTGGGTAGTTTAATCCTAATCCTGTCTAGGTGAGTAGTTTAATCCTAATCCTATCTAGGTGGGTAGTCTAAGCCTAATCCTGTCTAGGTGAGTAGTTTAATCCTTATCCTATCTAGGTGGAAAGTTTAATCCTAAACCTGTCTAGGTGAGTAGTTTAATCCTAATCCTATCTAGGTGGGTAGTTTAATCCTAATCCTGTCTAGGTGAGTAGTTTAATCCTAATCCTATCTAGGTGGGTAGTTTAATCCTAATCCTGTCTAGGTGAGTAGTTTAATCCTAATCCTAACTAGGTGGAAAGTTTAATCCTAAACCTGTCTATGTGAGTAGTTTAATCCTAATCCTATCTAGGTGGGTAGTTTAATCCTAATCCTGTCTAGGTGAGTAGTTTAATCCTAATCCTATCTAGGTGGAAAGTTTAATCCTAATCCTGTCTAAGTGAGTAGTTTATTCCTAAACCTGTCTAGGTGAGTAGTTTATTCCTTATCCTGTCTATATGAGTAGTTGAATCCTAATGAAAATTGCAGTATAAAGGGGTTGTTATGCAAAATGCAGTATAATGGGATTGTTACAGGGGCGGAACTACAGTGCCGCCAGACCCCGCAATGCGGGGGGGGGGGGGCCACGCCGTTTAGGGGGCCCACAGCCGCCCATAAGCGGTTTTTTTTTATAGTTACAATTAATTTTCTTGCATTTTTGACCTGATGGTTGTTTTGAAAAAAGAATGCTGTAGCTGCGGTTGGAGTATCTTTATTCTGTAGACACCATCCCACGATCTTGTATATTCTTTCTCCTACAATCAAACACACGCTGTTGTCGGCAAAATTCTTTTGAAAAAACATCAATTGCGCGAGAGGCCGCTAGATATTAAGACGGCTTTTTTAGACCATCCCAAATTTGGTACTGATGGATAAAATCACATCGGTGCTTTGTTGTCCCTTTTAAGTTCCTTTCTCAGACCTCCCCTCCCGTTCTTAGCCTTACAAGAAGCGAATAGATAACGCCTCAACAACTAAGCTGGCTCGTATCGGTGGTAGTGTTGACAAACTAGCGCTCCAACAACTAATATCCAAGAAATAAAGTGCCGACATTGTTTAAGTTCAATAACCACTGTTCTAGAAAACAAGGCAAACGTCTCAAATGAATACACGAATGATAGCGAATGATATATATATATATATATATATATATATATATATATATATATATATATATATATATATATATATTTACTTTGCTTTTAGAACAATTGAAAAAGTCTAGATTGCTCTTAGAATAAGACGATTGAAACGTTTTTTAATTTTTTGCGGGGTGGCCCATTTTTTCTAGTTCCGCCACTGAGTTGTTATGCAAAATGCAGAATAATGGGGTTGTTATGAAACAATCAACCAATCCCTTTAGACAGTATCGTCTGCCACCCACCCTCATCATCATGTACTAATCAGACAGCCACACATGCATATTCATTTCTTAACGCAGTGAATCCTGGTAATAAATTTTGCAAACGAGTAAAAGTCACTGATCTCTCTGTAAATTTTAACCACGAAGAATTCGTCTTGTATTTTCTTAACCAAGCCTGGCTGGAGAAAATCGTACATTATGTGTTGATGCATGTATCAAGTCCCTAAAAACCCATCTAGGAGAGACAACTCCAAAATCAAACAACTGGTTCTAACACGGCTGTCCAATAAAGGTCATCGGCCAGGGCTCAAGAGTGCCTAGATAAACTTCAACGGCCTCAAGTTCGTGACCAAGTCGAGCTATCTAGAGTCTAGACGGAGGAGTCAGGTTGTAATAGGGCGTGTAGAGGGGTGGACGCCGAGATCAGACACTTAGCCCTAGACACATCACTCTGTGGTGCCCCAACCAATCCGCTGTAAGTCCTGCCGATTTACGTTAGTTAGAGAGCTATCCTACCCCCCCCCCCCCCCTCATCCCAAAAAAAAAATAGTCCAAACTAATTTCAGGCCTTAAATAATCGTGTTTTATATATGTTTGTATTCATGTTTACCGAAAATTGTGAAAAGAAATATTTAAATAGGGCAGGGGTCGGCAACCTTTTGAGACGGGCTAGCCAAAAGTTTGAATCTACAAAATTTCCCAGTTTTTAAAGAGCCACTAACATTTTTATGTGCACTTCGGTAGAGGAAAGCATGGAACCATTGCCACGGGGCTGGCCACGGCACAATTTTGGAGCTGGGCATGCAAAGCGGCTTTCAGCTGTATACGCTCCACTCCACCTATTCTCATGGGTTTTTTCTTTTGTTTAAAGTTTTATTTTGTTTTTACGGTGTAATATTTTTTTAGCTTTGAAAATAAAATAATATAATTATTATGGAACTGGAGAGGGGCATGTTGACATTGAAAGAGCCGCATGTATGCGAGCCGCAGGTTGCCGACCCATGATATAGGGCAAGCTGGTCAAAAGTATATAAACTTGATATGTACAATGGTTTCTCGCGTTAAGTTTATTTTTGTGACTTTTTGTATTTATATTATAAATTCTGAAAGCATTCCTTTTTATAGCTATACGATTGTTTAGTACGTCTTATTTAAATAATAATTAAGATAATTGCTTTTGTATATAGTACAAAACTATTTAAAGGAGCTTTATGAGCACCCCTATTTTAAAGAAGGGCTGTAAGTCATGGAAGTTGTGTGAACGTTTGCCTACCTTTCAAGCTATAGCTTTTGTAGATTTTAAAATATTTTTCTACGCAACAGTGTGTGTGTTAGTAACTGTAGAACAATCACTGCAATAGTAGACCTGTTTTTTTTTTTACAAAACCACTAACAAGATGCATGAAAAAATAATTTATTAAAAAAAATTCATTGTTTTTTTTTTGTCGGAACTGGGCCCCCTAAATGTCCTGCCCCCCCCCCCTCCTGCATTGCGGGATCTGGCGGCATGGTAGTTCCGCCCCTGAGTGTTACATGATTTATCTGCTCATCTACTCACCAATCAAGTGTAAATCTTTCTTATTTATATTGACAAAATGCACCCGCTCCCCACCCTTCTCCTACATGCGAAAACGTTGTTGAACGGTTTTTACCGCCTCTATTTCTTAAGGGTATTTTACTGTTACACAATCAAGGTTTAAAAATGTAAATCTTTATGTAAAGCCGTGTATAAGTTTATTGTCTTAACTTGAACTGTGTAGTGTATACTTCAATACTTAACTCAAAATAAAATGTCTACCCCATTTGGCGCTCGTAGGGCTGGCGCCCCAGGCAGCCGCCGCCCCCACCCCACCGCCTACGCCACTGCATACAAATACACACATATACACACATACGAATTAAATATTACAAAATATTTTATCAATATAGTATGAAACAATAGTAAAAAAAATATCACTTTTTGTATTATTATAATCAATGTTTAAAACGTATCAATTTTGCTAGACTTCACATTCAAGCAAACGCAGTGTTAGACAGTCAAGTAACGGACCAATCAAATCACGATGATCTATCTACGTCATTTGGTATTTTCCTTATGTTGGCGAATACAGTTTCTAATGCCCACGTCATCTTTGGTCGCTTGGACACCATTGTTCACCTTACAAAGGCAGCTTCCCACAAAGTCTTTTGAACGTCTTGTTGCACGTGGACGGAGAAGCCGACTGTCTTGAACGTCTTGTTGCACGTGGACGGAGAAGCCGACTGTCTTTGATTTTGTTCTTTGATGATTGTCTCCAGAGTTTCTTCCAGGCATCTCTGCGGGGGGGGGGGGTAATTATTGTCCGCCCCCCCCTCGCCCCAAATAATATAAAGTGCCCCCCCCCCCCGGCGGAGAAAAATGTCTGGAAGAAACACTGATTGTCTCACCTCGTCATCATAGAGGAGGCTATCAAATACGTTAAAAGCCTATATTTTAAAACCAGAAAGCGTGTAGATTTTTTCTTTAGAAGCCTTATGCTCCGTCTAACTCTTACTCTGACTGTCCTTATTGTCTGACGGCCCTCTTGGTCTGACGGCCCTCTTGGTCTGACGGCCCTCTTGGTCTGACGGCCCTCTTGGTCTGACGGCCCTCTTGGTCTGATGGCCCTCTTGGTCTGATGGCCCTCTTGGTCTGACGGCCTTTGTGGTCTGACGGCCCTCTTGGTCTGACGGCCCTCTTGGTCTGACGGCCCTCTTGGTCTGACGGCCCTCTTGGTCTGACGGCCCTCTTGGTCTGATGGCCCTCTTGGTCTGATGGCCCTCTTGGTCTGACGGCCTTTGTGGTCTGACGGCCCTCTTGGTCTGACGGCCCTCTTGGTCTGACGGCCCTCTTGGTCTGACGGCCCTCTTGGTCTGACGGCCCTCTTGGTCTGATGGCCCTCTTGGTCTGATGGCCCTCTTGGTCTGACGGCCTTTGTGGTCTGACGGCCCTCTTGGTCTGACGGCCCTCTTGGTCTGATGGCCCTCTTGATCTGACGGCCCTCTTGGTCTGACGGCCCTCTTGGTCTGACGGCCCTCTTGGTCTGACGGCCTTTGTGGTCTGACGGCCCTCTTGGTCTGACGGCCCTCTTGGTCTGACGGCCCTCTTGGTCTGATGGCCCTCTTGGTCTGATGGCCCTCTTGGTCTGACGGCCTTTGTGGTCTGACGGCCCTCTTGGTCTGACGGCCCTCTTGGTCTGATGGCCTTTGTGGTCTGACGGCCCTCTTGGTCTGACGGCCCTCTTGGTCTGACGGCCCTCTTGGTCTGACGGCCCTCTTGGTCTGACGGCCCTTTGGTCTGATGGCCCTCTTGGTCTGATGGCCCTCTTGGTCTGACGGCCTTTGTGGTCTGACGGCCCTCTTGGTCTGACGGCCCTATTGGTCTGACGGCCCTCTTGGTCTGACGGCCCTCTTGGTCTGATGGCCCTCTTGGTCTGATGGCCCTCTTGGTCTGACGGCCTTTGTGGTCTGACGGCCCTCTTGGTCTGACGGCCCTCTTGGTCTGACGGCCCTCTTGATCTGACGGCCCTCTTGGTCTGACGGCCTTTGTGGTCTGACGGCCCTCTTGGTCTGACGGCCCTCTTGGTCTGACGGCCCTCTTGGTCTGACGGCCCTCTTGGTCTGACGGCCCTCTTGGTCTGATGGCCCTCTTGGTCTGACGGCCTTTGTGGTCTGACGGCCCTCTTGGTCTGACGGCCCTCTTGGTCTGACGGCCCTCTTGGTCTGACGGCCCTCTTGGTCTGACGGCCCTCTTGGTCTGATGGCCCTCCACGTCTGATGGCCCTCTTGGTCTGACGGCCTTTGTGGTCTGACGGCCCTCTTGGTCTGACGGCCCTCTTGGTCTGATGGCCCTCTTGATCTGACGGCCCTCTTGGTCTGACGGCCCTCTTGGTCTGACGGCCCTCTTGGTCTGACGGCCTTTGTGGTCTGACGGCCCTCTTGGTCTGACGGCCCTCTTGGTCTGACGGCCCTCTTGGTCTGATGGCCCTCTTGGTCTGATGGCCCTCTTGGTCTGACGGCCTTTGTGGTCTGACGGCCCTCTTGGTCTGACGGCCCTCTTGGTCTGATGGCCCTCTTGATCTGACGGCCCTCTTGGTCTGACGGCCCTCTTGGTCTGACGGCCCTCTTGGTCTGACGGCCTTTGTGGTCTGACGGCCCTCTTGATCTGACGGCCCTCTTGGTCTGACGGCCCTCTTGGTCTGACGGCCCTCTTGGTCTGACGGCTTTTGTGGTTTGACGGCCCTCTTGGTCCATGTCACATTGCATATAGAATACTTTACAAACACGAGCCAAGTAATACGCTACCCACAATGAAATCGCAACCACAACAGTTAAAACTCTATCAGACCGTAGCCTACATCAGACATTGACCAGGACATTATATATATATATATATATATATATATATATATATATATATATATATATATATATATATATATATATATATATATATATATATATATGCGTGTGTGTCTGTCTGTATGTATGTATGTAAGGTACCTTTTTATGCACTTGCCGCTCCTGCTATTTTGAAGACCTGACTATGTCCCTGTTGTTTTTTAAAATGAACCATCTATGCCCTATTAAAACTAAAACCTATACTGCCCATACAATGAAGTCCTAATATTAAAACTAAAACCTATAAACCTACTGGCCATTGAGTGAACACCACGTCAACATTTGATGTCTCTTTCAGAAATGTCTCTAATGGACGCCAACTATACTGTTGACGAGCATCTTGCCTCTTCTGCCCTTCCTTTAAAGCCACTTCCAATTGGAAAAAAGCTACAAAGAACTATTTATTTCAACGAAGTAAGTTTAATTTTTATTTTCCATAACATTTGTTAAACTTCAATGCATATGTCTCTAGAAAAAAAAATCGTTTTTTTTGTAACAACACAATGTCTGTGCCATTTTTTTCACACCATTCCCTCGCCACACCCACACTCCCCAACAACAAACTATTGGCCTATTCGACCCAAACTGTCTAGTGAGGGATCATTCAAATAAAACTGAAAGGCACACATAACCCTGACGGGTTAGGGTCTTGTCTCCAGACACCCCACATCTAGTTTCTCAGTTGACCTTTGTCCTGACGGGTTAGGGTTAGGGTCTTGTCTCCAGATACCACACATCTAGATTCTCAGTTGACCTTTGTCCTGACGGGTTAGGGTCTTGTCTCCAGATACCCCACATCTAGATTCTCAGTTGACCTTTGTCCTGACGGGTTAGGGTTAGGGTCTTGTCTCCAGATACCCCACATCTAGATTCTCAGTTGACCTTTGTCCTGACGGGTTAGGATTAGGGTCTTGTCTCCAGACACCCCACATCTAGATTCTCAGTTGACCTTTGTCCTGACGGGTTAGGGTTAGGGTCTTGTCTCCAGATACCCCACATCTAGATTCTCAGTTGACCTTTGTCCTGACGGGTTAGGGTCTTGTCTCCAGATACCCCACATCTAGATTCTCAGTTGACCTTTGTCCTGACGGGTTAGGATTAGGGTCTTGTCTCCAGACACCCCACATCTAGATTCTCAGTTGACCTTTGTCCTGACGGGTTAGGGTTAGGGTCTTGTCTCCAGATACCCCACATCTAGATTCTCAGTTGACCTTTGTCCTGACGGGTTAGGGTCTTGTCTCCAGATATCACACATCTAGATTCTCAGTTGACCTTTGTTCTGACGGGTTAGGGTTAGGGTCTTGTCTCCAGATACCCCACATCTATTCTCAGTTGTCCTTTGTCCTGACGGGTTAGGGTTGGGGTCTTGTCTCCAGATACCACACATCTAGATTCTCAGTTGACCTTTGTTCTGACGGGTTAGGGTCTTGTCTCCAGATACCCCACATCTAGATTCTCAGTTGACGTTTGTCATGACGGGTTAGGGTTAGGGTTAGGGTCTTGTCTCCAGATACCCCACATCTAGATTCTCAGTTGACCTTTGTCCCTACGGGTTAGGGTTAGGGTTAGGGTCTTGTCTCCAGATACCCCACATCTAGATTCTCAGTTGACCTTTGTCCTGACGGGTTAGGGTTAGGGTCTTGTCTCCAGATACCCCACATCTAGATTCTCAGTTGACCTTTGTCCTGACGGGTTAGGGTTAGGGTCTTGTCTCCAGATACCCCACATCTATATTCTCAGTTGACCTTTGTCCTGACGGGTTAAGGTCTTGTCTCCAGATACCCCACATCTAGATTCTCAGTTGACGTTTGTCATGACGGGTTAGGGTTAGGGTCTTGTCTCCAGATACCCCACATCTAGATTCTCAGTTGACCTTTGTCCTGACGGGTTAGGGTTAGGGTCTTGTCTCCAGATACCCCACATCTAGATTCTCAGTTGACCTTTGTCCTGACGGGTTAGGGTTGGGGTCTTGTCTCCAGATACCCCACATCTAGATTCTCAGTTGACCTTTGTCCTGACGGGTTAGGGTCTTGTCTCCAGATACCCCACATCTAGATTCTCAGTTGACATTTGTCCTGTCGGGTTAGGGTTAGGGTCTTGTCTCCAGATACCCCACATCTAGATTCTCAGTTGACCTTTGTCCTGACGGGTTAGGGTTAGGGTCTTGTCTCCAGATACCCCACATCTAGATTCTCAGTTGACCTTTGTCCTGACGGGTTAGGGTTAGGGTCTTGTCTCCAGATACCCCACATCTAGATTCTCAGTTGACCTTTGTCCTGACGGTTTAGGGTCTTGTCTCCAGATACCACACATCTAGATTCTCAGTTGACGTTTGTCCTGACGGGTTAGGTTTTTGTCTCCAGATACCCCACATCTAGATTCTCAGTTGACCTTTAAAAACATTCTTAAACCCGCACAAGTGAGGAGGATGTAGGGCTTAGGGGATTGGAGTGTCACACTGTGCCGTCCGCCCCCCCCCCCATACGTCTCTATCTTAGGGGTACTTACTTTTCTCTAGTTACAGCTATGAGAATTCAAGTTAAAGTATGTCTATATTTTGTATATTTCGATTCACTATTTTATCGATATCGAGTGGGTTGAGTGGGGGAAGAGGAAGAATGAAGATACCATACTGCGCTTTTTTTCTCTCATCCAAAATATATTTTAAAATACTGTACAACCATTCCGCAAATCTTATTTTTGTACAACCGCTATCTGAATCTTAACTTTTTATAACGGCGATTTAAATCTTAATTTTTTATCCTTACAGACATCTGAAGTTGATATTGAAGTATGGGGAGAAATGAAGTAAGTGGAAATTAATTTTCGTTCTTATTTTAGTGTAGGCAGGGATCCCTTCAACACAATGAAATATACGTGTCAACTGGTTATGCGCCATTTGGGTCATTTACTCAGCCTGCTTTTTCTTTGGATTTGCTTCCATAGCCTTAGTCCAACCAAAAACAAACTACAAGGCAGCAGTTGTTTGATTTTGGAGTTGTCTCTCCTAGAAGAGTGGCTGTCCACAGCTAACGAGCCTCATCTGCCCGAGGGTTCGAACTCGAGACTTTTCGATGTTTACCCCTTGAGCTTTACCCAGTGGTGTAGCGAGGTCGGCTGTCACCCAGTGCGGCACTGAATTGTGTCCCCCCCCCCCCGTCCCCCCCCCCCAAGGCGTAGCGACCCTAGGGTTTGCTCTACGGTTAGGTTTAGGGTTAGGTTTATGGTTAAGGTTATGGTTAAGGTTAGGGTTAGGGTTAGGCTTATGATTAATGGTTAATGGGATAGGGTTAGGGTTTCGATTTGCACCCCCCCCTCAAGTTTTCGATTTGCACCCCCCCCCTTCAAACTTTCGATTTGCACCACACCCCACCCCCACCCTCAAGTTTTGCTCTATATATTTTGCTATTTTTTGCCTTGGTGTCACCCCCCTAAATGGTGTCACACGGTGCGGTCCGCACCCCTCCCCCCTCGCTACGCCTCTGGCTTTACCGACTCGACCATGCCGTTAATTACTGCATTTTTTAAATTCATTGTAACACTGCTAATGTGTTCGTTAGTAGCCTGTGTCAATCACCGATCTTAACCACCATATTTTGTTAAACTCTTCCATAATTGGCCTAGATCTATTCTGTATCACCAATTAAAATTTTCGCTACATCTGTGGACTAGATTGTATTTTAATACATATATCAATCATGAACGTAAAGATTTTTCAAGAATTTAAAATTTAATACATAGATCTATTTCTGTATCACCAATTTATGTTTACTAGATCCGTATTTCCCATCCATAATTTTTACGTATTTCACCCGGTCATGCTGTTAGATTTACAATGTGGCTTAAGGTTAATCCTTGTGTTTCTACAGGTAACAGCCAGTTGGCTTTTTTAGCTTTACAGTTAATCCCTGTGCTGATTTGTGGTTAATCTCTGGGTTGATGTGTATATTTGTACTTTAAAGACCAACTCTAAGAAATTATTAATTGAACTTGAAAAACATTTTCTTCCTTAGGATCAATATTTTGCCATTTTTTGCCTTGGGAGTCATCCATGAATGACGTCACGCTTTTTTGGAATATTTTATCTCCCCCCCCCTCTCCTCCGTCACACATCGTCACAAAAAGCCAGACCCACCCCTAAAGTGACGTCATACCTCTGCAAACAACCACCCTTGCAGTTGAATTTTTCTTAAGACATCGATATTTTTCCAAAATCTTCTGAACTGTCAACATAGAGCATTTTGATCAATTCTTATTACAATTTATTAAAACATTTTTAAAACAGAATTAAATTCGTTTTCTAACATTGCTTTTTATAATGCAAATATGCGACGTCACACCATCTGAACCCCCATCCCTCTCATCACACACCGTCACAAAATTATGGAAACCCCCCCCCCCCCCTACTAAATGGTGTCACACGGTGCGGTCCTGCCCTCTCTGCAGTTTGCTCTACGGTTAGGTTTTGGGTTAGGTTTATGGTTAAGGTTATGGTTAAGGCTTATGGTTAATGGTTAATGGGATAGGGTTAGGTTTATGGTTAGGGTTATGGTTAGGTTTAGGGTGATGGTTATGGCAGAGGCGTAGCGAGGGGGGGGGCGAGGGGTGCGGACCGCACCGGGTGACACCATTTAGTGGGGTGACACCAAGGCAAAAAACAGCTGGGTTATGGTTAAGGTTAGGGATAGGGTTAGGTTGATGGTTAATACCCTCCGTTTCTACACAGCAAGCAAGCCGATCTGAGGTATAGGGTTAGGGTTAGGTTTATGGTTATGGTTATGTTTAGGTTTATGATTAATACCTTCCGTTTGTTCGTGTTACAGCGAGCAAGCCGATCTGAGGTATAGGGTTAGGGTTAGGTTTATGGTTATGTTTAGGTTTATGGTTATGTTTAGGTTTATGATTAATACCTTACAGCGAGCAAGCCGATCTGAGGTATAGTTTGACACTGTGTCAAGAGGAAAAACGTTTTATCGAGGCAAGAAAACGGAAAATTCACAAAGTTATGCGGACACACTTTGGCATGGGAGGACCAAAAAATTATAAAGAGGTAATAATTGATTGCTCACCAATGGTATTATGACAAGCAGAACATCGGTATGTCTAAATTTATAAGAAACAGTTTCACTCAAGTCATATGTCATAATAATACAGCTTAAATTATTCAACCATTGTTTTAGTTAAACGACATGTAGTTCATACTTAAATAAAGAAAAAAGTACATAGCCGAGATTAAGTTTGGGATAGGGTTAGACTTGCTTTGTCTCGTTGTTTAATCCCATGTGTCTTCTAGGGATAGGGTTACACTTGCTTTGTCTCGTTGTTTAATCCCATGTGTCTTCTAGGGATAGGGTTAGACTTGCTTTGTCTCGTTGTTTAATCCCATGTGTCTTCTAGGGATAGGGTTAGACTTGCTTTGTCTCGTTGTTTAATCCCATGTGTCTTCTAGGGATAGGGTTAGACTTGCTTTGTCTCGTTGTTTAATCCCATGTGTCTTCTAGGGATAGGGTTAGACTTGCTTTGTCTCGTTGTTTAATCCCATGTGTCTTCTAGGTGCCTGTAATAGGAATCATTGGGTCAGGTGGAGGATTCAGGGCCATGGTGGCCTTTAGTGGAGTGATGGCCGCCCTCTCTGAGATGGGGGTACTGGACATGGCCACATATGTAGGTGGGCTATCAGGGTCTTCCTGGTAAGTCTTTATCAACATCTTTAGGTCTATCTGGATCTGCCTGGTAAGTCTTTATCAACTTCTTTAGGTCTATCTGGATCTGCCTGGTAAGTCTTTTCAACATCTTTAGGTCTATCTGGATCTGCCTGGTAAGTCTTTATCAACTTCTTTAGGTCTATCTGGATCTGCCTGGTAAGTCTTTTCAACATCTTTAGGTCTATCTGGATCTGCCTGGTAAGTCTTTATCAACTTCTTTAGGTCTATCTGGATCTGCCTGGTGTAAGCCCTGCTAGGGGGGGATACCTAATATCTACCCTTCTAGGCTTATCTAACTAACTACTGTCCGGTCAGTGCAAGCCCGGATAAACCCAGACTGGTTAATAACCTAACCTTAGTCTAAATAATAAAACTACTAAAAATAAAACAAAAACTTAAACAATATAATAAAATTTATTTAACAAAATAAATATGGAACCAAGCTTATAAACAAACTAGAATTTAGGTAAAACAGAACACTGGAGACATACAAAACAGAAACAGAACTCAACGGAACAAAACACCCAATTTCGGACCACCGTCCATACACCATATAAATGTGTTACAGAAACACTTTACACACAGGCCTCGACATTCCCGCTGAATGTCCCTCCCTGTCCACACACCAAAAAAAATTCATAATAAACGTTTTAATAACAAGCTTTTATGTAATGATGCACTAAAAAGTAGAAAATAAATTATAGACTACTATTTAAATAACTATAAAGAAAAGCGTGGGTCACTTTAGTATCTATTGGATACCTTTACTAATGTTAAGGAAGACACCCACGCTTTTCTTTATAGTTATTTAAATAGTAGTCTATAATTTATTTTCTACTTTTTAGTGCATCATTACATAAAAGCTTGTTATTAAAACGTTTTTTATGAATTTTTTTTCAGTACTTTACATGTTTTATCTACAATAGAGTTACATGACTAAAAACCATTGCGCGCCTACTGAATATCACGTTCAGTAGGCGCGCAATGGTTTTTGAACGCAGCCATTACGTGGTCGTGATGGCGCAGCTATTGATGACGCGTGTGGTGTGGTTGGCTAGACATGCCTACTAATTCGGTCCAAATTTTAATTAATTCATAAAAAATCAATTGGGCATCCAATTAAGTCAAATTTAGTTTCAGATTGCATTGTCTTCATGTCTTGACCCACGTGCCAAATGTGAATCGTGTCGGTCAAGTAGAACTGTCCGAATTTTCACTCCTGCGTTTCCGTCTAGACTGACGACTGACGACAGACAGAATGACGAGGAAGTGAGTTAAATAAAAGCTTGTAATAAATTATAGACTACTATTTAAATAACTATAAAGAAAAGCGTGGGTCACTTTAGTATCTATTGGATACCTTTACTAATGTTAAGGAAGACACCCACGCTTTTCTTTATAGTTATTTAAATAGTAGTCTATAATTTATTTTCTACTTTTTAGTGCATCATTACATAAAAGCTTGTTATTAAAACGTTTTTTATGAATTTTTTTTTCAGTACTTTACATGTTTTATCTACAATAGAGTTACATGACTAAAAACCATTGCGCGCCTACTGAATATCACGTTCAGTAGGCGCGCAATGGTTTTTGAACGCAGCCATTGCGTGGTCGTGATGGCGCAGCTATTGATGACGCGTGTGGTGTGGTTGGCTAGACATGCCTACTAATTCGGTCCAAATTTTAATTAATTCATAAAAAATCAATTAGGCATCCAATTAAGTCAAATTTAGTTTCAGATTGCATTGTCTTCATGTCTTGACCCACGTGCCAACTGTGAATCGTATCGGTCAAGTAGAACTGTCCGAATTTTCACTCCTGCGTTTCTATCTAGACTGACGACAGACAGAATGACGAGGAAGTGAGTTAAATAAAAGCTTGTAAAAAGACAGACTCGAACCAGCCGAAAATCGACTTCCACACACCTCACACACTACACGTAAACAAATAGTCCCTAATTCACGGATAACAAACCAAACGCCACTAAACATGCAACAGAATTATATAAAAAGACACTTAATATAAACAATGACAACAATATAAACGAAATATATACAAACTAGCTATAAACAGGGACATAAACAGTGAGACAGCGGCGCCATAATACGGGACTACACAACTAAAAACTACGAACAATTTACGACATGAAACGAAACGATACATTCGCCTTCTAAGTTACAAATAATAATAATACACTCCAGCCGCTCACACTGGTAAGTCTTTATCAACATCTTTAGGTCTATCTGGATCTGCCTGGTAAGTCTTTATCAACTTCTTTAGGTCTATCTGGATCTGCCTGGTAAGTCTTTATCAACTTCTTTAGGTCTATCTGGATCTGCCTGGTAAGTCTTTATCAACATCTTTAGGTCTATCTGGATCTGCATGGTAAGTCTTTATCAACTTCTTTAGGTCTATCTGGATCTGCCTGGTAAGTCTTTATCAACATCTTTATGTCTATCTGGATCTGCATGGTAAGTCTTTATCAACTTCTTTAGGTCTATCTGGATCTGCCTGGCAATCCTTAATCACAATTGGTGTTGGGATGGCACTTGGAATTGAACTATAGAAATATAAAGGAAGTTTCCGAATAAACCGCTCTTTAATTTGAGAAAGGCTCGAAAAAAAAACACTTGGTAAAAAATTATTAGAATAACTTGCTTTATAAGAATACTAGCCGTCCCGGCCAGGCCCTGCAATGGCCTTTATGAAAAAAACATTAGTAAAGGACCATGACTTGTGTGTTTATTAAGTAGCATATACCATGCTTTGCCCAGGTTTAGGAAATAATTTTTTTTTCTAATTAACCCTAGCCACAACCAACTAAAACATAAACACAAAAACAAACGCAAACATAGCATAAACGCAAACCCATACACAGATGGAAAAAAACGGAAACACAAACACAAACGTAAAGCAAACACAAAAGCAAACGCAAACATAATCACAAACGAAACGCAAACATTAACATAAACACAAACACCAACACTAACGCAAACATAAACACAAACGCCAACACAAACACAAAGTCAAACGCAAACCTAAACGCAAACAATAACGCAGAACATAAAGACAAACTTAAATGCAAACCTAAAAGCATAGTGCCCACAGAATAGCAGGGGCATCTGATGCAATTTAGTAAACGACTAAAATATCCCATCTTATTCATAGCCTATCGCTCTGTAGACGCCATAGCGCTCACCGGAAGGCCCGGTGTGCCAAACAGCACCCTGTCGGGATTCGATTGAGTGTACGACTATAGTAAGCCTTTCTATTCACAGCCTATCGCATTGTTTAAAACGAAAGTTTGCACCATAGCGCTCACATGATAGCACCGGCCGCCTAATCGCACCCTAGCGGGGCGTCGACGTACATGCCTGATTCAATATAGTGAACGACTATAATAACCCAAGCGTGTCCGCAAACGGAAAGATAGAAGTAAACATAGAGGACATTTATGAGCGACTTCTAAATTGTTGTTGATTAAAAATAATAATTAGTAAACAGTACGTTCAGTGTATAAAATAAATAAAGGCAGTATTTAAAATATCCTCGTTTTACATACCACATTGCACTTTATCAATCAATGCTAATTATATAATTATTTTTTTCCGACACCAAAAAAATTGTCTTTATAAAGGGAAATTGTTTAAACTAATTGTTATCTATCAAGAGAAGTAATTAGCAATAAAGGAAAACAGTGAAGTAATCTGTACACTTTTAAATTTTTGTGAAGGATGATACATTTTCTTTGAGTTATTTCACGTGACGTTAATTAAAATGGTTAGTTTGGAAAATGAGACTTGTTTTACAAAACCATACACATTATTCTTTAATGATTCATTTAGATAATAAATACTTCAGGTGTATTACATTATGGCGATCAAGTCGTGTTTTTTACTCTATTCTTTTATTGTCAAGGGTGCGTCCTCTGTCCTCTGTCAGTTGTGACACAGAGTCACAGAAACCATTTGAGCATTGTATATTAGATTAAATGAAATTAACAGTATGTTACGTTTTTTTCATAAAGCTGACAAAAAGTAATAGGGTAACTATAAACTCAAATTTTTAAAAGTGATTTTATCCGATTGCTCCAATAAGCTGTTTTTAATCAATTGTCAAACAAATTTTAATTCACAAGCTGATATCAAATTTTAAGTGTCTGAACAATGTCCCTAAATGTCACAACAATGTCACAACAATGTCCCGAAATGTCACAATCATGTCCCTAAATGTCGCAACAATTTCACTAAACGTCACAATAATTTCCCTAAGTGTCACAACAATTTCACTAAAGGCCACAATAATGTCCCTAAATGTAATTATACATAATATATTTGATGATGCTATTCTTCGTGTATATCCTTTATAATGAAGTGTGTATAAATTATATATATATAGGCCTATATATAACCCTATATATATATGTGTGTGTGTGTGTATAGCCTATATACCAGTGGTTCTTAACCTTCAGCTTCATATGCGCATTCCCTTTTTAATAAGAAAACTAAATTTAAAATTTTCTAATGGACTCAACCGAGGATAGTATCAAAATTATTTAAAAGCCCCTTTAAATATTTCAAAAGTAAAATACGGTGTTATTAAAATAAATATGGTTATAAAATCCCGACCTTTTGAAAGTGGTCGGACGAATATGTACAAAATGAATTCACGTGTATAACATAACATGATGAGAGTCAGTGTCCTACCTGCGTGATATGCAATGTTGAGCCATTCTGGTCGAGCACCGGCATAGTTAAGAGATGGAGAACACAAGAAAAAAAAACCTAACCCTTTTGGTGATGCCGCGCATTTCTGAACTGGTGTCTGAAAGGCATCAGCAGAAGTCACACTGATTTGTAGTAAATATTTATTTTGTTTTTGTGTGTGAAAAACATATTTTAATGGTTTTGATCTTTTAACACAGCGATGTTGATGCACGTCTTGTTTTTTTGCACCACTAAAATATATACGAATGTTTCTAATTTGAAAAAAATCATACTTGATTTTTCCTATTAAGAAGGGTTCGGTGGATGCACATATGAAACTGATTGGGTTCGATATCTCCAAAAAGGTTAAGAACCATTGTATTAAAATGTGATTTGACATCGATGAACTCTTAAAATTTCAGGTATTTATCTCAGCTCTACTCGCATCCCGAGTGGCCGAACGTCTCGCCTGGCCAGCAGTTGCAGGAGATTAAGCACAACATTGACCACAGCTTTCTGTGGCTCTTCAAAACTCACGGCATTTATTTTGTCAAGGAAGTCTGGAAAAAAAGAAGTCGAGGAGAACCGGTGTCATTTACAGATTTATTTGGCCATTTAGTTGGCAACACTTTGTTGAAAAATGTAAGAAACTTTCACACAACTTACGTCAAAATGTTGTCAGCAGCTGCAGGCTGACAATAATGAACTTTTTATTTTTGTTTAGAGACTTGATGCACGACTGAGTGACCAACGTAAAAGTATAGACAATGGACAGAGTCCACTGCCCTTATACACCTGCCTCCACGTTAAAAAATCTGTTTCTGCAATGGTTTTCCATGGTAAGAAAGCTACACCAACTAAAATTTTGTAAAAAAAAAAGCTTATTCTTATATTCTCTGGGCTTTTTTTTACATCACTTCACATAGACTAGCTTTTATTTAATTTGCTACCTCAGTCTGTCGTGCTTCGTTATCAATCAAAACCTCCGCATCAAAATAGTTTAAATTAATTCATAAAAAATAATTAGGCATCCAATTAAGTCAACTTTAATGTCATGTTGCATTGTCTTCATGTCTTGACCCATGTACCAACTACGAACCGTATCTGACAGTTAGAAGTGACCGTAATTTTGCTCGGACGTTTCGATCTAGACTGACAGACCGAGGAAGCAAGTTAGATAAAAGCTTGTAAAAAAACTAACCCTAAGTACATAACTAAATGCATAAAAACGCATTATAATGCATTGTAACAGGCTTTTATGCAATCCTAATATATAAATCCCATGTGCGCACTTCTCTCTCTCTCTCTCTCTCTCTCTCTCTCTCTCTCTCTCTCTCTCTCTCTCTCTGTCCGCAAAATATTTTATGATATCAGTATCTTTAGCGATATATGGAGAACTTGATACGGCCTTTTGTTTGAAAATAATGTGTTAGATGTTTTAAATGTATAAACTAAATTTTATTTAAAGAAGAAAGAAAGGCATATTTGAATGTAGAAACACAATTTTAATTATACAACCGAAAAAGTGTTTATAGTTGTGACAAGAACGCAATAAGCAATGACGTCACATGCCACGCGTTTACACTATGAAAAGAACAAAATACTAAAGGCGTCATCTTCCGATTTTAGAATATAGTGACATGAACTATTTCATTCAAATTTGATTTACATCTAGTATATATAAATCCACGTATCAAGATCTACGCTATGAATTATAAACAATTTTCTCGGTCAAACTAATATAAATTACTTTAAAAAACAACATAATGACCATTGATTAGCCGGGTTTTTAACAGAATCATTTAAGTCTCTTAATCAGTGTGTGCATATAATATGGAGTTCTGTTGACTAATAGTGTATAGCCTATAATTTGGTTTTCATTTTTGTAATAGGTATTGGTAGCCTATGTTATTTTTAATGTGTGGGATTTTTAGCTATTTAGTGATTTCTCTGCTTTGTTACTAATATTGTTCAACGTGTAGTAAAGCACATTACGTGTTGACTAATAACTATTTTATAAAATCTTTTTCTCAAACATGTATAACATTAAAAATGTATAGGCCTATAATTCACGTGTAACGGGTACCGACGGCTAGTAAAACACTAAAAAGGGGAAAATAAATTATTTTCTTTTAATAAAGAAATGCTTTTGAAATAACTGGGTAGAGCAGAGACATGGGAAGTCTCCAAGACAAGCACAGAGAAGATACAAACCTTCATGAAGAAGAAATTTTTAGACAGATTTTGAAGGCGAGGTGGCCGTACAAAGTACCGAAAAAAGACTTATTAATATAGTAAAGGACAAGGCAGGAGCCTATGAAGGAAGGAAGCGGGGCTGGGTGAGACACACACTGCGAAAGGCTCACTCTAATGTGACACGCCAGACGCTGGATTGCGACCCCCAGGAAAAGCGTGAGAGAGGGCACACAAAGACGGAGTCTTCTGGAAGAACTGAAGACAGCAGGATGTCTTGGAAGATTGCAAAATTAGTAGCCGGGGTCGGGCAAAATGGAAGGGCGTGGTCGAGGCCCTATGTTCCACAAGGAGCAAAGAAGACTAAGTCAAGTCATTGAAATAACTAAACCTAAAAGCGTGTGTCGCTTCATAAGTTCTAGTAAAGGAAGGCCTTCATACAGTGACCCACGCTTTTCTTTTTATTTAAACGAGCCGACCCGCAGCGTATCATACGCCGCTATTTAGTTGTTTTATTTTCTACTTTTCAGTAATTCATAATTTGTGAATTCGACAGTACCAATGCTGCCACTGAAAATATTTGCTTTAAAACACTTACCCCCCCCCCTTCCCCTAACCCCGACCCTACACCCCCCCCCCCCCCCCGTGAAAGCAGCCTCCTCTTAGTTATTTCTTAGTTACCTCCTGTAAGTTTAAAATCGAACTAAATTATCTGCCCCTAACAGAAACCCGGCTCTACGGCTCTACGATTTGTAAACATTTAGCTTTGTAAACATTTAGCATGACCACAGCTCACCAGACAATGTTGGGGAGGGGTAGGGGTGGTAGTGATAGTGATAGAGAGAAAGAGAGGGGACTGTAAGGATGCGCTTGCAGCTTGTTTTCTAACGGCTCCCAGAAGAGAATTATATATATATATATATAGATAGTTCATAATTATATATTTTTAAAAAAACATGTATTTTTACCTTTTTAGTGCTTTATTCCATAAAAGCTTGTTATTTAAACGTTCTGTGTGCATTTTTCTTTCAACATTACAAAACAAACTTGACGTCTAATCAGACATTAGACAATGCTACGTGTCTCTTGAAAAGTTTACTGCGTCATATTGCTTTATTATGTTTAGGCTATAACTTTAACAATATATTTTTTCCTTCTTTCCATTAATTTCCAACAATACTATAAATTTTCAATAAAATACGATTCTCATATCTTTCTATTTGAGAATATTAAAAAATGTACTATTTCAAGAATATTTTCACAATTTTGTCGGCCAATAATAATATAAATAATTTTGTTTAAAAAAACAAACAGAAACGCCAATGGGTAACCAGGGTTTTAACGGAATTACTTAAGACACTTCGGGTAATTTGTGTTGACTAATTAAAGTTGTGTTGACTAATTATGTATATATTTGGGTTTATATTTTTCAAATTCGTGTTGGTAGCCCATATTATATTAAATATGGCGGAAATATCATACTTTGCTTGATATTTCTCTTGATTTGCCATTATGGTACAATTTCACAAAGCTAACGAGTATATTTTTTTGACTATTTCAGAAACCTGAATCAGTTATATAAATCTTGACAATAGAATAAGTAAAATTAGGAAATGATTTTATTTATATTACATATCACTTAATAGTGCAGGAGCTCTGATCAAGCGGAACCACAAATACAAAAATAAATATGCAAACATAAATAATAGTGAGTTTTAGTACAATATAGATGCAATTTTCCCCTAATCCAAGTTTTTGCATTTTAGAATGGATGGGATTTTCCTCTAATCCAAGTTTTGCATTTTAGAATGGATGGGATTTTCCCCGAATCCAAGTTTTTGCATTTTAGAATGGATGGAATTTTCCCCTAATACAAGCTTTTGCATTTTAGAATGGATGGAATTTTCCCCTAATACAAGCTTTTGCATTTTAGAATGGATGGAATTTCCCCCTAATCCAAGTTTTTGCATTTTAAAATGGATGGAATTTTCCCCTAATCCAAGTTTTTGCATTTTAGAATGGATGGAATTTTCCCCTTATGAAGTTGGGCTACCAAAGTATGGTACATTTCTTGATTGTCGACAATTCGCATGTAAGTTTTTCATGGGTTGCATCGTCAAAGATTTCCCAGAACCACCGCTGCATTATTTACAAGGTAAGAAGTGCACACGACTTTGGTCAATTTTTTGTCTTGTCCTATGATCGGTCTTAAAAATAGACCCCAACTCGAGCCCTTATTTTTCGATCATTATTTTACTGGTCAGATAGCCACACAAGAACCAGTCAAATTTATTTCTATTTAATAGATGGATCAAGGCAAGATGTATTTTATTAGCTATCATGTAAAAGTCTTTGAAACATTTTTTAAACTACAAAGCATTAACTACGTCATTTTTATTTTCTCATATAATGAGTGTAGCGGACGTATTGTAATTCAATTTAGTAAACGACTATAATACTAAATCTTATCCATATTCTATCGCACTTTTTCAAACGAACGTATGCGCCATAGCACTCAAGGTATAGTCCTGGGCGCAAAATTGCACCCTACCTTGGCGTCGGCAGACGCTCCTAATTAAATGTAGTGAGCGATTGTAATGACACGTCTTATCCATTGTCCATCGCACTGTTTAGAATGAACGTTGGTGCAATGCGCTAACGAAAAAGTCCAGGGCGCCAAAGTGCACCCTGCGGGGCACCGGAGGTCGCGCCTGATTGAATTTAGTCAACGATTATTGTTGTTCATCGTGTCTAGTGTATAGCCTTTTTTGTAAAACGAACGTATGTGCCATAGTGCTCACATGCGAGCCCGGGGTGCTTCGGGTCACGCAATGGGCGGGGCGCCGGCGGCTGCGCCTGTTTAAGTTTTACCACTGAATATTTTGTTTTTTTTTCCGCAGAACCCTTCTCGGGAGTATTCTCATCAACTTCCCAAAATTTCATAGCACTCGGATGAACGGTGTCGAGCCGCATCCGACTTTTATTTTTTATATACCTTATATAGAGAAAAATCGCACACTACCAGGACTCCACCCTTGCAAAATTAAGAAAGATATTTTTGCAGAAACCTCCCCTGGAGTGTTCTTATCAAGTCCCGAGAGCTTTATGGTGATCGGATGAAAGGTGTCAAACTCAGTCGACTTTTATTTGTATATCCCGTATATAGAGAAAAATTGAATCGCGCCGCCCCTCCGAATTTGAAATTTTTTTTTTCGTAGAAACCTCCCCAAGAGTATTCTCAACAATTTCCCGAAGTTTAATGGCGGTCGAATGAAAGGTGTAGTAATGCATAAAAGATAAACAGACAAAGAGACAGACAAACATACATGTGTGTGTGTCTGTGTGTGTCTCTGTGTGTCTCTCTGTGTATCTGTCTGTCTAAAAGAAACTCTTCGTTTCAGATGATGTAAACTAAATTGTATACTTTTAAGCTTTTGATTTCGGAGGTTTAAGCTATAACTAACATCTAATGTATACACTTTAGGTATTTGGGGAAGTGCTTTTTGTATTCAGTTCAAACGTTTGTTGCAAGATGATAAGAATGTCGACCCTGCCGAGTTAATGAGGAGAGAACGAGAGGAATTTGGTGAGTAAGAGATAGGGTTAGGGCTAGAGTTGGGGCTAGGGTTAGGGTTAAGTAAGAGTGCCATTGATCTTTTAGGGTTAGGGTTAAGTAAGGGTGCCATTGATATTTTAGGGTTAGGGTTAAGTAAGGGTGCCATTGATATTTTAGAATACCCTAGGGTTAGGATTAAGTAAGGGTGCCATTGATATTTTAGAATACCCAAGTACAAGCAAACGTTAGCGTGTTTCATTATTTTTAAAAAACATGCTCTATATCTGGAACTATATAGAAACATATACAGTGCAGAAAATGTGGAATTGTCTTAAAATACACAATTTAATGAAGCTGATAAAAAGTGACTGTAAAACATTCAATCTAATCTTTAAATGAGCAGAGGCTGAATTAAGAAAAGACCTGGATGTTTGTGATATAGACGAAAGTGAATCGAGTGAAGATGAAAATAGTCTTGAGAAGGGAACACATGGTGAAAAAACTACAGGTATTATGGGTCTGTTTTGACCTATATAAAAAAATATTTTGCCGATCAAGTCACTAAGTTAAGGAGATGTCGCACAAACGAAGTTTAAAGTATTGTGCTGAATTAGTTTACTGAATTTACAAAATAGACTAAACTTATTTTTATATAAGTTAGATTTAGAGTTTCAGTTAGCCAACTTCAGCTCAGTCTTTTTACCTAACTTAGGCTGTGACAGATGCAACATTTCTTACCCCCCCCCCCCCTCCCAAAAAACCGTTTTTAAATTGTTTTTGAAGGCGGCCTTCAGAGGAGACGCTCCAAGAGCACAAAACTTAAACAAAAATCTTTTTGGGACTCGATGATGGCAAGAATGATGGAGTCAAGATGGTTTCAGGTATTTATGTCAACATCTACACAACCATCATTTAAAATTAATTGTACACCTCTATTTCATTAATATTGACGTCTTTAAACTTTCAACTATTTTAAAAATAATATTCTGCTAAGTAAAAATAATAGATACAATTATATTTTTCCTAATTCTATATAACTATATTTGATGCTGGCATTTATTAAAGAACTTTTTAAGTACTTAATTTTTCTGACGTGACAGAGCATTGAATTACGAGCAGCCCAAATATTCAACTTCATGCGTGGCTTGTCTCTCCATGACGTCTTCCCGTTTTCACCATTCACCAAAACTCAAGAAGAGGAAAATGAGAATAACAAAGGTACACAATTTGAATATATCAAATTTATTTCAACTTGTCAACTTGACATCCAACTTTATTTCAACTTGTCAACTTTACATCCAACTTTATTTCAACTTGTCAACTTGACATCCAACTTTATTTCAACTTGTCAACTTGACATCCAACTTTATTTCAACTTGTCAACTTTACATCCAACTTTATTTCAACTTGTCAACTTGACATCCAACTTTATTTCAACTTGTCAACTTGACATCCAACTTTATTTCAACTTGTCAACTTGACATCCAACTTTATTTCAACTTGTCAACTTGACATCCAACTTTATTTCAACTTGTCAACTTGACATCCAACTTTATTTCAACTTGTCAACTTGACATCCAACTTTATTTCAACTTGTCAACTTGACCTGTCAAAGACAGTTGTGTGTGGACCATTAATCACATTATTAAATAATTGTATTTACTATCTTTCGTATTTATTTTAGTATTGACCCTACACCCCTCCCCCTATTTTCCCAGAAACTTTTGAAGGTATTTTTGAAATGCATCCAACTCACATCAAAAAGCTCTATGTGGTTGACAGCGGCCTCACATTTAACTCACCATATCCCGTTATACTACGGCCACAGAGAGAGGTGGACATCATCTTATCTTTTGACTTCAGTGCTCGCCCAAGCGACGATACGCCTCCTTTCAAGGTATTTTAATCCCAACTCCGTGAATTAATATACAGTGTACACCTTCAGTCATTTTTTTTACTGCAATATTTTTAATGTGCTGTTGTGAACACACGGACACGCATTTCGGGTGATCCGATGCGTAGCGCAACATAAGACAAACAACCACAAACGGGTTACAAAACAAGACTGAATGAAACAAAGGCTCGTTGAAACTAAAATAATTTAATAGTATCTACACTATCTACATCTAACACAGTCTATTCTAAACACAAAGTACACGAGCTAGTAAAACTATGATACAGTGGCTAAAAACTAGTATAGACCTAACCTTTACTAACCTTGGAGATCTGGACGAAACTGAGGCAATCACACACGTTTTCACACACCTTATATACCATTTCATAAACTGGCACAACCCGGACTATTACAACTCACGGCAGGAGAACTGAACAAGGACGAACGGGATGGGGTAGCAAGTAACAACAACATTCATCCCCCATTCACCCCTCCTCTCGTTCACTACATGTGCATTGTTATTTTTATAAATGTTAATTTGAATTATTTTGTAGATCAGACTTATATTGACCATAACTAGCCCTATCATAAACTTAATTCAGAATTTTTACGAACTTTACCATAGGAGCTCTTACTGGCTGCCAAATGGGCCGAACTGAACAAAGTTCCATTCCCTCCTATTGACGTGAGTGTGATACAGAAGGAAGGACTAAAGGAGTGTTATGTCTTCAAACATCCGTGGGATCCCAACTGTCCAATTGTGTTACATTTTTGTCTTGTCAACATCAATTTCAAACATGAGTTACGGCCGGGTAATGTTTTAATTATCTTCACATGTGATTTTATAGTTTGTTTTCAATTAGTTATCTAATAACCTAACCCTAATCATAACTCTATGACCTAACACTAATCATAACTATAACAACTCGCCCTATTTCGTGTACATCTGAGAGTTTGTTCAGCAAACAATCATAGCACACTTTTTGTATCAAATTTAAGATAAAATATGAATTACAAATCAACAAGAAAAAATGTCACTCTTACTATTTTGGTGCCGCTATAGAAATCAATAATTCGGGAGCAAAACTATTAAAGAATTTCCCCTTACCACGTCACAGAACATAAATCAATCAACAAAACGTCTTTCCCTCTTTTACCCATCAAAAGGTCTCTGTTTTTGCTACAATTAATCATAAGGCAGAAATGAAGATCTCTAGTGTTGCATTTATTTTGTAGTCATTTCTTGACTACAACCCAAAAACCTCGAATGGCTTAAATTTGTCAAAACACTACAGCAAGATCAATAATGGAAGTCACTAACAATAACCTCAACCTGTTTTAGTGGGAACCCATCAGGTAGTCTAGAACAACAACAAAAAGTTGATTGCAAAATTATAATGCAAACATAATTCAAATATTTCTTTGTTTTTCCAGGGGTCCCTAGAACAACCCAACAGGAATTCGATTTTGCGAATTTCAGCATTTTTGACGACCCGTCTCGACCATATTCAACGTTTAAGTTTACCTACAGTCACCTGGAGTTTGACCGTTTATCTAAGCTCATGGAGTACAACACTCTGCTGTGTCAAGACATCATATTTGATAACATCAGCACATGCATCAAAAGAAGGAGGCGATTTAGTATCCGCAGGCCGTGTAGGAAAAAGGACATTGCTCGTCTCAGTTTAAACAGTCGCGTCAAAGCCGAAAAACTTTTGCAATACATTTCCATGGTGGAGGAGGTCTCAGGGATCCAGGACCGTGAAGAGGTGTTTGATGAGGCAGATTCTCTCAGATCTGTGGAACATAAAAGCCGACCTACCAGCACTCCTGTTGTCTTTCAGGAAACGGCCAAGTTAGCGATGAGAAGGACGAGAATGACGTCAGAGATGAGTCAAGTGAGAGAAGAGATTAATGAGCTGGAAGAGCCAAACCCTAGCAGTGAATTGAATAACAATAGTCTGAAAGCTACCTTATCTCATCCAGTTTTAAGGACTCCGAACCTCTCTACTGCTGGTGATTACAGAAACATCGGTACACCAGCAAACAATGGATCAACAAACTTAGACGCTTCTTCTATTCTGCAACCATTTCCATCTCCACGATTTCAACGAAAAGTAGTTAGTCTCAAAACAAACTTGTCTCCAGAGATAAAAGATGATGTAACCATCTTATCCAAGCAGACGGACATTAAGAACAACGATGAATCTCATCTAGTTGAATCTGGATTGAAAGCACAGAGTAGACGAGTTTATCGTTTGCAAAATGGTGATAAAAAAATTGATGAAATTGGAGATTGTGTTCAAATTTCTCTGACGAACCCCCAACCTTTAGAAGAATGGATTGAGTCTGTAGACCGTGTCACTCATTTGTAATTCCAAAAATGTTGATTGATTCTGTAGAACGTGTCACTCATTTGTAATTCCAAAAAAATGTTAATGAATTTTTCACTACTGCTTGTTTTAATTGCCCAAAATATTGCATGGGTTTTAGATTGTGTGTAATATAGAACAGTATTAATCTTGATTTCTCATCTCTGTATCTTTATTCAGTATGTCCTAATGGCGTTGTCATCAGACTAATAAACAATATTCAAAACATTAGGCCTAAATAAGTTTGTGTAAACTACGTAACAAAAAAACAGTATCAATAGAAATTAATTAGTATATTTTTGCTTATTGAATAATTCTTTTTATGTCATCATGTACATTAGTGTAGGCAGGGTTAGGGGGAGATTTGATGCGGCCGACCTCCCCCCCCCCTCCTGTGGCAATTTTCTAATAAACCGAAGTGATCTCCCCTAAACTTTCTCGAATATTCTTATATAAAACAACAGGGGGTAGTACCTCGGAATATATACTTGATTTTTAATCAATTTTTAATTAATTAAACTATTTTTTTAAATTTCATAAAAAACGTTTCAATAACAAGCTTTTATGTAATAATGCACTAAAAAGTAGAAAATAAGTTATACACTACTATTTAAATAAACGAAAGCGTGGGTCGCTTCCTAAATACTAGTAAAGGTATTCAATAGATACTAAAGTGATCCACGCTTTTCTTTATGGTTATTTAAAATAGAAGTGGGTAATTTATTTTCTACTTTTTAGTACATTATTACATAAAAGCTTGTTATTAAAACGTTTTTTTTTATTAATTTTTTTTTCAGTACTATACATTTTCTGTTTACAATAGAGTTGTATGAATAAAAACCATTGCGCACCTAATGAACGTGATAACGGGTATAATATTGCGGAATAGTTGGGTAACACTGACTACTGATTTGGTCAACTTTGAATTACTTCATAAATAAACCGGGAGTGATCTCCCCTAAACTTTCTCGAATATTCTTATATAAAATAACAGGGGATGGGAACTCGGGCTATAGACATGATTTTTAATCCATTTTAAATACTTAAAGTTTTAAAAATAGAATAAAATCTCGTAGACAAATTAATTGCAAACCAAGTGAACGCCAAATAAAAAAGCGCATAATAGTGCGCAATATTATTAGTACTTTTAAAATTTACATTAGTTTTTTTGAGAAATCGGAAGTAGCGTAAATTACTACTTCCAGTCAACGGAAATTACTCAAAATTTAACAGAAGGTAGTGAATTAGATCTTTTACTTTCCTGTGAAATTTCATTTATCTGAAATAGTACTCAAGTTATAGGCTTTTGAAAAATTCAAAGTAGGAAAAGTACCACTTACGGTTATCGGAAATCGCTCAAAAGTTGATACGGATCTACGATTTTGATAAAATACTTATATATGAAATTTCATCAATCTAGCTGTAACGGTACTCAAGTTATCGTGTTTACACACGGACAGACAGACAGACACACAGACATACGGACAAGATTGCAAAATTATGTTTTTCCGTATCGGTGAGGTGTAAAACGTCGAGATTTGTAAAAATCTCGATTTTATTTTTTGCACGATTACAAGACTTTCTCTATACTTCGTATATACGAGAAAGTAAAAATTAATTAGCCACCCAATTGAACTTGAACTTACTTGGAACTTAGTCCTCTTTGCTCCTTATGGAACATGGGGCCTCCACCATTTCCTTCCATTTCTTCCGATCCCCGGCTATTAATTTTGACATCTCCCAAGACATCCCTGTTGGCTTCAGTTCTTCATGAAGACTCCGCCTCCAGGTCTGTCTTGGGCGCCCTCTCTTTCGCTTTCCCTGGGGGTTCCACTCAAGCGCTTGGCATGTAACATTTGAGTGAGCCTTTCGCAGTGTGTGACCCACCCAGCGCCACTTCCTCCTTCTTATTTGCACACCCAAAGGCTCCTGCCTAGCTTTCCTCCACAGTTCTATGTTCAGCACTTTGTCCTGCCATCTCAGTTTAAATATATGTCTAAGGCATCTATTCGTGAAGGTCTGTATCTTTGCTGTGCTTGCTTTGTAGACTCTCCATGTCTCTGCTCCATACAGCAGAACTGCCTTGACATTTGAGTTAAATATCCTAAATATCCTAATTAGGCACCCAATTAAGTAAAATTTAATGGTAGATTGCATTGTCTTCATGTCTTGACCCACGCACCAACTATGAACCGAAAGTATCAGTTAGAAGTAAATGAATTTCGCTCGGGCGTTTCGATCTAGACAGACAGATAGAAAAAAAAAAAGAATTGCGCACCAAGTGAACGCAAAACAATATGTGTATAATGGTGCGGAATATTATAACAATGTTATAAATTCACATGCGTTTTCTTGAGAAATCGGAAATAACGTAAAGTACTACTTCGGTCAAAGAAATTACACAAAATTTGACAGAAGGCAGTGAAGTAGATATTTTACTTACAAGTGAAATTTCATTTATCTATCTAGAACAGGACTCGTTATAGGCTTATCAAAAATGAAAAGTATAGGGGTTAGTATTAGGGTTAGGGTTAGCGTTAGGGTTAGGGTTAGGGTTTGGGTTAGGGTTAGGGTTAGGTTTAGGGTTAGGGTTAGGGTTAGGGTTAGGGGTTTGGGTTAGGGTTAGGGGTTAGGGTTAGGGTTAGGGTTAGGGTTAGGGTTAGGGTTAGGGTTAGGGTTAGGGTTAGGGTTAGGGTTAGGGTTAGGGTTAGGGTTAGGGTTAGGGTTAGGGTTAGGGTTAGGGTTAGGGTTAGGGTTAGGGTTAGGGTTAGGGTTAGGGTTAGGGTTAGGGTT